GATTTTACATTACATGTCTAGTATTCCTGATGAGAGACTCCACTAAATTTTGTGTTTGTACCTTGTTAGCTATCTAGCTTATATGTTGTTTCTTTCCGTTTTAGTTTAACATGTTCTATCTTGCATTAGATGGTTGTTTGTGACACAGGCACTTTGGGGCATGGACCCCCCTTTTTTAGGTGTTCAGATTGTTTCAGTAGTATCTTTATAATTTCAGCCTATTAAATGTATTCTTGCTCATATCCATACCATATCATACTCCTCAATCTAATTACAGTACAGTCAAATCTGGATATAATGGTCATCCTCTGGACATAAGAATGGACCTTACAAGAGAGTTGACCTTTGATTTGAGGTTCAAAATGCATAGGTATTAATACAGTGGGACAATGTGGTAACTTGACCAGACAGGTTTTTGCTCTAAAGAGGTGACCTTTATAGCAGGTTTGACAAGTTTAAAAAAGCCCTTATTCTACTCTTAGAAAATGTATTCGAAAATAAGTGCAGAATGAGCACACAACTACTCTTATTGTAAGATTGTATGAATATGAACAAGAAAACATTAGTAAGGGGAAATAAGCTGAAATATTATGAGCATGAAAACATTAAATATAAAGGGGAAATAAGCTTAAATATATGACATTTACTAAAAACATCTAAATACCAACATAAAAAGGGGGCTGTGGTTTGGGCTATGTTTGCTGAAGTGTATCGTATGATATATTTTGGATTTTTTGTTACTGTCTTGTATATTACAAATTTAAGGAATATATTCAAATTACGAGATTGCCTTTGTAATGACCCTTCCATGCTAATCACACTACAAATTTCCAATAAATGATAGAAATGAAAGCCTGCATGAATATTCCCTCATTATCCATTCTTTTTTTATTGAAACCAAAGCAAATTAAATTCCTGAAGATTCCAAATACCTAAATTTATATAAGTGCAAACATGTGCTGTACTATAACACAGGAGTGTGGAAATGAAAAATGATCTCTAAGAAACATATGTTGTCTGAACCTGAATATGCAATATAAAACTTATTTCTCATGGTGAAAACTTCTACTAATATATATAGAACCTCTAGGTAGTAGTCAACAATCATTGTTACAAGGGTGTCGGATCGTTATGGAGAACACAGAAAATAAATAAAATATACGTCTAAAAAAGCATACAACAACACCAAAACAATATTAATATATATACATGCATCATATAATGATGTTTTGAAGAACAGCCCATAGAGCCATAAAGATTGGAAAATTTTAAGTGTGTGAATTTTATCAATAATCATGGATGCAACCTAGCTCTCATGGTGAATTCTCGTTTTATCTGTACATCTCTCAACATCATGAAGTGCAAAGTGGCAATACTTTTAATAGAAAAACAAAGGATATGAGGTATCCATTCGTGACACAAAATCAGTACATGCACAGCAAAAAACACACAAAAGCAAAGGAACAGTGCTTTTATTGCTGTTCTTCATCTCAAAGTCACAGTGAGGCCTTCAACACGGAGCAAAAAAACTCTCACCTCACTGCAAGTTTAAGACGGCCCCTAGCACTGGCTTGAGGGGAATTCTTTGCAAAAATAATTTAGATAGACTTTGTAAGATGTAACACCACCAAATTGGAAAGTAGTACATAAAAGAGCTGTTCCTTTCTTTTGGTTATGCTTTGTTGTACATGTAGGGATTTTGTGTTATGAAGTAATACCCTAATATATCCCTTCTTTTCTTCTAAATAGAAGATTAAAACACCATGTATAGATATTTATTACAGCAATAACAATGTATAACAATATAAAAATATATAATTAAAAAAACAATCAGCAAAATTAACATATTCACAACAATTGTTTCAAAAAGTTATCTTTTTTTTATCGTTAAATACAATTTAAAAATATTTTTGAGAAAATCAACATATTTACAACAACTATTTGAATAAATTTATTTATAATTTAATAATCTTTGTCAATAATCCATACAAAAATGATCCCTCAAAGCAGAGCAATGAATAGAAAAGCATTCTTATACATCTGATAACAAAATAGCATCAGCTTTGAGACAACAGTAGTCATTAAATGCTATAACTGTATTCAGATCATATCATTAATATATTATAAGCATTTTAGGAGACTATCAGTCCAGTTTATAAATGTGCTCTGATACTCACCTCACCTAGAGTCTCATGGGTAGTCAAGGTCATTAACTGTAGTTATGTTACAATTGATATAATTCAAAGATTATTGTAAAATTGCAGGATTAATGTGATCTACATAAACATTGGAACTGAAAATTTTGGAAGTTGTTTGAATTCTTAGCACACAATTGCTTAAACTAATCCTATGTTGCAATATACAACATGCAATTTTTTACCTTGTTACTTTTATCCTGAGGCTTCACCTGGTGTGAGCAAAACAATGCCTCAAGCCATTCCCCAACCGTTTGCCCAATGATGCCTCAAAGCATTGTTTTTTTGGTAGTTTTAAAATCAATTAAGCAACGAAATATGACAGAGAATATTGACTCAGCCTGAGTCAATCATGGGGCTTATTATGAAATTTGTTTCTTTGCTTAGTTTTGTGCAATTGTACCGTTTAAAATTGGACAAATACAAGCAGGGGAAAAAAATCAATGGCGTCCTCCATAGAGCAACCTGGGATAAACAGCTGTTTATTTCAATGTTTTTTGTTTTGGTCTTCCCAGGTGAAAATCAAAATTAGATATTTAGGGGGCATAATCCAATATTTCATTGAGAATTGTTGTCTTCTGATTGGGAAGCTCTAACTTTTTCGTTGCTACATTATTTCTTCAAGAAAAATGTAAGGAATGAAGAAATTTTATCCAACTTTGTTGGTCCAAATACAGATAACTTCATCTTCATGCAGAACTCAAATCGGCAACTTTACCAACTTGTACATGTTGATACCATGAATCAGTATTTCAAACTAGTTTTAAATCCAACTGTCTCTCTCAATGAAAAGATCAAAATGTATTATACTGCAGTGGTTAATATTAGAGGGGACAGGGTCTTGTCAGACAACCTTTCTAGGTAATACTTTTAATATCCTGTAACATTGATGATTATAAAGCTGAATAGCAACCCCTCCCCCTACCTCCATTAACAATATTTTTGAATCAGCTATTGAAATTCATCTGATACTCTTTCATTCTAGGAAGAAAAATTTAAAATGGGCAAAACTTATATACATTATAATGGCACAGAAAACCATGATACATATACTAAAATTCCACAAAAATCAATTATTGGACTAGAAAAAATTTGACTATGATATTAAAATCTACAAATTATAACATGTCTGCCTCTTGTGGAATAATTTTTTCATTTACATTGAAGCTTGATAATGAGAAAAAAAATATAAATATAATAAAAAATCTTTCTTTGCTTAGAAATAATAGGATGTAACAAATATACAAAACTCAAAATAATCTGAAACGTCGAAATATCCAATACCAATGGAAACATTAAAAAGGTCAATAAATAGAACAATTGAAAAATGAAAAAAAGGGCAATGTGAGGATTATTGTAACAAGGTTCTTAATGTAAAACGTATCATTGATTTGTGAAAGATGACTGTAGACAAGAGAGAAAACAGGGAAAGGGATGACCACCAGTGGCTGAAACTTCTGAAAAATGGAGTTCATTACAATAATAAAATTAAAGCCACATATTAATTAAACCTTTCTGAATTGTTATAAAGAAGGTTCACAAAATGGTACCCCTGACCCCAAATGAGGAATGGTAAAGTCTATGATTTGTTTAGGAAAACCCCTAAATCATTGTGGATAAAAAAAAAAGAAAAAAAAGAAGGTTCACAATGGATTTATGTTGTTAAGATTTTGAGACAGGTTTCAATACATTTTAAGAAGGGGTTTAGGAGGAGTTGTTGATAAAACTATGGGTACCCCAGATAAAGCATTGACAAAGTTCATGATTTGCTAATGGAAACTTAAGATATAATAAAATGCTCTGCTGGGCGCAGCTTGATACGACCTCAGAGGTCGAACCCTGAACAGTTGGGGCAAGTATGGACACAACATTCAAGCTTGATACAGCACTGAATTTGGATTGTGATTAAATATTTGACACAGCATAGGTTCTGACACAGAATGAATGTGGTCTAAGAACTTAATTTTTTTTAATTTACCTATTCAAACCATATCATTATTATTTGCTTTTATATATAAATCAGAAATAACCAATTTAAAATGGAAAATTTTAAAGAAAAAAAAAGGAAAAAAAGGAAAAAAAATCCCCCCCCCCCAATTTTTTGAACCCCCTTATGATTCATCACCCTAAACTCAATCCCAGCCTTCCCTTTGTGGTATGGTACCTTGCAGTACAATTTCAGAGAGATCCATACACTTGAACACAAGTTATTGTCCTGAAACTAGAAAAATGCTTGTTTTTTTACCCTTTTTGGCCCCTAATTCCTACAATTTTGAGGCAATTACCCAAAAATCATTCCCAGCCTTCTCTTTGTGGAATGGTACCTTGCAGTACAATTTCAGAGAGATCCATACACTTGAACACAAGTTATTGTCTGGAAACTAGAAAAATGCTTATTTTTGGCCCTTTTTTGGCCCCTAATTCCTAAATGCTTGGGCAATTACCCCCAAACTCAATTCCAGCTTTTCCTTTGTGATATGGAACCTTGTAGTACAATTTCAGAAAGATCCATACACTTACACACAAGTTATTGTCATGAAACTAGAAAAATGCTTGTTTTTTGCCCCTTTTTTTGCCCCTCATTCCTAAAATTTGAGGCAATTACCCCCAAAATCAATCCCAGCATTCCTTTTGTGATATGTAACTTTGTGTTACAATGTCTGAGAGATCCATACACTAACACACAAGTTATGTCTGGAAGTAACAAAAATGCTTAGTTTTTGCCCCTTTTTGGTCCCTAATTCCTTAACTGTTGGTACCATAACCCCCAAAATCAATCCTAACCTTCCTTTTGTGGTATTGAACCTTATGGTAAAATTTCATAGAGATCCATTTACTTAAACTAAAGTTAGAGTGCGAAAACCAATGTGTCTTCGGACGACGACGATGACGATGCAAACGTCATACCAATATAAGACCGCAAAATTTTTTGCGCGGTCATATAAAAACTAATAAAATAAAGACAAAAAAAGATTTGAACATTGGCATTATATTGTGAAGGTTCTGATCAGGGATTTCACGGGAGAAGTGGATACAAATATGTACTGTAATGTGCATGTATACAAAGTCCCAGATCAAAATAATCACATTTAATTATCCAATAATGGAACAACAAATGACCATCACCATAATATAGTAATAATAAGAGCAAGTTTCAGCAAACACAAGATGATATGTCAGTTCTGTATTCCCAACTGTTTCCCCAGAATCCAGTACACAAAAACCCACCAGGACCTTTCAGACCATACTCTGGACCAGTTACAACATAATCTGGCAGTAGGTTAGAAAACTAAAATAAAGATAATCAGACTGAATTTGTATCAACATAATGGCGAACTAATTGTAACTTGAAAGAATGTCTGAATGTTGTTCTTGACACATAAATTCCAAAGTATAACCTTTACTCAATAACCTATTAAATCAATCTGTATATTATGTTTCATAACTATGTGTTTAACTCTAAAATACCAATTTATGAGGTAACTTATGGCTAAAGGTCATACAATATAGTTACAGGGAGGTAATGACGTTGCTAAGGTAAAACGTTATTTTTCGAGACATCAAACTGTGACATATTGGGAAAAGATGCATTTTCGACTGATTTTAATCATTAGCTTAAAAACTAGCGAATGGACACCTCTTTTTTAAAATTAAATTTGGCTTGATTGTTTTTAAAGATTATTTGTACCAATTTTTATGAACAAATCACCAATGAATTTTTTTAAATTGGATAAATGTAGAGCAAAAAATGCCTTATTTTTTCTAAAATGGTGACAATTTAATAAAAAAAATAATTATTTTTAAAGAATTGTAGCACAGATTTACAGCATCCGTATGTAAAGAAGATATTCCAAATGCTTTTCACAAAATCCACTTGTGTTTATCTTTTGAAACAAAAAAGTTAGTTGTGTCCTTCTGAAGTATAGAAAATTCCAAGAACCCAAATTTTGAGTAAATGTTTTAATAGACCATGAAATTGCATTTTAGTTTCAAAAGATTTGGTCAAGATGTATTATCATTATCATATGGAAACCGAAGAAAACCCCAATTTTAAGGTAAGTAAGGGACTTAACTCTTGAACAATACTTGTCAAAACCATCAATATTGACCTTCACCTGTATTTTCTTGTCCGTGACATTGTGTTTTGAGTTTTCAAAAGATTTGGTTAAGTGGTACCTTGTACTTTAATTATTATTCAAAAACTAAAATTGGGATGGACAAAAGGACAGACTTATGAATAACTTTATACCCTCTTTGAGAGGGTGGGGGTATAAAAAAGTAATATAACCAAAACTACACAGCTTTATGAAGAATTTATTCAGAAAAACTGGTAATTCCTCTTCTTATGTACAAAGATAATGAATCTGGTGCTTTTTTCCCTTCATCAGTTATTGCAAATTATCAAGTTACCTCCCTTTGTATGATCATCTATAGTTGATTTTAAAATTTTTAACTTCTATTAATGCAGCATGGAAAATCGTGAAAAAGATGCATTACTTCAGATCATGATATTGAATTCAATTTTGTAAGCTTCCACAACAAGCTTTATCAATAGTTCATTTATATCAAATTACGAATATAATTTTTCCAATTAAAAAATTGTCTACAAAGGGAAACAATTCATATCCCCTGCCTATACAAAGCAAGTGGAAAAAGCATGATACATTGTATTGTATCTGAAAATAATTTTGTCTTGGTAAGTGCATTACCGGTACATATCTTTGGTAAAAATGGAAATTGCAAAACATGTTATTATACAATGAAAATTTGCAACAGTAAATTCATCAAAATATTCTCTTTCTATAATGTTTATACAGGCATGGATAAACCTTGGAGTTGTTTCCCTTTCCAAATAAAATCTATATTAAATGGAAAATGGACTACTTTTTTGCAGTATTAAGTAAAAATGGTACATTCAAGGAGACAATCTTAAAGTGAAATAATGAATATTTCATTATGCGTAGTTTATTTCACAAGGCTGTCGTAGAATTTTCTAACAATACAGGTGCACAACTTCATTTCAAAGCACTATCATTTTAATTACTCACAGATAACCTTAAAATTGGTAGACAAAATAGTATGTCTATTAATATGATACTTACAGGTGACCTTGTCATTGGTGGAATAGTGGGAGTGGCCAGTGATATGACTTCATAAATTATAGTCCTTCATAAAAGATTGTCTATTTATATGATACTTACAGGTGACCTTGTCATTGGTGGAATAGTGGGAGTGGCCAGTGATATGACATCATATAGTCCTTCATAAGAGTTTGACATCAATGTTAATGCAATATAATGATACTTACAGGTGACCTTGTCATTGGTGGTATAGTGGGAGTGGCCAGTGATATGACATCATATAGTCCTTCATAAGAGTTAGACATCAATATCAATGCAAGATTGTCTTTACCATTTGGTGCTAATGTAAGAAGACCTGATCGAGGATCACTGAATTTACATTTTGATACTGAAAATGACGAATCTGTAAAAGACAAAAGTGAAATATGTTATAAGAAGAAATACGATGTAAGTTTTGTAAACTGTAAAATATATGCTAATGATTTGCTTTCACTACCCTTACAGCTGAGCTTATCTGGAAAAATTCAATTTTTTAATTCAAATTAACACATAAAAAGGAATCAAAAACATGAATTTCATTACTTATATGCAGGAGTCAGTTTCACAAAAAAACTTATGACAAAGATTGATCGTAAGTATACTGAATTGTTTGTAACTTACAATCAATCTTAGTCGTAAGTTTTTTTGTGAACCAACTCCTGGTGTTTACATAATTTCCTTTATGGGAAAAATCAGTATTAATATGGTCCACACACATATAACAAAACAATCAAGGAGTATTAGATAGAGCTTCGGCTGTTGTCTGCTCTTTGGTCGGGTTGTTGTCTCTTTGACATATTCCCCATTTCCATTCTCAATTTTACTCTGCACAAGTTTCAGGTCCATACATTCTTGACTTTCAACTTTTTGGCTAAGAGCATGCCTGATGATGATAAATCTTAACAAGAGACTCCTTAGAGCTCACCTAGAATCTTTTTTGTAGTTCTTCCATCAATGATCCCTTTTGTTGTTAACAGTTTACACCATCTATTATTGTTTTCGAATTAATTGGCAAAAAACATGATAAAAGTGAATACTGTCAATTAAGGAGAATAATTAATTTAGTAGTAATCCAATGGTTTCAGTCAACCACATTTCTGAAAGGAATTCATTAACGTATTTCTTATAAAATAATCATTTAAGGATAATAACTCAAAAAGGGAGTCAATTGATAATTCTGAAGTAAATGGAAACATTGGGAGGCATGCTGATTGTTTTAAATTACTTTTTTCCCCCTAGATCTCTTATCATTATTTAAATATAAACCAAAAATGATTCCTGACCGAATCTTTTCTATATCTATCTATAACAGTTTGGTGATGGAACAAAATGTGACAATCTAGATACTCTAAAGAGCATGCAAGCAAAGTTTAGATGATGAGGCCCAGCAGTTTCAGAGCAGAAGAATTTTGATAAGTCAATGCAGGGCAAAGATTACAGAGCAGGGCAAACAGATATAAAGTGATGGCAAAAGCTCACATGGACCTTTTAATCCATATCAGCTTAAAAGTCGAGGGTTCAATCAACTAGTATGTAGTAGTAAATATTGGTCAATTTTATTCATATGTAAAGCAATGTATTCCAGGACCTTTTGTCAAGGACAAAACTTATATACTTCCAAAGAAAATTCTTTAATCATACCAAAAAAATTTCAGCAGAAAGTAATGTAATCTAAATTGTTAATATTGCTGTCATGTTATAGTGCATGATAAACTCTCATTTACAATATCCATTTCATTTTAATTGATGGCTTGTTTTCATCAAGTCAGGCAATACCATCATTACTAACACTATATAAAAGAGTCACATCACAGAAACAATAACTTTGTCCTAAGTCAGCATTGAGATCAAGATGAGTTACTACGCCACTGTATTAATACTATTGTTATTTGCAGAAATAGTTATGGGATCATGTGACACAAAATTAGGTAAATATAAATACATCATTTATAACGTTATAAGAAAATAAAATAATGAATTATTATAATGAACTAATATACTGGATAAAAAGCTATTGTTTCGAATATACTGTTTTGCAGCTTTTTTGGCTTATAAGATAACAGGAACTAATAAGTAGGGTAAAAGTTATTGCTTCAAATAGATTTTCAAATACAGAGAAGCAAAAACGGTTTTAGTTAGTTCACTATAAGAGGTAAGGAAAAAATATTAAGCGTACATGTTGAATTATGAACTTACAAAAAGAACTTTAGTAAATATACTTAAATTTAAACATTTAATGATGGAATGTTTATTTTCAGAGTGTTCACTTCTTGGTGATCTCCTAGAAATGGCAATGAAACATAAAAGTCCAGGTTAGTTTCATATCTAATTACTTTTATGCTACAAATAAGCTATTTGCACAGTCAAAATGTTGCAAATGCATAAACTTTGGCTTTTCATAGATAATTACCAAAATGTTTCATTTGTTACAGTTTTAAGAGATGTAGTATAAAGAGAACAAACATACATTTGTACTTGGCTTGAAACAGGACAGAAATTCTTGGCAAAGCCTCACATTCTACCTGTTTCTAATCCTTGAACAAATACATTTTATATTTTAGAAGACAATGTATATATATAGTTATTCTATACATATAATTAGCTCACTTGGCCAAAAAGGGCCAAGTGAGCTTTTCTCATCACTTGGCATCCGTCGTCTGTCCGTCGTCGTCTGTTAACTTTTACAAAAATCTTCTCCTCTGAAACTGCTGGGCCAAATAAAACCAAACTTGGCCTAAATCATCCTTAGGGTATCTAGTTTAAATTGTATCTGATTACCCTGGCCATCAACCAAGATGGCCGCCATGTCTAAAAATAGAACATGGGGGGGGGGGGGGGGGGGGGGTGGTAAAATGCAGTTTTTGGCTTATATCTCTGAAACTAAAGCATTTAGAGGAAATCTGACATGGGGTAAAAATGTTCATCAGGTCAAGATTTATCTTCCCTGAAATTTTCAGATGCATCAGACAACCTGTTGTTGGGTTGCTGCCCCTGAATTGGTAATTTTAAGGAAATTTTGCAGTATTTTGTTTTTATCTTAAATATTATTATAGATAGAGATAAACTGTACACAGCAAAATTGTTCAGCAAAGTAAGATCTACAAATAAGTCAACATGACCAAAATTGTCAATTGACCCCATAAGGAGTTATTGTCCTTTAAAGTAAATTTTTCAGAAATTTTTGTAATCTTTTACAAAAATCTTCTCCTCTGAAACTACTAAACAAAATTAAACCAAACTTGGCCTAAATCATCCTTAGGGTATCTAGTTTAAATAAATTGCTTTGCCGAGCGCAGCTGGATACGACCACAGAGGTCCAACCCTGAACAGTTGGGGCAAAAATGGACAAAATATTCGAGCTTGATACAGGTCTGAATTTGGATTGTAATTAAATATTTGACACATAATAGGTTTCTGACACAGAATAACTGTAGTTAAAAGAAGTTGAATTGGTTATATGATTTGAATTTATATTAAATTTTTTGCTTTTGTGCAATACACTTTGCTGTTGCGAATTGACTCCCCTCCCTCCCCCCCCACAAAAAAAAAAAAAAAATTACCCCCCCTTTTTTTTTGCTTTTGTGCAATACATTATGCTGTTGTGTATTGACCCCCCCACACACACACACTTTTTTTTTGCAAAAAAAATAATATTTGAAGAATTTTTCTTTTTAATTTCTGAAATCTGAAATCTGAAAAAATTGATCCCCCACAATTTCTTCCCCCCTCCCCCCCCCCCCCCCCCAAAAAAAAAATTCTTTCCCTCAAGATATGGTCATATCTCAATTCAAATTTCCAATGGAGTTTGCAACCATAATTACTCATTTAAATACATCATAAAAGTCTTAAAATAGAAATTGACATACATAATCATGGCTAAAATTAATATTCCTTAATAGTAACTTCTAAAAATAAATTGACAGCTAATCATCTCAAGACAATACAACATTTCTTTATACATAATTTAAAAGCAGAGTAAGGGAGGTAATCAAAACGTTGTGTTTGGATTACCTCCCTTACACTGATTTTAAATCGTCTTAAGTAATTGTCCATTAACCAGGAAACCCTTGTTTTTCCCCTTTTTTGCCCCTAATTCCTAAACGGTTTGAGCCATAACCCCCCAAAGCAAATCCTAACCATGCCTTTGTGGTATGGAAACTTGAGGTATAATTTCAGAGAGATCCATACACCCTTCCACAAGTTATTGTCTGGAAACTAGAAAAATGCTTATTTGGGCCCCTTTTTGGCCCCCAATTCCTAAACTGTTAGGACCATAACCCCCAAAATCAATCCCAACCTTCCTTTTGTGGTTATAAACCTTGCGTTTAAATTTCATAGATTTCTATTTAATTATACTAAAGTTATTGTCCGGAAACCAACTGTCTTCGGACGACGCTGACGACAACGACAAAGTGATACCAATATATGACCACAAAATTTTTTGCGGTCGTATAAAAATGTATCCGATGACCCTGCCCATCCACCAAGACGGCCGCCATGGCTCAAAATAGAACATGGTGGGTAAAATGCAGTTTGGCTTATATCTCTGAAACTAAAGCATTTAGAGGAAATCTGACATGGGGTAAAAATGTTCATCAGGTCAAGATCTATCTTCCCTGAAATTTTCAGACGCATCAGACAACCCGTTGTTGGGTTGCTGCCCCTGAATTGGTAATTTTAAGGAAATTTTGCAGTTTTTTGTTTTTATCTTAAATATTATTATAGATAGAGATAAACTGTAAACAGCAATAATGTTCAGCAAAGTAAGATCTACAAATAAGTCAACATGACCAAACTTGTCAATTGACCCCGTAAGGAGTTATTGCCCTTTATAGTCAATTTTTTCGTAAATTTTTGTAACCTTTTTCAAAAATCTTCTCCACTTAATCTACTGGGTCAAATAGAATTAAACTTAGCCACAATTTTCAATAGGGTATCTTGTTTGAAAAATGTATCCGATGACCCTGTCATCCAAACAACTGAAAATAGAACATAGGGGTTTACTATAGAAGTCTAAGGGAAAATTGTAAAAAAAACAATTTCAAATGGTCACAACTTGAAAACTAATTTAAATAATGATAAGGGGTCTTCAGTAACTATTGTAAGACTACAATGGGATGACCTGCTTTTAATTTAACTACTTGGCCAAATTAAACCAAACTTGGCCTCAATCATTATTAGGGTATCTAATACTATTAATTATGATTTTAACCTTATTTTACATGATTTCCAAAACAACAGTCGATACAGGTGAGCGACACAGGCTCTTGAGAGCCTCTAGTTTCTTTTTTTACTTAAATTTTTTTTTACATAAAATGTAATAAAACCTTTTTATCACAACAAATATGAATAATTACATACTGTTGAAATTGATTATTATAGCTATGGATTAAAGGAGATGTAATGTATTTGTCAATGAGACAGCAACCCAATGACAGAAAAAAACTGAGTAGACTGCATCGAAAAAATAGCATGATGATTAATGAAATTTCTCTCATTTTGAGGCTGGTACAAATATCATGTGAATGTATACAATAAAATCCCTTTAATCACTTTTTATTTCACATCCTTCCATGCATTTTTCCATTTTTTACACTAGCAATCATAGTTATATACAGTTGACACATAAAAAATGAAAGACTAAAAAGGTTTACAAGTGAAGCAATTTGAAGAGTTTTCAAGTTTCATACACAACTGTCATTTTTTTTTCTTCTTTTATATTCATTTTAGATAAAGGCTGTCAGTGTCTGAGTAGAACTAGAATCCCAGCCTTTCAATCAATGCTGACTCAACCACAAACCCCTGGAGACAAAGGTGTTATCAAGTTTGACAAAATTGTCACCAATATACAAAATGGCTACAACCCAACCACTGGTATTTTTACCACACCTGTTGCTGGAGTTTATCAGTTTTCTTATACAGTCATGACACAGGCTGGAAAGTATCTAGTTGTTTACATTTCTCATAATAATATCAAGCAACAAACTACATGGCTGAAAGGTTCTAGTCATGAGACTGGAACAGTCAATATTATATTAAATCTGAAGAAAGGAGACCAAGTTGCAGTAAAGTCCCAAGGCAATTTTACTATTCACAGTGATAGTAATAACCTGTACAGCTCATTTTCTGGCTATCTCATAGCACAATAAAAGAAATAATACTATTAGGTTTTTCTTTTTCATTAAAACTAGAGGCTTGAAAGAACCTGTGTCGCTCACCTAGGTCTATGTACATCTTCAACAATGGACACTCTACAACATTGTGGACTAGAAAAGAATTCATGACAAAACCTTTTTTTGTTGATCTTGTATTGCTTATTTTTTTTCTGTTTACAGTTCCTCTCTATCTTCTTTAGTTTTTGCCCAAAACACCAAAAAAGGGTAAAAAACTTGTCATTTTAAGTCAATCACTCCTAGAAAGAGTCTACTATGGATTTCAACAAAATTAGACTCATTTGTAGATCTTATCTTGCTGATCATGTTTTTCTATTTAAAGTGTCTATCTATCTTTTATAGTTTTCAAGATGGTAGGCAAAAAATGCAAAAAATCGTAAAAATCGTCATTAAAGAGCAATTCCAATAAGGAGTCATCTGACTTGTTTCACCCATGTTGACTTATTTGTAGATCTTGTCTTGCTGATAATTTTTGCTATTCAAAGTGTCTTTCTATCTATTGTAAGCTTCAAGAAAATAGACAAAAACACTAAAAAAGGGTAAATATCATCATTATAGAGCAATAACTTCAATAAAGAGTCATTAGGCCATAACTTATTTATAGTAGGTTTTGCTGATCATTTTTGATAATTTAAGTTTCTATCTATCTACCAGTATTATAGTTTTAGATAACAGGCAAAAACACAAAAAATTGGTAAAAATCAGCGTTAAAGGGTAAGAACTCCAATAAGGAAGTGTCAGACAATTACAGCAATTTAAATGTTCTCTTTAAGTAACATTATTTTCAAGATACAACAAATGTAATTGGCAAAAATGACAAAAAAATGGTTAAATTTGTCATTTAAGGGCAATAACTCCTATAAGAAGTCGTCTGACAGTTTTGATGTAAAAGGACAATAGGTAGATCTCAACATCCTAAACATGTGTGCCCTGTCAGATTTTTTCTATTTATAGCTGTTTTCAAGATGTTAGACAAATCTTGCATTTTACCCCTGTTCTATTTTAAGCCAAGTCTGCCATGTTGGTTGGCAGGCGGGTAATGATCTCATCAGACACATTTGCAAAAACTAGATTTCCTAATGATGATTGTGGCCATGATTGGTTCAATTTGGTCTAGGAGATTCAGAGGAGAAGAATATTAATCTTAAAAAGTTAAGGGACAATAATGATTAGTGACGACAGGTGATGAAAAAGTTCACTTGGCCCTTTGGACCAGATCTATAATGTGCTTCTAACAAACATTATTCATTAAGTTTTATATCTATATTCTACAGTCCAAAAAATTGCACTTGTTTTACAGCTGGTATATTATATTTATGTAGTTTTCTACTAACCTTTGACCTCTACAGGTATTTTCTTAAGGTACATCTCTGTCTTTGAATTCTGCTGTGGTGATCCAATAATTATCAAATTAGAATTTTCTATAAAAAGGGAAGAAATGCAATTTATATCTAACAAATGCAATTTCTTTCTTTTGAGGAAAAAAATGAATAATTTTTTTCAGTTCAAATATTGAGAATATGGAGACTGAAAAAAAATTAAGGTTGTTCCATTAAAATGTCAATAACATACAAAAACAGCTACAGGTGTTGAAACAGTGTTCAAAATGAAAAATTCAAGAATAAAAATTGGCTATATCAATGGATATCTAGTGATATCTGTGGGTATCACTTATTTTAACACAGAACAACCATGAAAACATTTTCAAATGAACATCACAAGTGCTGCAATCTGTCATTAAAATAGAATAAATCACCATCTTTTTTTTTAATTCGGTAATTTACTGTTGATGTTTTGCACAACAGCAGTACAAAAAAAGCTTTTTAAGAGGAAATACACATGGCATGGTGACTATAAAATATAGAAGAAATTCAATAAGGGAGGGATACAAATCTATGCTGAAGGGTTCTCTATGCTCCCTTGATTAAATCTCAATTTGATTGATTTTTTTATTTGTGTAAAACTTTTACCTATCTGATAATTCTACAGCTCCTCATCCTTTATGACTACAGCTGGTGTATCAGATATCAAAAAGAACATGTTGGTTATGTATACAGCAACCCCCCCCCCCCTTTTTTTGGTGAAAATTTTACCTATCTGACCATTCTCAAGCTCCTCATCCTTTACAACTACAGCTGGTGTATCAGATGTCAGAAAGAACAGGTTGGCTATGTAAACAGCAAACTTCTGAATGTGTATGGCTGCCTCTTGATCTTGTGTACCTTCACAATGTTTAAATATATTTGATCATTGATTTTGTTAAAAAAAACACCAAATAATATACTTATGTTTATTTTGATTAAGTTAAAAGATGAATAATGTATTAATGTTTAATTTTATAAAAACAAAAAACTGATAACAGCACATTTTCATCCGTCTTCTTTTACTGATAATTTGTTCTCTTCCTGAATATGCATGTTATATTTGCCACAAGATGTTAAAGGGACATTAGCTGTCAAATTCATTTGCACTGATTCAGCTCAAATTCTCATATTTCATTTATAACATACTAAAATGTCTATCCAAATTACAAAAAGTACTATTAAGAAATAATGCATGGATTCGTTAAAATGTATCAACAGTTCCTGCGTTTTTGACACTATGTGTCATCTAATTAATCATTGTGATGATCTCCAAAGAATTATGTAGGTCATATGATCTGATGTAAACACGAACATAAATATAGATATGCAGTCAAGCACGTCCAAACAGATGTCTAGATGTCATTTTAATTTTGTTTCATTGAGTTTTCTCATTGGTGTATTCCCCCATATCTTTTATTATAGTGAAAGTGTAGCTCAGTTCAAGTATCATTTTCCTTAACAGTAGAAGATTCCTTTTTTGCATTTTTGGCATCAATGTTATGGTTTGAAAACATATTACTAAAAGAGTTGTGATCTTGGATATGGTTTAAAAATTATATTTTGACTGTCAACTTCCTTAAGTATCTAAATAGCATACCAACAACAATATAGAATTCATTTTCAGCTACTCTCCGAGCAGGACCATAAGATGAAGGTCCTCTCGAATCTCCAAAATCTTCTGTGCAGTCTTCCCAGGCATCTATAATAAATTATAAACAGAAATATATTAAAAGCCAATACTTGATCATTTCAATCAATAAATACTTTATGTCATACCTTTATTTCTATAAATATATCATGTCATCCAAACAAATAGACCACTTTCGAGTTATGTCCTTCACTGGAAAAGTTCGTCAATTATGCGTGCCTTTATGACGTCATTTACCAGATAGAGGGGGATGTCTGTATCCTAGCACTATTAAAGTTCATCAAGCGTCTTCGTGATCCTCATTATGCAGGATAAACTAGAAATAATGTTTGTTTCGTAGGTACTAAATCATAATTCCCTAATGACAGCAGTGCTGATTATCAATTATAAGAATTCAATTTGCTGAATAATTCGTGCAATCTAGCATCATATTTTTTCAACCGCTCGCTCAACATGGGAAGGAAGTAAAGATGCCCCTAAACGCACGAATGATGTTCACTAAAACCAAAGTTTTTGATGGAAATGCAACGATCTCGAAGTGGTCTATTGCATTAGAATCCATATTCTATGTCATACCTGTATTTCTACAAAAATAAACTGTAGAAAAAATTTTCAGTTTGTCTTCTAAATTCTTCACTGAAGTTCCATCTACCTACAAAAGATCAAAACTCCATTACAGTACAAATACTATTTTTTTTATAATTCTGTACATATCAAATTTGAAATGGTTTAATCAATGCTTTAATATCATACTGCAAATAGAAAAAATAAAGTGAATAACATTAATATACCAAATATATCATTGACCTAATTTTTATCAAATACAACTGCTTGAGCAACACGACGGGAGTGTGAAGCAGCAATTGCTTCCACTTCCTGAGCACATGAGGTCAACCCTGGCTTTTTGTATGGTTTGTGTTGCTCAGTCATAAGTTTTATGTGTAATATTTTGCTATTGCTGTTTTTTTAATTGTTTGTAGCCACTGTGTTGTCTGATTTTATTGGACTTTTTTTTAATCGTCTCCTTGGCACCCCTATCTTTTTAAATGAAAATATGACAGCCAATATATATTATTGGGGGAAACAGCATTTCATCTAATCAATTGCTTTTAATATAAAACTGCATAGGCACTCTTACTAGCAATTTGAATCCTGGAATCAAATTGTTACCTTTTACGGTAACATTTTCTTTTAAACATAATTTTTCATATCATATTACTGTAAAAGCAGAAATTATCGTTGGGGTTTTAATTTGATTTATTTCATGGATAGATATCATCCACGAAATTCAAACCCCAACTAAATTTTAACCTACAAAGAATATTACTTTCACATACTGGAATCTACGAAAATTGATCATCATGAAATTAAAAGTAGAAAAAAAACAAGAAATTTTAATCCCACAAAAAATAAATTTTTCATCAGTAGTTTGTTTAAGTTTCTTAAAAATTAAACATTTGTCCTAAAAATTTGAAAGAAGTGCTTTAATTTGGGAAATGGTCAAATCATGTTCAGAAGAGAAAAACTTTCATATTATTATACTAGAGGAACAGATTCTAACTGCAGACTAGCTGCTAACATTGCAAAAGATAAAAATGAAAGATTGTTCCTTTGTTTATACCTGTAATGATTTAAACTGGGACAACTTCAAGTTATTCTTTTTATATGAAAATCTCAGTATATTGGTTGTATCAACAATCATTGCATCATCCTTCAAGGAACCCTGGAAAATAAATTTGAACTTGTAGCTGTTAAAATGTTATTGCGGTTCACATTAAGTACATAGAATCTTTACATAGGTGAAAATTTCAGATATTACAGGAGTCTAAATCCCAAGAAAGGGAAATCTCAGACAGCATAAGGTAAGGTCTCTAGTTTAAGATTACAAAAAGGATTGTTGTTTCTGAGATTATCAACTCTTGGTAGTATTTAACAAAAAAATTATGCATGATACTTCTCAAACATATTCAAAATGAATGCAGAACCTAGTCTCTTGCCTGCATTTGATATTGTCAGTGTAAAAGTGCAATGTTGATTGCCAATTATCAGTAAAATACAAGGAAAAAAATCAGAATTTTTCTACTTATGCCATTTCTTGATCATGAAGCTTCTGTCCACATTTTGAAACATTCCAACATTCAAAATTTATTTTCATAATTTTGCTTCAGATATCATCTTTAAATCACAAAAAAAACTTTTGCCCAGGTATCGTAAAATTTCATAAAGGTTTGACAAAATTATTGATGTCCTAAAAAACAACTTTACCTTCAGTCAATCCAAGTGTTAAAGGTTAAAAAAAAATTAAGTCCACTGATCAGTTAAATAATGAACAAGAGTGCACACGATGAAATGTCTCGCCTACTATACTGACCATTGATTTTATGTTGATAGTCCTAAATGTAAAGATCACATTAACATTTATGATCTCAGAAAATGAGGTCAAGGTCAGATAAACCAAGCCGTAAATACATGTACACCTTTAATACAATCATTCCATACACCGAATATAGATGACCTATTGCTTATAGTATAAAAGAAACAGACCAAACGATGGAAATTATATATTGACCAATGAACCATGAAAATGAGGTCAAGGTCAGATGAACCCTGCCAGACAGACATGTACACCTTAAAATCATTCCATGCATCAAATATAGTTGACCTATAGCTTATAGTTTCTAAGAAACAAAGTTAATCAGGAAAACTGAACATTGACCAATGAACCATGAAAATGAGGTGAAGGTCAGATGATACCTGCCAGCAGACATATACACCATACAATCATTCCATACACCAAATATAGTTGACCTATTGCTTAAAGTTTAAGAAAAACAGACCAAAACACAAAAACTTACCATTTAGCAATGAACCATGAAAATGAGGTCAAGGTCAAATAAAACCTGCCAGACTGACATGTACATCATAAAATATCTCCATACACCAAATATAGTTGACCTATTGCATACAGTATTGGAAAAACAGACCAAAACACAAAAACTAAACTTTTGCCACTGAACCATGAAAATGAGGTCAAGGTCAGATGACACCTGCCAGTTGGACATGTACACCTTACAATCATTACATTCACCAAATATAGTAGACCTATTGCTTATAGTATCTGAGATATGGACTTGACCACAAAAACTTAACCTTGTTCATTGATCCATGAAATGAGGTCGAGGTCAAGTGAAAACTGTCTGACAGGCATGAGGACCTTGCAAGGTACGCACATACCAAATATAGTTATCCTATTACTCTTAATATGATAGAAATTAACATTACATTAAATGTGGATAGTGTCCACATGTGGACACAGATAATGCCCCCGCTTGCATATCATATAGTTATAAAGGGACATAACTGAAGAATGGTAAAAGTGACGCTACCCAAATTTGAACTTGATCTGAGTTTTGTGGTAATAAGCATTGTGTGTAAGTCTCATAACATTTGGTTGAGGCTAACTTAAGTAGAGAACAGAAACTAAAAATTCAGCAATTTTTCTACTTGTAAACACACATAACTCTAGAACAGTTGTGTATAAGTTTTATAATATTTGGTTGAGACAAACTAAAGTTAGAGAACGGAAACGAAAAATTCAGCAATTTTTATGTTTATAAAGGGACATAACTCAAGAATGGTAAAAGTGTCGCCACCAAATTTCGTACTTAATCTGTATTATGTAGTAATAAGCATTGTGTATAAGTTTCATAACATTTGGTTGAGGAAAACTTAAGTTAGAGAACGGAAACTAAAAATTTGGAATTTTTCCATTTATAAAGGGGCATAACTCTAAAATGGTTAAAGTGATGCCACAAAAATTCAAACTTGATCTGTGTTTTGTGGTAATAAGCATTGTGTATAAGTTTCATAACATTTGGTTGAGGCAAACTTAAGTTAGAGAACGGAAACTAAAAATTTAGCAATTTTTCCATTTATAAAGGGGCATTACTCTAGAACGGTTAAAGTGACGCCAACAAAATTCCAACTTGATAACATTTGGTTGAGGCAAACTCAAGTTAGAGAACGGAAACCAATTTTATGCTACGGCGGGGGCATAAAAAAAATATTAACTTTTTTTTCAAGTAGTCATTGAACCATGAAAGTGAGGTCAAGGACAATGGACATATGACAGACGGAAACTTCATATCATAAGGCATCTATATACAAAGTTTGAAGCATCCAGGTCTTCTACCTTCTGAAATATTAAGCTTGTAAGAAGTTAATTAACGCCGCCGACGCCGGATCAATATCCCTATGTCGAGCTGTCGAGCTTTCTGCGACAGAAGTCATAGGCTCGACAAAAATGATAAAACATATTTTAAAAATTTTGCTGCAGATGGTATGTCTTGATTAATAAGAAGCTTCTGTCCAAGTTTAATAAAATTCCATGAAGCTTTGACAGTTAAAGTCCTGTTTCACTGGAACGACAAACCAGAAAATGTTTAAAATCTAAATGGAGATCAATCCAACCATATTCGAGAAGGTACATGTATGGTTTGACATATGAGTAATATTACCTTAAATCTAACGGTTAAAGTCCTGTAACTCTGGAACTTAAAATCAAAAGGGAGTTTTCTTCAGTCAATCCTAATGTTGTGTTAAAATTCAATGAGAATTGGTAACAGCAAATTTGGGTTAATGTACGAAGTGCACACATACTGACGAATAGATGGATGAATGGAAAGACTATGGTGTACCTTTGTGTGTGCAGTCTAAGACTGGCAAATAATCACCAATGGAATTGAAAAACAAATGCTTTTATTTTCCCGTCAGTTGAAAAATTGTAACAATTGAATTGACTGTGCTGTTGCAATCTACCTTCATCTGACTGAGTCTGAAAGGTGTAATTTGCTGAATAACTTGAAATCCCTGCAGACCTTCTCCAAATGCTGGATTTACACACGTGTAAGTAAAACTATAATCCTGTTTACTGTATTTATTTTCACTGACTGGTTTACAATTATCATCACGACAGTACCCTGACTTCTGTTCCAGAGCTTTAGCTGTGAAATCTCTAATGTACTTGTCATTCACTACTCCTCCATCATTCGTCTCTCTGAAAAGTAGAAATCAGTATTAATCAAATTATGAAATACATTTAAAAGTGGGGGTTATTAGAGCTTACCACAGGGAATGAGTGCTTTTCAATTGTTTTAGCTAAAAAATTACCAATCAAAACATGCATAGATCTATTTCCAATAACCAATGACCGCTGGTTTTCACGTTTGAATTGTTTCACGTTTATTGTCATTCTGAGCTGGAGCCTTTTATAGTTACTATAGGTAATGGTTGTGTTTGTTGCCAAAGGCTGTACGGTAACTCATACTGGTAGTTGCTAACATCAAGGTCCTCTGGTGGATAATTGTCTCATTGGCAACCTATAAAATTGATCTTATAAACTAAAATATCCTACTTTGTATCCCACCACCAATGTTCCTTTCCCTCAGGTTCTGTATAATTAACCATGGCTCCTATCTCCCTCAATAGTCGATACATCCTTCTAAGGTAGAATGGAGGTACAGTCTTGTCAGCAGCACCAGTTCTGATCAACACAGGAACATGCTACAATATACTTATTATATGAATAATAGATAACTATGTTTCCTTATATATCTTCTTTAATGGTCAAAACCTTTTTCTAAGATGGTGGAAATGATAATTTAATCGTCAAATTACTGCTTTCCAACATTATTTTCAAGAGAGGCTAAAATGGACAACATTATGACAAATTCGTGTCACCTAGAAGGTCAAGAAAATGTAGAACTCTGCAGCTTCGATCTTGGCATTGGTGACAAGAAATTTATAATTAAATCCTTATAGTGTTGGATTTGAATATGACATAGATAATGTTGATATAAACATGTAGTTTAAGAATTGAAAATAATTTCCTATACTATTGAATGTACAATATTTTTTATGTGACAGAAGTCTAGTTTCAGGAGTTGATTTGGAAGGGAGTCAACTCAAGAACATTCCTAACAAAAATTGATCAAATTTTAAAATGCACTTCTATTTTAGTCAATATTAATAAAATTATATTTTATTAGGATAACATTGGCCATTTTGTCTGAATACTGTGGATTAATTTATTTTTCGTGGGTACCAATTTTCGTTGATTATGGAAAACTTACATGTTTGTGGATATTTGATTTCTTATTTTTACCTTAGTCTGCATACAAGCCAATAGAAAATTTGTTATTCGTTGTATATTTAATTTGTACCTAAATCCACGAAATCCACGAAAATTGGTATCCAACGAATAATAATGAAACCACAGTAGTCAAGATCATACATCTACTGTATATTGTGAAATTTTTGTTACAATCCTGTTACTCTAAAACAACATATTTTCATGTTTAGCCCTTTCTAATCCAATCCACAGCGATATAATTTCGTGCTTTATATATTCACTTGATGTTATTTAATATTAGTTAAGGAAATATCTTAAGTTTTAAATTTTAGAGACAATTTATATTTGCTTTATTTTTCTACTCACGAAAGTTTGTTTACAGTATTTTTGATTTGTAATCAATAAAATCTCTTATTTCTTCATATTCTGATCCTTCTTACCTTCAAGTTAGAAACATGTCTATCAACATCATTTTCCGTGATAGAAGATTCCATGATAAACTTGACTCCAGGGTCTACATGGCTTGCAGCTATGTCATGTCTGAAGACAAAAATACAAGATATTTCAATGGTTACCATATATCATTATTCTGACACAGTTATATCATTACGTGTAGTGCACTTATATGTTTAAATAATCAAGAAAGATAATTCAAACAAGAAATGAGCTGTCAAATTGACAGCAAACCAATTTTTCTGTATTTTTAAGGTAACCATTGTTGAACTTAAGACAGCAGCTACAATGCAGTATGAATGAAATTAATGTATTCTAATGTATGGCGCATTCAGGCTTGTTTGACCTACACATTTACCATGTTCTGTGAATAGTCTCAGAATGCCACTTGCCATAACAGTGAATTTAACCCATCTGCAGATACATAAGAAGTCACTTCCCATCAGCAGGGATTTAACCAAGCTGTAGACATAATTACCTAAAGAACAGGTTACTATCACCATATTCTTCTTTTTTTATCCAACCAGCGAGAGAGATGAGGGCCAATGCTCTGTCAGGGTAATGTGTAGCTAAGTTTAATGCACCATGGCCTCCCATGGAATGACCTTAGAATATAAATTTATAATTTCTAAACTTAAATTCACCAGCGTACATGTACTTCATGTCATATCTTCATAAAAAATAACTTGTGTTAGGAACGATTACATTATTTTTCCCATAATTCAAATCAGTTTAGTATTTAATTGATAACAGTAACTTTTGTACAATAATCAGTGCAATAACTATTACATAAAAGTCGTCAGGAAAAATATGCAAGAAATATTTTCACTGATTATTTATTCTTCCCCTAGTAGGTAAAACATAATATCAGACTAGTAAAATATATTTACATAGTAACAAATGCATATTTCAATTTTTTTTTTTTTTTTTTTTTTCTGATTCACAATCAAGCAATGCAAGCAGGGTAGAATAAATAGGAAGGCAGAGTTTACTTATGCCTCATCCTTTAAAAATGATAAAATATCAAAATAAATGATTTAAAGTCATATGAAGCGAGTGACTGGTGAAAAATAATATTTATCCAATTCTTGAACCAATGCATGTATATATCATAAACTTAGTCTTCTGTGCACGATTTCATCATTTTTTACGCATCCATATCGCATAATCGTCAAAAAAAAATTCTCTCGGTCTGTTATGATGTGCAAATATGGCAGCTAATTAATTGTTGTGTTTTGAAGCTGTAGTTTACGGATTGTCACCTGAGTAAACAATCAACAAAGAAGCATGGATATTGAGCACGTGTATAACATGTACAATAAGATATAATATTTTATTTCAATGACAGATCCATACGTATTGCGATCAACAGATTTTACGAGAAAGGTCACGCTGAGTTCACTGCATACGGAAAACATTTAACATATCGGCGAATTGTTAACTGGAAGCAAAAAATTGATAAAAAGTACATTTCTTCTAAATTTGGACAAATCATTGAATTGTTTTGAAAAAAAGGTATATGGACAAAAGTTTTATAATAAAACCTAGTCAAAAACCTAGTCATTTAGTTATAAAAAACATATGCATCATATTTTTTTAATTTGAAGTTTCATATGACTTTAAGAACACTTGTAGGAAAAATTACAACAACAAAATTTTTTTTTTTACCTTATTAAACTGGTAATTACCTGCAAAAATAACTCTTTCTTGGTCAGCTTTCATAGTCAACCAAGAATACTCCTCCGTGAGTTTAGAGAGCGTGTCTAAAGCTGTCATAGCGGTCAGTACTCCTGGACCTTCCCAGTTATGAGCTCCATGTCTAAATCAAATATAAAATATTAATTGTTATCAGACAGAATTTTACATAACAATGATATTGGTATCATTCACATATACCTGCAAAGTGTGAAAATTGCAAGTCTAAGTTTTTGAATTAATGCCCATATTTTTTTCCATACACTGTATTAATTCAACACTTGCAAGAACATAATATATTAAGAAAAGAACAATCAAAATCTAAATCAAACAAAAAAGCACTCTATTCATTTGCATGGGTATAACAGTATACCAAAGCACAAATTAAAAAAAGTATTAAATTCATAAATAGAGTGATATAAAACATGATCTTGTGAAAAACAAACTTAAAAGTACTTTTTAACAGTGTTAATCAGATAGCTGATCAATCTTGATGATTTAGAGAATATCATCCCTCAGTGCACTGCACATTTTTAAAATCACATAAAACTGACAGCCATATGTATCTAAAAAGCGATGTTTTTTTTTTCTGATTCACTCTTAGTTATCTCCCCCTTCTTATTTATAAATCAATTATACCTTGTAGGTGCTAACAACCATGCACCATTAACCCCATACACAAACTCTTTATTGACCATGTATTTATAGCTATCTGCCTGGTTCTGTGGTGGTACAGTTGTTCCATGAAGAGTCAACACAACAGGACAAGATTCTCCGATACAGTCACTCAGTGGATATGTAGCCGCAGCATGTTGTACTGAACCATCATGATCCAGAAACGTAAACAGAAAGGATTCCTTTATTTTTCTACGTCTTAAATTCACTAGAAAATCTTTACTTCCTTCTGAAGTTGTTAATTTTAGCTTTAATTCTATAGTTTGACATGGCAATATTTCTGACGATTCGAAAACAACGTTTACGGGTAAAATCTGACCTGGTGCAATATGAACTTGGTTCAAGAGTTTAAAGTTCATATCAGTTCCATGTGATTGGTCGACTAGTTTTATCTTTGATATTTTTAACCATTTTGAAAAATGGTAGTTGGCAACTGGTATTGCTATATATTTACCAAATACATGCCCATCAACAAAATCTGGTAGATAATGAGGATTCAAAATTTCAAAAGGGACTTGTTTGATCTGTAGACTGCACATCAAATTAGCGCCAACTTTTCCTCTTAGTCTGACATAAATAGTATGTAAACCTCTATCGAGTTGAAGGCCAAAGAAAAACTGGTTTCTATGGTAAACGTCTCCTGTGACTGGTATCCCATCAACATATATGGTATGGTGCCCAAGACATTGTAAAGCAACGTTTTGTCTGTCCTCATTCAGAGAAAATTCCCCTACAACCCATCCCTGCCATTCAGTGATTCCCATTGAGCTTAATGTATTGATTAACTCATTCCAGTTCACAGTTGGTGCAATTTTCATCACATCTTTTGGCTGTCTCTGGTTATATACCTGCCATGTAATTTCCCCTCCCGGAGAAAATTCTGAATAAAACTTTTGATTTTTGTGTTCCCTATACTTTGATACATTGTAGATTCCACCAAATACCTCTAGAGGGTCACCATCGAACTCTGTTTTTCCAATGACAAAAGGACCTAGATAGTTCCATTGTTTGATAAATGGAGTTATCTTTCCTGTTATTCTGGCTGCTTGTTTGAAACAAAAGTTTGCATCAGTTAACTGATCTGCGTTATCATACAAAGTACCAAGTACTGACCATAGAAATCCATCATTCTTGTTGTCTGTTAGAAGCTTGATAGCGCAAGGAATCACCTCCTTAGCCTAAAAAAAAACAAGTGGAACTATGAGCTATTGTTGACACTACAGATAACCCTGCTATAAAGTTTTTGGTTAACAGGAAGTTGATAAGCAATGAATTTGTAAATGCATCACACAGTATAGGGTGCTCACATGGAGCTTGATTCCAAATTTCAGGAAGCTGTAATTTGTAGTTCCTTAGAAAAAATTGATTTTTTTTATAAAATGGACAGACTGGTGAAAACATGGATAGACCAACAGACATGAACCAGTTTAGATCGTTTATATTAGTTGTCTCATGAAACACATTATAAACATATCACAAAACCATCATTTAAAGAATTTTAGAACAATTATAAAGACCTGTAATGAGATTCAGCCAAAATAGAATGTTTACAGGACTTAGCAGTTTGATCTATGACCAATCATGAAGTTTACAAAATATTTTTCTTTTTATCCATCAAAATAGTGTCTCCTTTCATCTGTTAAACTATGTTTACAGATGAAAGGAGACACTATTTTGACAAATTATGTCGCTCAGAATTGTACAGTGAAAATCACTTCGTGTTAATTAATGATGATATTTGTATGATGTTTTCTTTAAATTTTTTCAATAAAGAGGCAACATGTACTTACAGTTTTGGTCCATCGAATTTGGTTAACACTTTTCACATTTATCTTCTTCAGAGTACATTTACTACCTTTAGTTTCTGCTTCCTTCAATTCATCTTCCAAGAAACTTTGGACATTCTACAGAATATAAAAAATATTGAGGTACTTTGAAAAGTTATTGCAGACAAAAATATACATATTAATCTTTTTTACAAAGGAATTTCAAGAAAAGTCTCCCTTGCATCATTTCACAGGCACTAACATGTTCATACATAGATACAAAGGCAAATCCATATCTGTAAATAAAACAAATGCATTAACCCATCAATGGGTACAAAAAATGTAGGTTTTGTTTAATATCACTAATTTGTATATCTGATGAACAAAAAATATGATGATAAATAACACAAGCATGCACCAATAACCTTTGAGATCTCATATCATATGTTGCTGTGATTTTTAAACTGATCGATACATATGTAGTTGAGCTAATATAGCTCAATCTGGGTACATTTTGACTCTAAAGAATTATCTCCCCTTGAAAAATTTAATGCTTCATTTATTATTTGAAAGTGCAATTTAAAAAATTTCAGACATATTAGCAAAGTACTGCTGAATATAATTTTGTAAAATTTCAATACTTTTACCATCACCAAAACTCATGAAAAAATTTACACAGCTGTTATATCAAATGCCAGTAAATTTTTCAAAGGGAGACATTTTTTGTAGTATGATATAGCTTTAAAATATGTACCCAGATTGAGCTCTACTATGTAGGTGTAAAAAGGCTTACAATGCAATTTTCTATATCATTGATATTTTCAAGATGTGCAAGGCTTTTGAAAAGTTGATCTGCACTGATTTTCGAATCAGTCGAGACATTTCTGATTTAAACTTTCAATATAAATTTAAAGAACAATCATACAAAAAATGTGCAAGCTTGAGAGTGCTAACAATGCAATTTTCCAATTAATTTTATTTCAAAGATGCATGACTCCTATAAAAAAATAGTTATTTGGAACTGGTTTTCAAATTTGTCTAAGACATTGCTGATATAAACCTTTGACTTAAATTTCATATAAATTTATCAAGAATTGTAAATGTGTGAACATGTCATGAAATTACAGCTAACAAGAGGCTGTCAGAGTGAGATCCAACCGGATTTATCTGCATGGAAATGATATTTGCAAATCTGAACCTCCAAACAGGATCAAATAAAAAAATAAATGAATCTTTCTAGCGTTCAGAAATGACAAAATCAATCTAAGAATCACTTATCGCTTCTTAAATATTCTTAAACTCAAGGATAATAAAAGCTAAAATTGTGAAAATCAAACTTGACCTTCATTTAGTCAAAAGAAACAACATATCTAAATTTGAAAAGATTTCATCATAGCATTTTCATATTAATGAACAGACACTGTTTGGAAGCCACCCCTCCACCCTGTTGCCTGCCTGCTGTACATCCCCAAATCAATAACCAATTTTTCCTTCGGTAATTCAGTTAAAAATTGATTGATCTATACATTGTTTTTTGTGTATACCTTCAAATTAGTATGGTATCAACTTTTACTATAGATATCAAAAAAGAGACCCCAAGCTACAACAATATGACCTTGAAACTTCTGAACTGCAAATCTAAAAAACCTTTGTTCACTTAATGACAGGATTATTCTTGATTCAATTTTTGCTTTTAGAGGTTGACAGATATGATGAAGTCCCCTATAATAGTAGAAAAATCAATAAAAAAAATATATATAATTTCCAATGCACTACTGAACTCAAAATCGTTAACTTTTTTTTCTAACTTTTTTATTTTCCCGCATTTGCGCAGAAATCTCTTTCTTTCTTCCAGTCTCGTTTGTCATGAGACTTTGAGTATTCCTAACAACAGGACCAACATCGGAATCGTTATGGTATTTCCGTTTCTTTTTTAACATTAAAATATGTTAGAATGAAAAAAAAATAATTGATACAGACTTCGTTCCCTTTCACAGGTAACACCTGCCTCATATTAATGATGGGCAAACAGCTTTTTAAATGTATGCCTCAGGGTTTTCCTGCTAAATGAATTATAAACAGTTGGGTTGATTTTGATAGTACCAGCAACAACACGGAAGAAACAACATGAAGGTTCACTGTCGATAATTATCCTTTTTCAGATTATCAAGATTTTCTGGATTTCTTCTTAAAGTCATTAAGGAGCATACAATTTCAAGCGAATTACTGAGTGCAATTGAATTAAATAGCAATAGCAGGTGTTTTTTGTATATAAGTGAAGTCTCTCAATAGGGAATAGCATAGTTGAAGGTCTAAATGAGGGTACCTTCATGACTAATAATAGTAAAAAAAATCCAAATGCGTTAAGAGTAATTTTAGGTGCATGACAATAAAATGTACATTTTCTTTATAACTTATTTTGATGAATCCTGTTAAATTTTTCAACAACAAAAAACTAGAGGCTCTAAAGAGCCTGTGTCGCTCACCTTGGTCTATGTGCATATTAAACAAAGGACACAGATGGATTCATGGCAAAATTGTGTTTTGGTGATGGTGATGTGTTTGTAGATCTTACTTTACTGAACATTCTTGCTGCTTACAATTATCTCTATCTATAATGAACTTGGCCCAGTAGTTACAGTGGAAAATATTTTGTAAAAATTTACAAAAATTTACAAAATTTATGAAAATTGTAAAAAATTGACTATAAAGGGCAATAACTCCTTAAGGGGTCAATTGATAATTTTGGTCATGTTGACTTATTTGTAGATCTTACTTTGCTGTACATTATTGCTGTTAAGTGGTTTATCTCTATCTATAATAATATTCAAGATAATAACCAAAAGCTGAAAAATTTTCTTAAAATTACCAATTCAGGGGCAGCAACCCAACAACGTGTTGCCTGATTGGTCTGAAAATTTCAGGGCAGATAGATCTTGACCTAATGAACAATTTTATCCTTGTCAGATTTGCTCTAAAGGCTTTGGTTTCAAAGATATGAGCCAAAAACTGCCTTTTTCCCTATGAACTATTTTTTAGCCATGTCGGCCATCTTGTTTCGTGGGCGGGGTCATCGGACACATTTTTTAAACTAGATACCCTAATGATGATTGTGGACAAGTTTGGTTAAATTTGTCTCAGTAGTTTCAGAGGAGAAGATTTTTGTAAAAGATTACAAAAATTTACGTAAAATGGTTAAAAATTGACTATAAAGGGCAATAACTCCTTTAGGGGTCAACTGACCATTTTGGTCAAGTTGACTTATTTGTAGATCTTTCTTTGCTGAACATTATTGCTGTTTACAGTTTATCTCTATCTATAATAATATTCAAGATAATAACCAAAAACGGCAAAATTTCCTTAAAATTACCAATTCAGGGGCAGCAACCCAACAACGGGTTGTCAGATTCATCTGAAAATTTCAGGGCAGATAGATCTTGACCTGATAAACAATTTTATCCCATGTCAGATTTGCTCTAAATGCTTTGGTTTCAGAGATATAAGCCAAAATCTACATTTTACCCCATTGTTCTATTTTTAGCCATGGTGGCCATCTTGGTTGGTTGACCGGGTCACCGGACACATTTTTTAAACTACATACCCCAATGATGATTGTGGCTAAGTTTGGTTTACTTTGGCCAAGTAGTTTCAGAGGAGAAGATTTTTGTAAAAGTTAACGACGACGTACGACAAGTGATGAGAAAAGCTCACTTGGCCCTTTGGGCCAGGTGAGCTAAAAACGGTAACGGATAATTATGTGAGACCTCTGACAGATCACGATGAAGTTTAAAATAACTATTTGGCGATCACACTCAAAGTAGTAGAAAAATGACAGTTTGACGTCTGACGATAACGGATAAGGGCATACACCTTAATTTTATCGCTATTTGAAAATCTGTCTCGCTTGAACTTTTAACGACATACAACAATCACTTTTCTATTGTGGCATCAGATATTTTCTATTATGACGTCAAAATTTTACGGGAACTGTTGTGATGTCCAGTAATGGCGGACAAATTGCGATAAGGTGTTATAACTTAATTAAGTGTGCATGAAACAGAGAAGAATTAGTTCAAAGCAAGGACTTTCTATACTAAATAAGTATTGAAAGTCCCTGTTCAAAGAACAGTCAGTAGACATATAAATACATATAAATAGTACATATGTCTCTGGTACAGTACTCGGTATATAGTATACTCTGCCTCTGGCAAATGTTTAACAGTTTTCATTTACATTTTCTTTTTTCTTTGAAAGTTTACAGGATGTGATGTCCATTGTGATATAAATTATCCCAAAGAGTAGCAGGATTCTTTTTATGTCTGGTTTAGTGTAATAAAAGGCCATTTTCTCATGAAGTTTTTGAAGCACCTGCTCAGGTGCAGACGAATTTCATTTTACGACATAACTTGGTACCACATTAATCAATTTCTAACTTTTGATCAAAATTATTTCCATGCTACAATTATGTTTAAAACATAGAGGAATGACATGCATAGTATATTTAGTAAATATTATTTTATTAATTTTATTTTATAAAGTCGTAAATGGCTATGACTTCATCTTAGTATTGATAGTGTTTTAAATGTCAAGCATTTGGATTTACAAAAATAAGTAAAATATTAACCCTGATCGATCACGCCACCGGTAAAACTGTATTCCGGTTTACTGTTTGTCCTAGTGATATGCTGAAAGTTTATTTACTGATAAACCAGAAAAAACACCAACAACATTTGCAGAACTTTGGAATTCGTACTGAAGGGTGCAAGACCATTAAGCTCAAATATGTCAGACCAGTCAAGGAATTCGTGGATTAAACAAGGTATCAAAAGAAAATTCTGTACTTCACATTCATCAAATTTCTCTCTTATTTAATCTTTAATCATACAATAAGTTACAAGTTACATGTACTCATTATGTAGATGATGTACTGATGTAGGGAAGCAAGTTAACTCGTACCATTGTAAACTCGTACCACGTAAACTCGTACTAAAAAAGTTAACTCGTACCAACGTAAACTCGTACCACTGGGAAGTCGTACCAAATAGAACTCGTACCATACACCTTATCGCTATTCCCGCTTGACCCGAGAATCTGTCCCGCTCGAACTTTTGACGTCATACAACAATCACTTTTCCATTGTGGCGTCAGATATTTTCTATTATGACGTCAAAATTTTACGGGAACTTGTGTTATGTCCAGTAATGGCGGATAAATAGCGATAAGGTGTATTAAAAATATATTCAAAATACGAATGTTTTATGATTTTTTTTTGGTAAAAAAAGTTGAATAACTTGAATTTTATACTAGATTTTAATGAAAACTTAGACCAAAATATGAATGTAATTTCTTAATTACCATGCTAATTAATATATTAAATTCCTTTGATTGTGTGATTATTGGTTGATTATTAACTAATCAACTTATTTAATCATATTATTAAATTTTGGTTGTTGTTATATAATTTAACAGCTTGGAATTAAATGTATAATGTTTATTATGAAATGAAATTCCTGATTATCAAAACACAAGCTGACATGAGTTGTCTCAAAGAGGGTCGTAATGGGGGTACCTTCATGACGAGTAACGTTAAAAAATCTTGCCAAATGACGTTTACAGTATTTTTTGGTGCATGACGATAAAATGTACACTTTCTTTAAGACGATAAAAAAATTGACTGATTTTGACGAATCACGTTAATTTTTTTCCAAAAATAACGGTAACGCCTGACGGTAAAGGGTATTCCTATCCTCCTCAAAGCCCACTTTCCTCATAAAATGTGGCATGTTTGTGAGGTTTTACAGACTTAAGAGGTATTGAGTGAAATTAAAGTATATATTCATCATTAAACACCATTTGAATGCATTTAAATAATTCCTGATGTAGTACATCATGACATAACATTTGACAGTTATCACAAGTGAAAATCACGACTGCTCAGAACAATTAAAAGACAATCAAGACCAGTTAAAGACAAGTTAGACCAGTGTGAAATAAACTCATCATAGATACCAGGATAAAATTTTGTATTTACGCCAGAGGCACGTTTCGTCTGCAAAAGACTCATCAGTGACGCTCGAATCCAAAAAAGTTAAAAAGACTTCTTGGTCCAAAATGGTCGTATTGATTTACGCCAAATCATGGATGTATGTAATTTCAAAAGATAACTTTGATAAGTTAACATTTTTATTTGCCCACTTATGGGATGTTTTTAATAGGGCCAGCCATAAAGTGATCAGTCTGTCTGTCCGTCCGTAACAAATTGTGTCCGCTTTATACCTAGAGAACTGTGATAGTTTCATACTTTATACTTGACATACAAAAATGTATATATTAACCAACACCAGAGGGTGTCATAATATTTGTACAACTTCCTACATGTACAGTACGTAGTCTGACTTATGACTAGATATGTCGGATTCCAGCAAGAGGCCGGACTGTCGGGCAGTTACCTGAACGTAATTAGCACCTGGTTTGATATCATCTGTGTAATACCTGATGGAAGGTCGTAAATCAATTTGTAGCTGATTGAAATTTTACCTGTATGCAGATTTAATTAAAAGTGATGATACATGTACATGTAAAAATGTATTGTCACAATAAGTAAAAAAATATTTACTTGAAGACTTTTTTTAAAAAAATTGTAATTTGTCCACCTGATCGTAAAATTACATTTTAAAGCAATGTAGTTTTTTCTTTATATAAAATATTTGATAAATTCGAAATGAAAAAATTTCAAGTAGTTTATTTCAGATTTTTTTACTTTATTATTCATTTTCCTGTAGTTCATTCATTTATTCAACAATACCACGCTCACCTCTAGTGCCTCAACTGATATTACCTGTCAGTCAATATCCGCAAATCAAACAATTGACCCCTTATAAACAGTTCATTTCTGTTTACAGTTACATGTATTTATACATTTTCGCGCCTCTTAGAGCTTGTGCTACCGTGATGTTTTCTTAAAATTGAAGTCGGAAAGTTTTATTTTTTTTCATTTTGGTGACATGATGTAATCTCACTCATGTTTAAATAAATGTTCAATACCAATTATATATATAACTTATATATAGTTTTCGGACGCAGCTTTAAAGAAATATTTAACCTCGAGATATGATTTTTTTCTAATAAAAATGTCAGTTGTTTGTATTAATTGAAAATATTTTATCTCGACAAGACCTTTTAAAAAGCGTACAAGTAAAACGAATCACGGAAGGATATATACATGTAGTATAAAATCCATGAACAGATCAACTTAACTTTGATATGATCAAAAGTTTTTGCTGCAAATAATTCAAACTGTTTTTTATTTAGATAATTACGACTGATTACCGACTTTATTATGTAATGATCACCTCATTTTTAAAATTTTCTAATCAATTGATTCTTGAAATTACTACAAAGTAAATTGGTTTGTTTGAATTCCCATCATTATTTATAGTACAATCAACCCGTGTTTCATTAATTAATTTGTTTTATTGTTTGAGATTTATGACTTGTGTGCTCTTTTTGTTTCTGGTAATGTGATCAATTTAATTTCATTTGACAACTGATAATAGATGTTTAATTTAATCGAATATTAGACAGAAATAGATTAGGCTAAAATTAGGGAAGGTGTTATAAAAAAGTCTTTTTTTCAGTTAATATTTAGACAAGAATTTAACACGACAGTAATTAACATTTTAAAAACAGTTTTTTGTTTTCGTTAAAAGATGAAAATTAAATGTTTGAAACAAATGAAGTGATGATTTTATTTTATTGAGAAAAAAAATCATTTTAAATTTCTACTGGGAAATTGTTTTAAATTACCAAAGTAAATTAGCGTGAGGATGAGTGAGAGAAAAGGGGCAAAGGTAATATGAAGTTGGAAGAAACCTTAGTTTGATTTGTTAATGATGACAACAATTTTAGACTCTTTTCGCATAATATTTGTAGCCCTTAAAAGAGCTGTTTTAAATAGATGTTGACTATCAATCATCTTCATATCAGCTTCAAGCTGGTAACTTTTAGCTGGTACTCTGGCGTCGTTAATTTGGTATCAAAATAGTGGAGGGACTTTCTGCTTGATCTCTATGGAAAAATCTTTTGGGGTAGATCTCCGGTAGCTCGTCCACCTATCACAACCGCTATTGGCATGACTTTGAAGATGTGGTCGATGAAATAATTGCATATTGCAGTTGTCATATCTTCTCTCCAAATTGACTTTATGCCATTAATTAGATCTTCTTTTGTCCTTGGCTCTTTTTTAGACAATCTTGACTTCATCATGCTCCAAACCATCTCAATTGGATTAAAATCGGGACTTTCTGCTGGCCAATTATCCCACCAGTTTATACTATGCTGCTTCATAAAGTCTTTAGTTGCATTTGAAGTATGTTTAGGGTCGTTGTCTTGTTGAAAGCGATGAGTATCAGGGTACACCCAGTTAATGAATGGAATCAGGCCGAACACCAAAACAGAGTTAATGTAAAATGCTGATGCATAATATTCTCGAATACTAGGATACTCGTCGTTCCTCGACGACTTATTCCAGCCCAAACGTGTACCTTCAACGGGTGCTTAGGTTTAGGTAATACTGGTGCGACTGAATCTCTTTTGTGGTAGATGACGATCTTATTGTCATGAAGCTGAACAGAACATTCATCAGTGAAGATGATATTGTCGAAGTTGTCATTGTTGGCAATGTTCTCTTTAGCGAACGCGACCCTTTTTACTTTGTTAGCATCACGTACCATCTGTCCATATCTTGGCGATGTTGCGGTGTAACCAGCTGCACCAATAACTTTATGTACTGTTGACTTACTGACCTGTGTACCCTTTTTGGACAAAAGACGGCAGATATCAGTAGATGTCTGGGTTGGTTTTTCTGAAAGCACATTTTTTTACAAATTTTACGTCATTATTGGTAATTAGTTTTAAAGTTGGTAGTTTCTGGTCTTTCTTCAATAAATTCTCGTAACCTATTTTGCCGGATTGGTACTTTTTTATAACATGCTTAACATTACTCCATGTAACATTTATGCCTCGTTCAGCTATCTTTCTGACGATGGCATGATCAGGCCAGCTCTGTCTGTATAAAGCAATAATTGTGATGTGTAAGTTTGAACTTTGGCATAGTCAATTTAAAACTATAATGGTTAGAAAATTGCAAGATGCTTTTTAAATGAACACTAGCCATGACGTGTATTGGATGAAATATCGACGTGGGGCCATTCTGTCTAGGTCGCACCTGTTATCGATATCATTTGACCAATCTAGTATACATGCATGTCAACTCATTCGTGGGAAAAATAAAAGCTTAATTTATTTAATATGTAATATTTAATATGTAATAAAATAACTCACCAAGGTTAAAGATATATAAGTAATAAAATAATATTTAATACATCCGATAAGAATGAATGAATAAATGTGCATTAGGTTTCTTCTAATTGATTAAAAAATATCTTTAATTTGGAGAAAATATCAAGTTATAAAAAAATATTTTGCATTTTAAATTATACATTTACATGATAAATTACAGATAAGCTCTAAAACAATATCATTCATTAGACAGTGATTCTACTATTTAAATTAATTAAAGATTATCAAACTATAATTTGCATAATTAATCAATTAATAATTTAAATAGAGCTAAATGAATGATAATTTAATTATAACAAATGATCAAAGCGTATTATAACAAGCCATATCTTTGTTAAAAGCCCTGAAAAGTGCTCATATTTAGTTTAACTTCAAAGTATGTTTTTCTTGTATTTATTGTTTTAAGACTTCAAACAGTGTTTACTATACTGAGTTGTTTTTTTTATAAATCTAGAAATATGATATAAATATGACTTAAAATTTTATAAATCAGTATACTCAAAATGGCTACTAGAGCTGCAACTCGAGAGTTCAGTCACTTTCTTGTCAGATATGATGATGGCACATTATATGCATGTCCCAGAGTCAAAGTAAACATAGAAGGCCGTGTCCGTATCGGCGAGCGCTATCCAGTGACGTATGGCAGCAGCTCAGATACTCCTGAAACAGCAGAGGTTCTAGACACTGGAGACTACCTAACAATGAAGAGCAGAGAAACAGAGCTTTCTAGTACTCAAACACCACCTTCATTGCCTTCAACACCTGAATCACCTGAATCCCTAACAAATTCGCCATTTCTGATAAGAAAAAGAATTGGTCGCAATGATAGTAAACCAAAGAAAGGCAGACAGGAGGCTGTGATGCTCAGCATCAGGGACGGTATCGACGACCCTTACACATACAGATCGCCATCAGTCTCTCTACATCTTTCTCTGCTCCAACTCCACCATCGCCAATATGTCGGCCACCAACACCGCCAACATCAACATCAGCAACAACCCAGACAACGCCAACAGACAAGGAGCCTACTGCATTTTCCATTCAGCATTCATTATAAGCCATGGAAAAGCAGGTTACGATCTCCAACACAAGACTAGCTGAAATGGAACGAATGATCACTGCCCAAGGCAACATGATAAAAGAACTGGTCTCCAAGTCACAACATGTTACGCCACTACCGCTAACTCTGGTTCTGCCACCAATGCCATCAACTCCTACTACACCTAGATTTCATCCAGTATTGCCTGATTAACCACTGTCCCCAACAACTACACAACTCCCAGACTCACCACTACCACAGCCACTGACACCAACATTACATCGCAGAATTCTTCCAGTGCATCTGTTCAATGACCTACCAGAGTCTGTGTGTCTTTCCGAGGACGATCTGAGCAGACTGTCATGCAGTGGCAATAACCCAGGTGCCTTTGGTGTATTATTACTCAAACATTTCTACCCAGAGCTCTTCACAGCAGACCAGTTTTGTGTATACTATTCTTACAGGGGCGGTGGTAAAGCTAGAGACCACTGGACGACAGTAGGAAAGGGATCATCAAAAGATACGTCGTGGCCCCCTATTTCCGTCAGTTAATACAGAGTCTGCCTACCATGCTATGGTTGTGGAAAAAATAAACCAGTACCTTTGTAGACCAGTCCAGCCAGCACAGAAAGTTTTAAAAAAACATTGATGAATATAATGTGACTTTATAAAATGTTTTAAATATTATGTATCTCAATTATTCATGTTTATAAATGTTGTTTTATAAATGAATTAAATGTGTAAAGTCATCTTACATTTTGATCTTTGTAATGTTTAGCGAAGTGCAAAAAATAAAGTGAAACTTCAAACAAGCAAATGTCCAGTAGCAATTATTTCAAAATATGAATCCGGTATAAAGAATCACCGACAGAAAAACTAAACACAAGTCTTTTAAATAACTTTACAAAATACACAAATAAACTCCAAACGAGAACCGCAAATACTTATATTGAAGAATTGTAAATACTTGGTACATGAATATTTTATTGTTGGGAAATAAACACAGGATGTTGAAAAATAAAGAAGGAATCACCAAAATTTGTTTGTACTGCATACACATATTTTAACAAACTACACTACCGATACACAAAATGAGAAAGGCAAAATAACACACGTATATCAGTCAGGAAAAACTTGGTACATGAATATTTCGAATGTAACAAAAAAGTTGGAAATGATGGTTTGAATGTTATTTTAATATTTAGCAATTATTTTATCTTGTGTCATTTCGAAGGAGAACTTTTAAAAAAAACCACACACTTTGTTATATTAAAGATCTATATTTATCTTTTAACAAGAAAACATTGTTGACATCGACCGAATAAAGAAATGTAACTTTATTTAAATGGCTTAATTACAACTGTCCTTCCTGGAGCATCAGCATTCATTCATTCCTGTCAATCATCATGAGTAGTAGCTAATATCACGAGAACAATGGAGCGTTCTATTTTTATGTACAACTTCCTAGGTCAAAGGTCAAGGTCAAAAAATTTAGTTTCAGTTGACAAACCTATACATCCTATGGCAAAGATCATGTGTGCTCTATATCTTGAGAACCATTAGGATTTCAAAGTTTATACTTGACATGTATATTAACCAACACAAGAGGGTATGTCATAATGTATGTACAAATTCCTAGGTCAAAGGTCAAGGTCAAAAACTTTGGTTTCAGTTGACAACCCTATGTCCTATTGTAAAGATACAATATCTTTACCACACATTATTCACAGTGGGCCTACAGAAATGGCACGGTACCCATCTCAATGATGTCTAGTTCTGACAATATTCTTCCTACATGTATTTGAGGTTACATTTCAGGTGCGTCAAGTTGAATAACCCTCCCAACAGATTGGCCATCAAGATGATGATCTTCTTAGCCATTTCAGTGTTGTAGACATCTTGATTGCACTTCTTACATCTGACATTGTTATTATATTAAATTGGTCATTAAGTAATGAGGCCTTCTTTGCAGCCTCTTTCACAAACTGGTCTGCTATTTTGTTCCTGGATATATTATCATGGCCTGGGATCCAAGCTAGGGTTGTTAGTATGCAGTATCTTTAAAGACTCCTAGAAACTTATGTACAAAATATTGTAAGAACATGACAGATTAAACATGGCAATGTAAACAGGTCAGGAATAACCATTAATCGATAGATTATACCTCAATTCGAGTATAGTCCATCACTTGACATATACTACATGTATAATATCATGTATATTGAGATGGACCAATTTTTTTCTTTGAGTGTTAATATTTTCTCCTTGTAATTACAGATAATCCAAGGCTAGTGTCTGCTCGACAGAAAGACATTTACGAAGATATTTTGGAGGACAGAAGACATTCAAGTGATGTTGTTTGGTCATTCAGGACGAGAGAAGAACCAAAGTACAAATACAACAAACCAAGAACTCCCGATGAGATCAGAAAACATGTTATGCACAGTGATCGTGTCAAATATGCCGTTGAAAAGGTATGTTTCTGTTTTAGTGTAATTGATTGAAGTGTTTGTGTTACTGTTACGCAAAATTCAGTAGTTTTGGTTATATCGTGGCAATCTGTTTTTATAAGTGGTGGAAGTCAGTGTGCTTAGAGAGTTCCATCAACATTCAGCTGGTAATTCTAGTCAATTAAGATTGGAGTCAAACAGAACTGCCACATGCTGGGTAGCCATTTAAAGTGCAAAATTTACCCTTTTCAAGCATTTCACTGTTTATTAAAATGCAATTGCAAGGCAAAAGGCCGTACAATTCAAATATGAATGAACATGTGAAGATGAAACGGACTTTCTTAGGCCAAATCAATATAAAAACCAGATATATAGTTTATGGATAATAATCCAGGATTGATATTTGTTTGTTCCGTCTTTTTATGCCCCACTTACATGCTATGGGGCATTATGTTTTTCAGTCTGTGCGTTCGTTTGTTCAAGTTAAAGTTTTTGGACAAGGTAGTTTTTGATGAAGTTGAAGTCCAATCAACTTGAAATTTAGTACACATGTTTCTTATGATATTATCTTTCTAGTAATTCTACTGTCGAAATAGAGTTTAACCCCAATTACACCGTCCACTGAACATAGAAAACTACAGTGCAAGTGGGGCATCCGTGTACTATGGACACATTCTTGTTATATTTGGCTATGATGTCTTAACTTCTACAATTTAATGTTATAGTGGGTCAATCTTTTTTTATTCCAGGTTTGTTCAGAAAGTGGATTACCCATTGAAGAGGTATGGAAGCAAGCAGAAGAAGTAATGCAGGAAATGTCCCACAATCTGAGCATGGGAGCCATTCGAGGATTTGCAATGTTTCTTGTCAAAGTTTTAAAATCACTGTTTAAAAGAGTTTATGTCAATACAGAAGGAATACAAAAGGTAAAACAATTGTTTCTTTAACACATTCTAAGGAGAAAAATGTATTACTTGGTATATTATATGAAGGTAAAATATACCAATTTTGTAAGTCCTAGACAATTAGAAAATAGAAAAAAGGAAGTGACATTACTATCAAATTAGTCTTCTTGAATGTAGGTCAAATAAAAATGTTTTTTTCCTATTTTACAGGGGGAGGGGGGAGATTCTGAAAGAATACCCTCTGTTACTGATGCCTAGGCCATAGAAGTAATTTTGACTTGGACCTACTTTTCTTTATTATCAGGTCAGAGAGATGTTAGTAGAATACCCAGTATTATTGATGCCTAGTCATAGAAGTTATTTTGACTTTCTTTTGATGTCATATGTGTTCTATTCCTATGATCTTCCACTGCCTGTAATTGCTGCTGCTATGGGTTTGTATATTTACATAGGAAAATGTTTAACTAATTTTGTCACACAGAAAAAATATAACACAATTTTAATGGGAAAAATACATAAAACGGCTTTATTCTAATTGATAAAATATACCACACTTTTTTATTTACATGAGTAAAAATACTTGTAAGTAATCATGTAAAAATTATAAATATATTTGTTTTATAAACTAAGATTAGATTTAACAAAAAAGGATATTTAATTTAATGGTCGTTTTAATTTTTCTTTTTCAATATCCAACCAAAAGTTGTTCTCGAATTTTCATTAAAATTGAAATATTTACCAGTTTATACAAAATAGAATATTTATTTTCAGATTTTATGGGTATGAAATTTTTTGGATGGCTGTTGAGAAACAGCGGTGCATTTTATATTCGGAGAAGTTTTGGAGATGACATGTTATACTGGGCAGTATTTACAGAATATGTCCAGTCTCAGTTGGTTAATGGAGATCATCCTATAGAGTTTTATGTTGAGGGAACCAGAAGCAGAACGTCAAAGTCATATGCTCCAAAATTTGGTAGGTTTTAAAGAAGAACTCTATGTCACTTTTTGCCATAGCAATGTCAGTTTGTTTTCAAGTTTAAATATTTCTTTTGTATCTTCCACCTCTCAGTAAACTTCAAGTCGGCAGCAACCCATCAGATGAGAAAATAATTTTCGTAAATTTATGGTTGTTAGTTGACTGAGGAAGGAAATTGAAGTGCAAAGAGTGAACCATTGAATCTTTTAGATAAGAATTATACTGAACTTTAAGTTATATTCTAGACGATCAATCATATATATAAATTAACTGTCTAGTTTTTGAGGAATCCCACTCTCTTCAAACAATCCTCATTGGAAGAATGAACTCTTAATAGTCCTGACCTGATGTTTTTTGAATAATTTGTCAATGGTATGTTGTACTGAAAAACAAATCTATTGCATCCTTATAAGTTTATCTTACTACAAATGCAAATGAATTAAGCAATTTTAAAGCTGTTGTGTTAGTTGACGTAGATGATTTATGTCTATCAATTGCCTCGACAAATTTCCACAGACAACCTTGTGGGCTGCACAATGGTTCTTTATACTTTCCGTAGCTATCGAGTTATCATGTTAACTTGAATGTGGTTTAAAAAAAATATTGGTTTATTCTTTTCAATTATGTATTAAATAAGCAGTACTATTTACAAAAAATTGTACAGTGGGAAAATTTAATTTCGGAAATTTTGTAGATCTTTGGTCGATTTTTTAAAATAATTTATGAAGAGAAAGTTAGTGCAAAAGCAAATCTGAGGTTAAGAGAATACAGAAATAGTGTTTCAACTATGTCATTATTAGAAAATGAAAAGAAGTATTTAAGAATACAAAAATAGTATTTCAACTATGTCATCATTAGAGAATTAACCAATTTTGTAAACTTTTATTTCAGGAATGTTATCTGCGTCATTAGAACCCTATTTTAAAGCCCACATTCCAGACATCATGGTTATACCTATAAGTATTAGTTATGACAAGATTTTAGAGGAAACTTTATATGCTTACGAAATATTAGGTGTTCCCAAGCCTAAAGAGTCTACGTCTGTAAGTACAAGATATATACAAACCTACTGTGCAAGCCAATTCACAAGATATATACAAAATAACTACAAATCAAGTGACAAGTTGTACAAAATAACTGCAAGTCGACTAACAAGATATATACAAAATAACTACAAGTATTTTAAAAGATATATACAAAATAGCTGCACAAGCAAAGTAAAAGATATATACAAAATAGCTGTACAAGCAAAGTAAAAGATATATACATTATAACTGTACAAATCCAGTTACAAGATAATTACAAAATAACTGTAAAAATCAAGTCACAAGATATATACAAAATAACAAGTTCAATAAGTTAGTCTAAAGTTTAAGTGTATTTGCTGCTCACTGTGGTCAGTATATCCATGCCCACTCGGATTACCTCAGATAATTTAGAAATTGTAATAATGAAAGCTGAATCTACTTTTCAAAGCTATTGTATTTGATTTGAGGTTTTCAACATACAAGTATAAATAGAATGTTGAAGATTCAAATTTGTTGTTATATTACATTTTCCTACATAATCAATGAATATTAGTATCCCACAACAATAATGAATCCTCAGTATGTGAAGCTTTTAATTGCATTAAGTTTCAACAATTTGTAAACAGATTAAATAGAAATGAGTCAGTTCAATTGAAAGTGTCTATCAAATGTGTCTTTTCCTTCAAACAAAAAAAAACTGGTAATCAACCAAAACACTCACTATCTTACAAAATTAACTTTCATTAATATCTCTTTTCATTATTTGTAGGGTTTATTCAAAGCTAGAAATTTACTTTCTGAAGATTTTGGAAATGTACATGTTCATTTTGGTGAGCCGCTGTCAATTAGAAAATATACAGATGGAAAAGTGGATAGGAGTGTTCATAGTTTAGCACCCAGGTAACTTGTTCATAGAAGTGTTTATTGTGTAATAAAAATTTAATAGAACAAAAAAGTTTAAAGTGAGATGTGCATTACATTTTCTGTATACTTTTGAATTCATGAATTCTAAAATTCAATCTTAGAAGTGTAAGGATAAAACAACCAATAGCTTGATCATGATTGAACACTCATATTCCAACTGTTTCCAACTGCTTCATTTTGACCTACAGACAAAGTGGATTCAATTGAATACGGTATGGTATGGTACCATCAGTTTGACACAGTAATTAAGAATGGATTTTGGAAGAAAGAATTTTTATTTTTTTCCCAAATTTAAGGACTTGACTGGAAAAAATGGCTATTTCCAGACAAAACTATGAATTATATTATGTCAGTTGGTGTCAATCAACGTTTGATCAATATCTTTGCGTCACAACTATAAACAGAAAGGTTGTAATAAACATATTTATTTTCATTAAACCTAAATTAAATAGGTGAGGAAAATAAAAATAAAAATGAATATTTTTCATTTTATTATATTACCTCTATATCACACAGTTAATTAATAAAGTATCCTCAGTTCTATTGATTTTCAACCCCAGTTTTATACACTTTGGTTGCAGGTACCTAGTTTGTATTTCAAATGATTAAATTTCATATCAGTTATAATAGATCTAATAGCAAAAGAGGAATCAGAGCACTTGACCTGCGGTTTTGTGACACTTCAACTATTAAGGTCATATAACAATTATATTTGCTTTGAAGTGTCCAACATTTTCTTTTATGATGTCAAAATTTTTAAGGGAACAAATAATGATAAGGTGTATTCATCTTAAATTTCCACTAAATGTTTTTTTCTTTTATTTTTCCAGGTATATTGCTAGCCTTTCAGATGATGAAAATAAACTTATACAAAATTTAGGGTATAAAGTACTGTTACTCCATCAAGAACATATGGTTATCTCCCCTTGGTCATTAATGGCTGCTGTCCTTGTACAGAATAAAGATGGTATTAAAATCAAACAGCTTGTCAAGGAAGTGGAATGGATAAAAAGGCAGGCCACTAACCTGGGAGCTTATATTGACTGGCCAGGTGAGTATTTAACGTCTCATTCATCCATGCAAATAAACTCATGTAAGATATCAGGCTTATAATTTTGTATGCCAGATTTGTATTTGGTCTTCAAAAGACTCATCAGTGATGCTATTATTAAAGATGATGTTGAAGAGCATTGAGGACCCAAAATTCTGAAAGGTTTTACCAAATACACCTAAGGTTATCTATTCCTGGGTAGAAAATCCTCAGTAATTTGAACAATTGAAAGTTTTGTAAAGGGTTATGTTAGTTGTCTTTTTCTGAGTGTTTGTGAGCAATAAAAGTAGCAAACTAGCGAGTTACAGTTACAATTACTAAAACAACATACTTTTTCTGTAATTTATATTAAAATAAGGTGATATGTTATGATTGCGAATTAGACAATTATCCATAAACGACAAAGTAGTGATCAGTTACAGGTCACAGTTGGGCCTTTAATAATTCTATATTAGAATTGTTTACAATGCATTGAATGATGACATTATGTGTGGTTCTATTGCTGTTTAATCTTGAAATATTTCATGCTGATTTAGTTATTGGTTGTTTCACATTTGACAGAAATCAATGAAATCTCCTTCAACCTGATCAGTATTTGTTGAATGGAACTTATCTTTGATGAAAAACTTGTCAATGTAAAAGATTCGAGAATACAGTAATGATAATAACACATTGAATAAATCTCTTTGTTAACTCCATGAGCTTACAAAGCATTTACGTTTTCTTTAAAAACTTTTAAATTAGTCTGAAGGTTAGTGTAACATAACAAAAAATCTACTTCAGGACAGAATACTGGTGAGTTGTTTATTCCAAATCACTGTAAACCAACTTATTTTCGGGACATTACTTCACATTTAGCCCTTTCTAGCCTAATTTTCAGTGATTTAATTTCATGATTTTCAAATTCAATTGATGCAGTTAGATAAGGAAAGATCCAAATCAACTTTCATGACGATTTATATTCGTGTTATTTTTCTACTCACGAAAATTAGTTGGTTTACAGTATTGGAGCTTAACCCTTAAATGATCACAGATAACATTTTGAAGCAAAAGAAATAATGAAAAGTAGATAAATAAATAGGATGAGATTTATATTCTTTTCTAAAGTGAGAAAAAGATTTTCTAGATAATCTTAACATTTATTATTTCATAGTTCTTAAACTGTTTTCAAATATTTTGCAAAACAAATAAAGATGATTCAGCAACCATGCATAAAATTAAAGATGTGCTATAATACAACCCTCTTTTTGAAAATTTCATAATTCACTATTTTAACCATTTTCTCTGAAAAGAGCTCTTTTATGGTCCATTTATGAAATCAAATAGTTGGAAATTTCAATGTTCAGCCTTTATTTTTTGCTGTAAATCAAAATTAAGTTCTGAATATCCTATCAAAAAGTTTGCTTCACCATACATGCTTAAAATGTATTGCACACAACCCAACATGTAAATTTATACACAGATGGACTTCCATATTTTATGCTTTTGCATCTGTTCTCTATTTGTCTGTTGTATGTTACCATTTCAAAGGTTATCTCCCTTGAAACCATTTAGACTCTTTGGATCCTGTAGTTTTAAATTATTGTACAATTGGCACTCAACACTGTCATAAAAGTATACACTAGGTCAGAAAAATTAACTTGAATGATTTACAGCTATGCTATCATTTTATAGATTTATCTGTTGTTGAGTGTGAATAATATCATACTCATAAGACTAATCTTGGACTATGTGAAGATTGACGAAAAGGAATTAATTCAACAACCTCATCAGTTGTTACTCAGAAATTTTGCTTTGTGATGTCAAAATGTTACAAAAATCATCTTGTCATCTTGTTATTTTCGGTAAAATCGGACATGTTACTGTAATTCCAGGTAATGAGTCGGCTGATGCAGTCATAAGAAGTACCTTAGCTTTACATAAAAACATTGCTGAAGTAGATAATGAAGACGTAGTCCATCTTCTGGAGATTCAGCATCCGACCAGAGGCAGCCAAGATGAACTGATGCAAGCTGCTGCTCAACATTTAATAATAACACTTTATAAAAATCAATTAATGCATATATTTGTAAGAGTTTCCATGGTTACGTTATCTATTAATTCATGTACAGAAGAAACAATGTCTATGAGTAAGTATGGTATCTTTCTAAAAATAGAAATAACTTGAAAAAATGAATTTTATTAGCATAAGCTTGATTTCCACCAGACTATGAAAAGGGATTTAAAATATTTATTTAGATACAAAGTCGGGTAATTTCATTGTCTTTTATGTTTCATTTGTAATTTAAAGCAAAGTCAAGTCAAATGACCAAAATTGAAATTTTGGTTTATTTATCCAATGTTTAAATAATGAAGAATTCTTATTTTGCTTGAAACTTTATGCATTTATTATACTGCTATATATGTTTAAAACTAGTATTGAAATATTTTTTCTTTTGATGATAATCCTCTTTCGAAAAAAGCTGTGTGAACAGATTAGTTTCAAATAGAAACTTTTCTTCCTTTGATTTTCCTGAACATTTGATATAAACTACTAACACTTTTTTATTAACATTTCAGATGAACTTTACAGTAAATATGAGTTTTTAGAACATCTTCTTAACAGAGATTTTATCTTTATGCCAGGCTGTACAAAACAAGTAAGTTAATTGAAAATGCACAATATCTGTGTGTTGTAGAAATTAAGAATTACCCAGTTCATTTATTATACCCACAATACTAAGAGGTGAAATGGTATATAGTTTTTTATATAGTCCATCGATTGGTCAGTCTGTCAGTCATTTATTTTTGTAACACAAATATTTTATATAGGATTTTTATGTTATCTTAAAATTAACAGAAAAAAATGCCATCAGGTCACTATGAACTCTTCCCCTTCATACAGGGGTGTGAGATATGTGAGCTTACTAAAGGTTCTTTAATTGTAAATATTTTAAAAGGATACACATTTATGTGTGTTATATATATTAAAGATTACATAAAGTGTTCATTACATGCTTTAAAGTTTAAGTAATGTGTGCACATGTGTCTAACCTATGTTGAGGATTACACTATATGTGTATAAAGTATATGTATGATATGTTTTACACAATATGTGAATAACATAGTTTCAGTATTACACATTATGTGTTTAGCATATGTTAAGTATTAAACAATGTGTACATAAAATATGAAAAGAACTTCACACTTACTGTAGAAAGGCTTGTATAGTTCGCACTGGTACATAGTCCGCACCCCCTTCTCCCCACGAAATTTTAGGTAAAAATTTTTTTTGTAACTGTTAGAAAAGGTCTAATGAAACTCCGGTAATTTCAAATCCTGTGAGGTCGTTTGCGGTATTTTCTTGGAAAAACCTGTTTTCCATCATCAAACAGAAGCTGAAACTGCTTGTAAATGATTCTAGAACGCTTCATGATTGTTAAAATAAGTTTAATTCACTTAAAAAAAATTTTAGAAACTTGTGTATGTTTAAACAGGAAGTTTAAAAAGCACGTTTAAAAGAAGAAATTAACCAGTGAGAGTCAAAATCCGTACATAACAGATATCACTATACTACGACTTTGAAAGTAAAACAGTTCCATCCTTTTGTAAAACAGTCTTTAATATATCTATCACATTAATGTTTGAAGGGTCTTAAGCTAATACAAACCATATTAGTCAGTATGAAACACCAAAACGGGACGAACAATAACCAATTACGTTTCGTAGTTTACAAATTCTAAGCTGGTTTACGGTTGTCTTTTTCACTATGTTTGTATCGTTTCAATCAAGCAGATACCAGTTTATTTCAACCTTTCAATGCATTGAAAAGAAACGAGAAATTTGTAATGAAAGGTTTAGTTTTTATATTTATCAGTATTAATTTGATATTAAATAGAAATAACTTATTAATATGGATGAGTTAAAATTATTAGTTTGAAAAATGATAAGAGCGCCCTCTACAATATAAATAACAAAGATGGCGGAACGTAAACAAACCACCTCGCCCGCGAAATTGAAATTTTTCTCTTATTTCTTGCTTATTGTACTCTATAGTCCGCACCCCGTCTGGAAGGTCCAATTTTGGAGAATAAAACCGCGGACTATACAAGCCTTTCTACGGTAGTATACTATGTATCATGGATGCTCACTGTTTACTCTGTTGAAAGATAAATATCGAATGGTAATTATAGAGATGTTTGGGTTATTTTGCTTTTGATAGTTAGCCAATTCATTATGATATCACTTTATTGGTATCTATATGGTACTGTTTTGGTAGCTATGAGACAACAGCCCAATTGTCCTATCCAAATAAAGGTACTAAACATGAAACATTTTTATGATTTTTTGTAGGATTTTGAGAATGCAATGTTGACATTAACACATAACTGTGGAGTGGTTGTAGAAGATGATTTATTACAAGTTAAAAAATCTACAAATAAATATACAACATTCTTTAGTCAGATGTTTGAACCATTCTTACTTGGATATTGGGTAAGTTTTTATCATGACCGATGAAAATTGAATGCAAGTAGCTCTTTTTGATTTTTGGATCTATGTTATCACTCTGATTTTAAGATAGTGCAGGATTCTGAATTAAAACATATCATGGAACCAATGATGTGTTTTATGTCATGTAAATGACTTTCAGAAAGTTTAAAACCATTTTAATTATCTGCTACCAAGTTTAGACATGTAATTTGCCCTTAAATTAAAATAAAAAGAGGCCAAACAACTACTAAATTTTAAATATAGACTTGCATATAGTTCCTTTGTTCATCAAAATTTATAACATATTACTATTTATGAATTATTGTGAAACGGTAAGATATCTAATTTAAGCAGTTGATAAGAATTATTACTGTCTCCTCGGAGACTGTCCTAAGAGTTGAACCATGCACAGTCTGCGGGCTAAATGCTTTCTTCCTGATTGGAAGATAATTACTGACTCTATAATAGTTAAGTTCGTTGATTGGTTGGGACAAATCAAAACCTAGTAAATGTCTTTTAATCCCGTAGAGTGTCGGATTTGAACTCTTTATTTTAATAATTTAGATTTTGCCTGGTTACCAATCATGCATATCGGTACACAGGTAACACTTATCTATAAATAGCTGAAACTCCTACACTTGATTATTTCAAATTCAATCCAGTCCCTGCACTTTTTGATGCCTGTTCTGAATGAAAAACATTCAGTTGGAAGCGGCCATACTTTTCTAACACAAAGAAATAAGCAAACAACTAAAGAAAAGTGAACAAACAACATATCTGTTTGAAAAAAAAAATAGATAAAAAGGTACTAAGGCAAATTTAAGACATTACCCATCCGTTTCCAGTATTAATACAAAACGATATTGGTAAATCTAAAAAATTGTATAAGCCTTTTATAAGTTTTGTAATCCACTACAATTTATACACAAGGCTATTCTGAATGAATTAAACTATAAAGCGAAAACATTTTCCACTTTCATAAGCTATTTGACGGCTAGCATTTTAGAAAAGCTATTACTTGTGAAAGTATTTTATCAGTTTCTAAGATGCTTTTGTAAGTGAATAAATAAAATTGGTACAAGCTGTGTATTGATATCAAAGTGAATTCCCACAATTTTTTCAAATACTATTGTTCCATTTCTTTCCTGAGGCATATTGGGGTCAAGAATTGTGTATTAAGTTGTATAATAATAAGGTATCAATCAATTGTTTAATACAATAATTTTTGTATTACATAATTGACCTCAACAAGTATTGGTCCTCGTTATAAGATGTCTAGTATGGATTTTGATCAGTAATGAAGTTGAAGTTGAAGTACATGTATCTTCTATTGTTCATAGGAAGAAACAATAGATTTACCAATAATTGCTTTTGATCCACACTACATAAAATTATTCTGTAAATAACGTGTCAAAGAAGAATGATTAAGGAATAATAAGATGTACTTTTTAGCTCAACTGGCCCAAAGGGCCAAGTGAGCTTTTCTCATCACTTGTCGTCCGTCGTCATCGTCGTTAATTTTTACAAAAATCTTCTCCTCTGAAACTATCAGGCCAAATTTAACCAAACCTTAACCAAACTTGGCCACAATCATCATTGGGGTATCTAGTTTAAAAAAAGGGTCCGATGACCCTGCTTGCCAACCAAGATGGCCGACATGGCTAAAAATAGAACATAGGGGTAAAATGCAGGTTTTGTCTAGTATTTTGAAAACCATTATAAAGAGAGAAATTCTGACTCGGCAAAAATGTTCAGAATGTTGAGCTCTACCTTTTGTTCATAAACATCAAATCAGGTGACTTCTTATAGGAGTTATTGCCCTTAAATGACAAATTTTACCATTTTTTTTCATTTTTGCCTTTCATCTTCAAAACTATAAAAGATAGAGAGAAACTTTAAATAAAAAAAAAAATTTCAGCAAGGCAAGATCTACTAACAAGTCAAATTCTGCCGATATAGTTTAGTAGCTTTTCACTCTCTATAGGAGTTATATATATATCCAAAAAATAAAATCTATGGAAATGTCGCCATGTGACGTCCACAAAAAGTCAACTTTTAAAAATGAGCAATTAAAATATGTTACAGGCATCCATTTCTTAAATAATGAATAGTAAGCGTGGACTATTTATTTATTGTCAAATTGTTCTAAATATTTGAAGAAATAAAAAAAAACATCAGTAATTCACCCATCTAACCCAGCTAAATTATATGTCATTCGAAAGTCAACATCTGTACTATCTGCTTTGATCGGTCATAAAAAATTCATACGATGCAATTTCTGTCAAATCAGGATCATAGGTCAAGGACGAAAAAGTGCATATTTTCCAAGATGTCAGCTTTATTGCATATTATTTCTTCTTTATAATAAAATCATGTATGCAAACAATTTAAACTTTTGACAGAAAAATTGATAGTCATTTATAATCAAGTGCACTTTTAAATATTTAAAGCGTGTTTTTTTTAATAGACAGCACATTTTCCCTGAAATTCTAGTACAAGTGATAAAAATGAGTGAAAACTAAAATATTTGTTTGTGATTCAACTGCTTATCACCTTAAACCAGATAAAACCCTTTAATTAGTGCTAACGTTTTTGACATTATCAATTTCCTATAATAACGCTTACTTTTAATCAAATAGCAAAGCATAACAACTAGTACAGTTGCCCAAAATACTGCAATCTGCTGAAATACTGCTTTTTAGCACTTCTTCTGTTAACACATTGTATGTAGTCAATATAAGACTGAAACAAAATTCTTAAATATGTGAAAACACTAAACATTTAAAAGAAAAATATATATGCGGGAATCATGCTATTGCTGGTAGTTAAGGGGGTGAAACTTCGATATAGATGATGTCCTCTCAGTGAATAATTCAAAGTTTGGTGACTATGCTGAACACATCGATCTATCCCATTGAACTATAAATAAAGGACACACCAGATGCAGTTAGGTCTGCCTCATATCTTAACTTGCATCTAGAAATTGACAATGAGGGTCAGTTGAGAACTAAACCTTACAACTAGAGATGATTTTAGCTTCCCAATTGAGTACTTTCTATTTCTATGTACCAAAATTCCAGCAGCGCCTGCACATGAAGTATATATCTCCCTGTTGATACGATATTCCAGAGCTTGCGTTTTCTATCATGATTTCCTTGATAGAGGGTTGCTGCTCACAAGGAAGCTTTTAAACCAGAGTTCCTAATGGTGAAGTTGAAAATTTTATGGACGCCATTACAATTTGGTTGACTGTTATGGAATATCTGTATCTCAGATGACGACGAATATGGTCCAATTGTCTTAACCACGTTTCAGTCCTTTTTACCTCAAATATGAAATACCGATTAGACTTATCACTGGGTTTGTACTTTCATGAGCCACACGACTACTAATGATGTCGTTACATACACAATTAACTGCATTTTGTTTAAAAGCTTATGGTGAAAACACTCAAAACAGCATTCATTTGAATTTTGAACCTATTCATTCAAATTTTTAACTAGATTAAACTTCTTACCTTTAACATGTCACACACACGTTTTTAAACAAAAAAGCAGCAGCACTATTTCTAGTTTGTTTATATCACGCAAAAGACATCCAAGTATTTCCAAATACTGGTTACTTATTTCGATGTTGCCACCGATTTAGTTGCAAATTCGTGTTTGCATTTCAACATGACTTCAAATGGTAAATAGATTTGACTTGGAAAAAACATATTTTTAGTTCAATTAGCTCGTATTTTTATGCCCCTGCCATAGCGGAGGGGGCATTAAGTTTTACCCATGTAAGTATGTACGTCCCAAAGTTGGTTTCCGTTCTCTAACTTTAGTTTGCCTTAACCAAATGTTATGAAACTTATAAAAAATGCTTATTACCACAAAACACAGATCAAGTATGAATTTTGGTGGCGTCACTTTAACCGTTCTAGAGTTATGCCCCTTTACAAATGGAAAAATTGCTGAATATTTTGTTTCCGTTCTCTAACTTTAGTTTGCCTGAACCAAATGTTATGAAACTTATACGAAATGCTTATTACCACAAAAAACAGATCAAATTTGAATTTTGGTGGTGTCACTTTAACCGTTCTAGAGTTATGCCCCTTTACAAATGGAAAAATATCTGAATTTAGTTTCCGTTTTCTAACTTTAGTTTGCCTCAACCAAATGTTATGAAACTTATATGAAATGCTTATTACCACGAAACACAGATCAAGTTTGGAATTTTGGTGGCGTCACTTTAACCGTTCTAGAGTTATGCCCCTTTACAAATGGAAAAATTGCTGAATTTTTTTGTTTCCCTTTTCTAACTTTAGTTTGCCTCAATCAAATGTTATGAAACTTATACGAAATGCTTATTACCACAAAAATATCGCTCGCCTTTCTTCAGGACCAATTCATATTTATGAATATTAAACCTGTTATGTACTAGACCGACTCCCTAAGCTTTTTAACATGCTTCTATGAAACCACCAAAGCAGTATATCAGAATAAGATCGAGGGATTTGTTTTTAAATTGAACAAGCATAGTCTGATAGAATCAGTTTTGAAATGATGGATTTATCCCCAAAACCCTATCAAATATTTTACACATTAGAATATATGGCTGTATAATAATAAAAAGGTGTGGGTGATATGGAGAAATTAGGAGGTAACTGTATTGTATTCTAAGCTCCGACGGCATCAATTGGGGATTTGATGGTTGGAAATTAAGTTTACTGGCGACGCGTTAGCGGAGCCAGTAAACAGGTATTTGCGACCATCAAATCCCCAATTGATGCCGTCGGAGCTTAAAATACAATATTGTTATCTCCATTCTAATGAAACTGACAGAAAACAACGTCAAATCATACATTCAAAATTTGTGATATGTCGTCTGCGCTTGCGCGTATGTTTTCATAGCATCAATTGTGAATTGATGTCATGAAAATTGGTGACATTATCCAATCAAAATGAACGTTACAAACAATGTTGCATTAGAATACTATGTATCAGCAAAAATGATGCAATCTTGAATGACTGATAATGATTTTGACAATCTTAACACATGAATAATCCATTGCATAGGGCAGTTAATTTCTCAACGTAAATTGCATTTCTAAAAGAAAAACATAATATGCAAATTGATTATCAAAATGATTCTTGTTGTTGCAATTTGCCAAAAAAATATGTCAAATACTTGTTCTTTAAACAAAGACATTTTATTTGAAATATTGAATTAATATGTACTGTAAATTCAGAAATTATTGCGATGTTTTTATTATTGCGAAAAATGCAACAGGGTTAATATCACAAAAATTAAAATCGCATTTTAGTCTAAAATGAAAAAATCGCAATAATAAGTGCACGCAATAATTTCTGAATTTCCAGTATTTCAAAACAGTTTAAAACTGAAATGTGAAAATAAGAATCAGTAGTTCAGAATCCTGAAAACTGAACAGTATATAAATTGGTTCCATTCGGTTTACATGAATTGCAACCAATGTACAGTGTTCCTGTATTTTCAATGTCTACAGCGTATGGTAACACAATACCTAACTCATCCTTAGTATTCATGTAATGAATACACTGTCCTGAAGTGTTGACAATATGAATAATGTCGCTATCCATATCTGTAATGATAATATTGGTTAATTGTGTACTAATTAAATCTCGTGGTTTGAATGTATTTTCTTTGATGACATTTGGACTTCCACGAAATATCCATCTTACTCTGTTGGTTTTATCTAAAGCCACTATCCTACCATTCCACTCTTTAGTAAGAGTATCCAGTACATAAATGTTATTGTCGTTGTCTGATGTTATTCTTTGTGGAGCAGAAAAGAGAGGTTTTCCATTGTTGTCTAAATCATACACCTTCTCTATTCTTCCATCTATATCCATCAAAACCACTTGTCTTGGACCTTTAACAGGGAAGACAGGTCCTTCTTTTCTTGCTCTGATTACAATCTTTTCATCCCGGATCATATGGACTTCTCCAGTTATTAAGGGTTCTACAGTATACTTTGAATTGGTTATTTTTCCAGTGGTATGAGAAAGTATTTTAAGATTTGACTCTGCAGTAGATATAAGTAAGTCTCCTGATGGTAATAATGCCATACCAGCACAATTTACCTGTATCTCCTGTACAATATTTAATATTCCATTTGAAAGTTCTATTTTCTGTATGATATTGTCTTCAGTATAACCTATCCACAATGTTCCATCATTACTGCAAACCAAACGTTCTACAAGTTTTAGTCCAGTTTTATACTGTTTTATAACTTTAGCTCCATATTGTACCTGTGCATAATCATCATCAGGCTCAGTTAGTTCTCCATGTAGTGCCTCTTGGATCTTCATTTTTCCTGGTATATATTGGGGCAGTCTTTGAACATACGTATTGGCTGGTTCTACAATTTGTTTCCTTGCTGTTTTTTCCTCTTTTAATGCACTGAAAACTTCACAAGCATTGACAGAAACTTGGGCTTTTGTTAAGCCTCCTTTTCGGAATTCTAGATCTTCTTTTATCTTGTGTGATTTATCTTCTTCATCATTTATTGATTTATTCACATCTTCCTTTCTCTTATCAAGTTCTTTCAAAATTTTTTTTGTATGTTTTTCAACTTCTTCCGTCAAGACTTTTTCTCGACTCAGAATCTTTTGCTTTTCTGTCTCATATTTAGCGTCTTCAAAAGATTTGAGGGAATGCAGTTTAGTTATTCCTTTTACATAGTCTGTTAATTTCACTTCAAGCTCAGAATTAAAAGTTTTTATTGTCTTGAGAGTTATTTTATATCCTTCCGCTAATTCAATCATGTTGTGTTTATTGTGAGTTTTAGCAATACACAGAGGGCAGACAACTTCATCACAGGTCTGACAGAATAAACAACAGTTTTGTCCACTATGAATTTCACATGGAATGCTACTGAAATCAGGATTATCCTTGATTTGTTGCTGATATACAGCAATGTCTTTAATATCGATAATAGTATGTTGGTCGGTAGATTTAACCTTTTTATGAAGTTTCTGACATTTTGTACACAAGAGAAAGTCACACAGTAAACATTTCCATTTGATCTCACTTGATTCTTCACACAACTGACAACATATAGGTATTTGTCCCTTCTGGAAAGATTTAGATAATGCCATTATGCTGAACACACTTTAACAGGTGGTCGCCATGAACGTTGTATCAAAAATAATTAGTTTATATAATATTTGAAGTGTACAATATGAAATTGATCACAGATTTAGGTTAAGGTCATTCTCACAGTGTATTGATTTAGACATTTAAATTTATACAGAAGAGAAGGTATGATTTGGGGTTATATTGGACCTTAAATTTTACTGTAAATTTTTCAATTATATTCCTCACACATTTGGCAGGCCATTGGAATTTGTCCTTTCTGAAGAGATTTGGATAAAGCCATGATGATGAATTTGTTGGAACAGTGTGAATGTTAAAATAGAATATCATGTGATTATTGAAGTGCTATTGATTATTTACATTTCAAAATAACAGATATCTATCCTGATCTCTGTTTACATGTAACTGATAAAACAAATAAAAATGTATATAGTAATGGATATAATTTGTATCATTATATAATTTATAGTCCATGCATATTTTATCTGTGCAAACCTTTGCTTTTTATCAGTGGATGTATCAAGAATTCACTTTACAGATACCCTCAATAAAACAAGCTTGAAAATTTTGTCAGACCTTGTATTTTAAGCTTTTTCTGTGATGTTATATTTTTATACGACCGCAAAAAATTTGCGTTTGTATAATGCTATCATGTTGTCTGTGTCGCCAGCATCATCAATGTGGTATTCCCAAGACACATTTGGTTTCTGGACAATCACTTTAATTTAAGTGAATGGATCTCTGTGAAATTTTACCAGAAGGTTCAATACAACAAAAGGAAGGTTGGGAGTGATTTTGGGGGTTATGATACCAACAGTTTAGGAATTAGGGGTCAAAAACAAGCATTTTTGTAGTTTCCGGACAATAACATGTGTGTAAGTGTATGGATCTCTCTGATATTGGGCCCCATTTTTAAATTGGGTCTACATTGATGTCCAAAGGGTCCAATATTAAACTTTGTTTGATTTCATCAAAAACTGAATTATAGTGGCTCTATGATATACTGAATCTTAATGTGCATTTAGATTTTTGTCTCGCCTTGACAGAGTCAAAAAGCGATACATAGGATGCTGTTTCCGGCGGCGGCGTCAACAATGTATTAGTTTGTGATTAGGTTTAGTTCATGTTGAACCACTAGTGGTAGGTCAATGATATTAGGTATGCAGTTGTATAAGCATTGGCACATCTCATTACCATGGAGATTATTTGGCCCCGCCCCCTCAGTCAAGGTCTATTGACTTTGAAACTTTGCCTTGTTTACATGTATTAGTTTGTGATTAGGTCAGTTTATGAGGAACCACTAGTAGTAGGTCAATGATATTTGGTATGCAGTTGTATAAGCATTGGAATATCTCATTTCCATGGAGATTATTTGGCCCCGCCCCCTCATTCATGGTCTATTGACTTTGAAACTTTTGCTTAGTTTTCATGTATTAGTTTGTGATTAGGTCAATTTAAGGGGAACTGTTAGTGGTAGGTCAATGATAATTGGTATGCAGTTGTATAAGCATTATTTTTTTTAGCACATCTCATTTCCATGGAGAATATTTGGTCCTTACCCCTCAGTCATGGTCTATTGACTTTGAAACTTTTGCTTAGTTTACATGTATTAGTTAGTGATTAGGTCAGTTTAAGATGAACCACTTATGTTAAGTCAATGATATTCGGTATGCAAATGTATTGGCATTTGCAAGTTTCATTTCCATGGAGATTATATAACCTCACCCCCTTATTATGGTTCATTGACTTTGAAACTTTTACATATAGTTTACAAGTAAATGTTTATGTTTAGGTTTGTTTAAAGGGAACGACTTATGAAAAGTCAATAGTATTTGGTTTGCAGTTGTATTAGCATTGACACATATCATTTCCATGGAGATTGTTTAGCCCTGTACCTTCAGTCATGGTTCATTGACTTTGAATATTTACATAACTAACATGTTAAAGTTGCTATTTTAATTTCAACATTTGCATTATCAAAATAACAAATAGGTGAGACATATCTCTGTGTTAACAGTTTATTTATGTTGGGCCCTGTTTTCAAATTAGTCCATATTAAGGTTTGAAGGGTCCAAAATTAAACTTTGTTTGATTTCAACTAAAATTAAATTTTTTGTGATTTTTTTTATATGCTGAATCTAACGATGTTGTTAGATTTTGGATATCAGACCATACTAGGTAAATTAAATGTCCCATTTCAAATTTTTAAGATCTTTGACCACATTTATTTTGTGTCAGAAACCTATATTATGTTAAAAAATTTGATCACAATCCAAATTCAGACAATATCAAGCTTGAATATTGTGTCCAAACTTGCCCCAACTGTTCAGGGTGCGACCTCTGCGGTCGCATCAGGCTGCGTTTAGCGAAGCATTTAATTGTACTTTATAGTTGCCTGCAAATTGTTGAATAACAATAACTTTGCCATTTCAATATATATGGGAATAAAAAAATAAGGAGATGTGGTAAGATTGCCATAAAATAAAGACAACTATCCACCAGAGTTAAAATGACGTGGATATAAGCAATTTCAGGTCACCATACATGTTTGCCTTCAGCAGTGAGAAAAACCCACTGTATAGTTAGCTAATGCAGAAAATCTTTTTCAGAATAGAAAGGATTGTTTGAATTTCTCAAAGTAAAACTCTATATATGAGTAGGTATTTCTGTACAAAATCTACAGTTAAAATGAAGATAGATTGTACTTCTTTGCACGTCATAAATAGTTGTGCATATCTTATTTTTATATTTTTGTTTTGTTTTTGGGTTTTCTATTGCAAAACATGGACATATGGTTATAGGGAAAAGACAATGCAACAGTTCTTGTAACAACTAAACTAGATTGTTTTTGTTCTACCCATTTGTATTTTTTTTTTACGAAGTTCAGTAGGGTATAATGTTTTTGACCCGTCCATCTGTCAGTCAGTCCAGTTCTTGTCATTGTAACTCCTCTGAAACCACACAACAGAATTTGAAGAATATTTGTAGATAACAAAAACATACTATGTAAATGTGCATATCGACAGGAAATTTTGATTAATTTTTTTTCTTACAAGTTATGCCCATTTTGAACATAGAATTTTGGCCTTAATATACTACTGCAACAGTTTGTCATCACAACTCCTCTGAATTCACACAACAGAATTTCATTAAACTTTGAAGATAATTAGGACATACTATGTTGATGTGCATATCCATCAGATTTTTTTATCAGTTGACTTTTGTAGCAGTTATGAGTCTTTAAACTTAAGGAATTTGGTAATATTTTGATTGCCCAGTGACAATGAGGGGGCATGGGGTATGTGAGCATGCTGGGTTGTCCATTAGCAATTTCTATTTTCCCATATCAAAGTTTCTCTGCACACAGTTTTCTATTGCTTCCATTGAAGTTTTGGTTTATTTGTATGTTTCCGGGGTTTAGTGTGGTGTCCATTTCGCTGAACTAGTTTACATGTCTGGGTAAGGGCCAGCTGAAGGACACCTCCAGGTGCGAGATCTGAATGACCATTGGTGGCCTCGGGCTGTTTTCTGCTCTTTGGTCATGTTGTTATCTATTAACATATCCCAGTTTTCATTCTCTATTCTACTATCAGAAGGGGTCAACGAATCATCACAATAAAAAAAGGAAAAGTAGCAATAGGAAACAAATAATCGTCTTATTTGTTGATTGATTGATTGGTGATTGCTTTATGCTGCATCAGCACAAAAAGGCTATATCGTGGAGAGAGCTATTTCTAATATTTTAACAACCCCTTTTGTTGGTAATTTTTTATACAAACATCGTGGTGATGTAACTGATAAAAATCACTCCAGCCCTTTCACATATATAGCAATGGTCAGGGTAAGTAACATCTCAGTTTTAGGTCTACTCATTATTGCAGAATATTCAATGAATATACATTTATCGTCTAATTGAAAATACTGGATAATGGGATATTTTTAGCTGACATTTTGGGTATCCGATTTGCCAGAGTCTACTGTACTTCATTAATATCATGTGAAGGGGCTTCACTAATAACTTGTTGGTAGGGCTCTGGACAGAAATATTAGAATTAAAGCATACAAATAGTGCCTGACAAAGGAGGTTAGTTCACTGTAGGAGCTTTAAAATACATTATCGCTTAAATTTTTTTTTATATATAATGTAAAAGAATGGTATTGTGTGTTAATTCTGAATATTATGTATAAATTCATGACATAAACTCCCAATATGCACATGACAAAACCCAAAGTATCTCAAAGTTATGTTATTGTCTTAAAAAAACACACAAATTTTACATAAGGTAATGCCTGTACCAAGTCAGGAATATGACAGTCGTTTTCCATTCGTTAGATGTGTTTGAGCTTTTGATTTTGCCATTTTATAAAGGACTTTGGAATACGAAAAACATTTTCCTGGGAAAACTCACTCCTGTAATTTGAATCAATGTTTAATTCAGTATGGTTTGAACAGTAGACAACATGGCTGTTTTAATAATAATATCAATAATGATATAATAATAATAAGGTTCTAGTGAAATTCAGAAATAAAAATTACAATGCTTTAGTAAAAAAAATATGTAGTTCTGATTATTTACGAGTTAATTCCATGGAGAATCCATTTTATAAGGCATTTCACAATTTGCATTTCTAAAAAAAAATAACCTGCAAACCAATTATCATCATTCATGGTACGTTCTTGTTGCAATTTGCAAAACAGAATATTTAAAACTAATAATCAAAGTAATTTAATTTGAAGTTTTAATTGAAGCATATTTTGAATCAGTTTGAAATTGACTGATGAATAATTAGAATGAACACTTTAAAATCCTGAAATCTGAACAGTATATATTTTGGCTTCATTAGGTTCGCCATGACGTGTAAAACATCCTATGTACAGTGTGCCTGTATTGTCAATGTCTACAGAGTATGGTAACACAATACTTAATTGGTCCCTTGTATTCAGGTAATGAATACACTCTCCTGAAGTGTTCAGGATATGAATCATGTGATGATCTTTGTCTGTAATTATGATATTGTTTAAATTTGTAGCCACTAAATCTCTAGGTTTAAATGCATTGTTGATATCTGGATTACCACTATATATCCATCTCACTCCATTGGTTTTATCTAATGCCACTATCTTGCCACTCCAGTCTTTATTGAGACAATCTAGGACATAAATGTTATTGTCACTGTCTGTTGTTATTCTTTGTGGAGCAGAAAATATAGGTTTTCCATTATTGTCTAGATCATAAACCTTTTCTGTTGTTCCATCTTTATCCATCACAATCACTTTTCTTGGTCCATTGACCGGGAAGAGAGGTCCTTTCTTTCCGGCTCTGATTATGATCTTATCTTCCTTGGTTATATGGATGGGACCAGTTATTAAGGGTGCTACACTATATTTTGATTCTATCATTTCTCCAGTGTTATGAGAGAGAAGTGTAAGATTAGGTTCTGCAATAGAGAAAAGTAAGTCTCCTTGTAGTGATAATGCCATGCCAGCTGTAACAAACTGTAACCGCTGAACAATATGTACCAGTCCATTTGAAAATTTCATTTTCTGTATTTTTTTAGTGTTATTATCCCTCATCCACAATGTTCCATCATCTTCACAGCAAACAATCTGTGCAATGCTTTTCAGTCCAGTTTTATACTGTTTTATCACTTTAGGTTCATATTGGTCGAGTGCATACTGGTAATCATCATCAGACTCTGTTAGTTCTCCATGTTGTGCCTGTTGAATCTGCAATTTTCCTGGAACATATTGTGGCAATCTTTTAAAACGAGCATTGACTGGTTCTATACTTTGATTTCTGGCTGCTTTCTCCTCTTTGTACGCTTGGAAAACATCAAAAGTTTTGACAGAAGCTAGGGCATTGGTTAAACTTTCAGTTCGAAATTCTAAATCTTTGTTTATCTTCTGTGATATATTATCTGCATCATTTACTGATTGCTTTAGAAGATCCCATCTCTGATCAAGTTCTTTAAGAAGTTTTTTTGTGTGCATTTCAACCTCATCTTTTAAAACTTTTTCTCGACTCATAATTATTTGCTTCTCTATTTCATATTTGAAGTCCTCTGAAGATTTGAATGAAGACAGGGTAGATCTTCCTTTTTCATAATTTGATAATTTCATAACAAGCTCAGAACTAAAAGTTTTTATTTTCTTGAGAGTTAATTTATATCCTTCAGCTAATTCAATCATCTTGTGTTTGGTATGAGTTTTAGCAATACACAAAGGGCAGACAACTTCATCACAGGTCTGACAAAAGAAGCAATAGTTTTGTCCACTATGAATTTCACATGGAAAGTTACTGAAATCTTTGTTATCCTTGGCTTGCTGCGAAGCGATGTCTTTGATATCAATAATGGTATGTTGGTCGTTAGATTTCACTTTGTTATGAAGTTTTTGACATTTTGTACACAGCAGAAAGTCACATTGTAGACATTTCCATTTGATCTGATTTGATTCTTCACACAGCTGACAAGATAAGGGAATTTGTCCTCTACAATGCGAATTTGAAAATGCCATTATGCTGAATTTAAGGCAACAGTAGTTTACTAATGTTCAAATTGAACACTCTCTAAGTTTTTAACTGGTCACCGTGAATGTTATAAACAAAAATGTATATGATGGATTAAATATTTAATTTCCTTGTGCAATCTATTTTTATATGATCAGAGATGTAGGTCTAGATTAATAATAATAATAATAATATAATAATAATCCTTTATTTAAAGAGGGTTACACAGTTAGCTATAAAACTAATCTTCCCTGCGGCCCTCATGAAATACAATGAAATATAACAAACAATTACAAAATATCAAACAAACACACATATATGAAAAAATGAAATAAAAAATTGTTATGAAATATACAATTTTCAAAACAGGTAAAAATTACAAATTCATATAGTATTGGCATCATTCAAATTACCTCAACAATATCTTGAGTAAGTGTGTGAAAATTATTATACATATAAAAATTACACAGCTTCCTAATGTTCCAACAAGTAATTTTTTAAATCTTTTTTTTTGAATGAGCTTGTACTTGAGGTTGATTTTTTCAGAGATGTTGGTAAATTATTCCATAAAATAGATCCTGAATATATAAACGATTTCTTATACAGCTCTGTTTTGGCTTTTGGAACTTGTAAATTTTTGCAAGACACATTCCTCAAACAATATTGGTTTATTTCTGGCATTTCTTTAAATTTTTCAGTGAGATATACAGGGGCTTCGTTCTTAAGGCATTTCTGCATCAAAACAGATTTGTGGTATGAGATTCTGTTCTCTACTGTCATCCACCCAAGCTGTTTAAACAGTGGAGCTGATGATGAAAGTGGATCAGCATCTAAAATAAGTCTTGCAGCCCTTTTCTGCAATTTTATTATTCTGACTAGCTCATTTTTAGCACAACCACTCCAAATAATACAACAATAATCTATCAGTGGGAGAATATAGCCATTATAAAACAATTTTCTTGAATCAATATTTAGAAATTTCTTGATTTTAGAGAGTAAATGAAGTCTGGATGATATTGATGAACATAAGTAATTAACATGGCCTGTCCAGGACAGATTAACTTCAATTCTAACACCTAAAAGATTTTCAATTGATGATTTTTGAAGAATATTATTCTCAATAGTTAGAACTAGTTCTGCTTGATTTAAACGCAGCCTTTGTCTTGTACCTATAACCATACATTTAGTCTTATCTGAATTTATGAACATGTTATTTTTATGACACCATTTTTCAACACATTGGAGATCATCTTGTACTTTTAATTGCATATCAGCAATACTCTTTCCTGATGTATGCATAGTTGTGTCATCAGCATACAAGTCTGTATGGCAGTTTCTGATGTATAATGGAAGGTCATTTATGTACAAAACAAACAAAATGGGACCAAGTATTGAGCCCTGTGGAACACCAAAATTTATAAACTTTTTATCAGAAAACTGATTATTTATATGGACTTGCTGTGTTCTTTCACTCAAATATGATTTAAAAAAATCAACAGTATCTTCATGGAAGCCATAAATTTAAAGTTTTTTACATAAAATTTCATCATCAACAACATCAAAAGCTTTCTTAAAATCCAGGAGGACTGCCAAATTGATATTTCCATTACTCATTTCATGTAGCCATTTATCAATGATATTAATTAGGGCAGTTTGACATGAATGGTTAGGTCTAAAACCAGACTGGGAAGGGTGTAAAATTTGAAACTTTGTCAAATAATTATACAGATGTTTAGATACATGTCTCTCTATTAATTTTGATAATGTTGGCAAAACAGATATTGGTCTGTAATTGCTAGCTACGTTTTTTTCACCAGATTTGAAAATTGGAGCTACCTTGGCATTTTTTAAAACAGATGGATAAATACCAGTATCAATCATTCGATTAAAAATGTATGTTAAGGAAGATGCTATGAAAGGAGCACTCAGTTTTAAAATTTTTGGACCTATATTGTCAGAACCAGAAGATGTCTTAACATCTAGTTTAATTATTTCATCAAATAGTTCTGAAACTTTTACTGGAGGAATGATGAACTTGTGCCTTTTTTTTTACGAATTTCATAGTATTAAAATTTGAGTTACTTGGTGCCCTGCTATGCCTTAATTTTTCAACACATGAGGTGAAATAATTATTGAATTCATTAGCAATTTCTTTATGATCTGTAGTTATATGGTCTCCGGTTGCAATAAGTTCATGTGGTTCTGATGGATTAGATGGATTTAGACTGTGAATACATTTCCATAGTGTTTTAGAGTCTTTTGAGTCTTTTATCATATCATTGTAATATTTCTGTTTAGATGTATCAATGATATGTTTTGTTATGTTTCTCCAGAATCTATATTCAGCCCACATTCCCAGTGAATTATATTTATCTCTCATCTTTCTTGCATATGAGATTTCTTTATTGTACCATTCTGGCTGTCAGTCTTTTTTTACCCTCTTTTTCACAATAGGGGCATGTTTATTTAAAATGTTATTAAAAATGTTCAATTGTTGTACCAAATTTCAATACAAACAGATGGGTCATTTTCAAATTCAATATGTTGAAAAGGTGCACTTTTTAAATCTTTTAAATAATTTTGCTCATTAAAAGTCTTAAAATTTCTATAAGTGATTGTTGAATGAGTATGTTTTTTATCCTACATTTTCTCTTGTCTTGTCATACATATTGGATAGTGATCACTGATAGAATATTTAGAAACATGAGCCTCTTTAACAATGCTTAAATGGGTGACATATATATGGTCAATCAAAGTTTTTGATTCATTTGTTACTCTGGTTGGTTCCTTAATTAACTGTTGAAAGTTATAAGTTTCTAGAGCATTTAACCATCTTTGTGGTATTTTATTGGGTTGTAAACAATTTATGTTAAAATCTCCCATAAGGATTACGTCTGAATTATATTTCATTGCCACCTTAATCTCATCCTCAAATTTATCTATCCAACCAATTAGTGACTTGGGTGGCCTATAAACAAAGCACAATAAAAAGGATTTCTTTTAGCTTGGTTTAACTTCAAATCAAATAGTTTTAATGTTACTTATGTGCTGAGTATGTATATACAGTGATTGAAATGAATGACAGCTGAAAAAGTGAAACTAGACCTGCAATAAAATCAGTCTTATACAGGTTATGAACAAATTTAATTTCTGTTTTTATATGTAAAATGAGATCAAACAGAACTAAGAAAATGGACATTGTACTGTTGCACTTGCCTACCTTTCTAATTGTATTTATGTTTACCTGTTTATTTATAATAATAACAGGGTTACATCAGCAGTTTTCATGGGTCATGTTAATGGTTTATAAGATAGGATGGGGTCCAGTCAGAATACACACAAAATATTGATACTTTTTAATGATTCCATACATTGTGTATTGTTTTCTATGAAACTTTTGTAGTTCTGAATTACATTTGAGTATATATAAATGGGAGTTTGAATCAATTCAGTGGGCATGAATATGGAAGCTAAATTCCCCCTTTAAGAAAATAATATAGCAATCATATTCATAAACAACAAGGCTAGATATTACATACACAAAAATATCTGTGACAATAAGAATCTTTTTGTTTTATTCAACTTTGATTATGTCCATTAGCTTTAATATCATGTTTTCAAAATTTTCATTCATCCAACAAATAAATTTCGGTGTTATTTTCAGAACACATGATAATACAGTGTAGTTTAATAAATAATCATGGAAAAAATGTTTAGAATAAAATACTTAGAAAATGTCCTTATGAAGGAAGTTGATAGTTTATTGTTGACACAACATAAAGATTTTGATGATAATTAATAATGTAAATTATTTCGCTTTCATATCAGCAGATAAGTAATTACTCTAGAAAAAATATACAAATCATAAAGTACACAAAATCTTCCTGTTAGAAAGTGCTTACTCATAAATATCATTACGATAAAGGATTGAAGTTTTTATTTACAAATTTAAAGAAGATGTTTAAACAAATGTGGTGTGCAAAGATTATGGAGAGATATCTGGGTTGCGTTCAATATCATAGAAATGCAGTGATACTTATACAAATGAGTTTCATAGAAAAATAAAAATGATAGAAAAATAACTAACAATTTGCCATATATATTGGGAATAACAATGCAATGTACATCAGACACTTTGCAGAATAAAAATTATTATTTGGATTTCTCAAAGCAAAACTCTGGATATGGAGTAGGTTTCTCTGTACAAAATCAACAGTTAAAATTTAAATATAAGATTTTCTTTGCCCTACAGGTATAGTTGTGATATTCTGTTTTTTATTTTGAAGAATTTGATTTTGGGTTTGGTTTAGGGATGTTTGTCAATGCAACAGTTCATCTTGAAACAAAACTACTTCAAATTTCTTCTTACCATATGCAGTATTGTTTATCTTGTTTATTATTTTTATTTATTTTTTTTGGTGGGGGGATTATATTTCGGCTATCCAATAGCAATTCTATTTCTATACATGGATATACATGTTTCTCAGCACAATTTCTTTTATAGTTTCTGCTGAAGTGGAACAGAACTTGTCTCACCTGCAATGACAAAAGCAGAATGAGTGACATAAGTGACATAAGAATGCTAATCTGGCAACAGCAGTTTAAACTATTTGTATCAGCATTATATTTCAGAAAGTAGAAGACCTATATACTTCAAAACTTGTTTACAGATGCATATGTTCCAAAGTGTCTGTCTGGAATACGCCCAATGTCCTTCACCTCAATATCATGGTTATGCCACTGTTTAAAGAAATGTATAGTGGTTTTATATCATGATTTTCTCACTTTAAATGAGCAATAGGATATTTATTTTTGGTATATAGAATCATTGAAAGGTTTACATTTCAATGAGACAGGTTCACCTGATCTTGACCTCATATCATGGATCAGTGAAAAACATTGGTGGCTAGGTCTGTTTCTCAAATGGTCAAAACAACAGGTCAGCAATATCTGGTGTCTGGAATGATTGTAAGGTGTACATGTCTATCTGGCAGGGTTCATCTAGTCTTGACCTCAATTTATGGTTCATTAGTCAATGTTAAGTTTTTGTGGTCAATATATACAAAAAAAAAGATGTGGTATGATTGCCAGTGATGCAACACTACACCAGAGAGACAGCTCTCTCACAAGCAAAACACCCTAACTGTAAAATATAAATGCATACACCACAGACACAGAGACACTTTCGGTCTGTTTGTCATATACTATTTTCAATATGTCAACTAAATTTGGAATGGGAATGGGGTCAGTTTCTCATCTTTATGCAAAAGGTCAATTGTTTTTGGTGTATGACATGATAGGAAGGTGAACCTGTCGATCTGGCAGGGTTCATCTGACCTTGACCTCATTTTGATCGGTCAATGTTAAGTTTTTGTAGTTTTGTCCACTTCTCAGATACTATAAGCAACAAGATGACTGTATAGAATGATTGTTAGATGTACTTGTCCTTCTCGCAGGGATCATTTGACCTTGACCTAATTTTTATGGTTCATTCTTCAATGTTCAATTTTTATACGACCGCAAAAAATTTTTGCGGTCGTATATTGGTATGACGTTGGCGTAGTCGTCCGAAGACACATTGGTTTTCGCACTCTAACTTTAGTTTAAGTGAATGGATCTCTTTGAAATTTTACCATAAGGTTCAATACCACAAAAGGAAGGTGGGGATTGATTTTGGGGGTTATGGTTCCAACAGTTAAGGAATTAGGGGCCACAAAGGGGCCAAAAATAAGCATTTTCTAGTTTCCAGACAATAACTGTGGAACGGTGTATGGATCTCTCTGAAATTATACTACAAGTTTCCATACCACAAAGGGATGGTTAGGATTTGCTTTGGGGGGTTATGGCTCAAACCGTTTAGGAATTAGGGGCAAAAAAGGGGGAAAATGGTTAATGGACAAATACTTTAGTACAAAACATAATTTAAAGCAGTGTAAGGGAGATAAATCAAATACATCATTGAAATTATCTCCCTTACACTGCTTTTAAATTACGAATAAAGTAATGGTTAACGAACAATTAAGATAATTTAAAACAGTGTAAGGGAGGTAATCCAAATACAACGTTTTGGTTACTTCCCTTACACTGCTTTTAAATTATGGTTAAAGAAATGCATATTTATAAAGGAAGACCAGTAAAAATATCTGCAAATGTTGCATCTTTTTTTTTTACAAAAAATCCATATGAAAGATTTGACACTATATTTTAAATTCTATTATAAAATAGATTAAGTTAGCACTATGGTAAATTTAAATGGGTAATTATGGTTGCAATCTCCATTGGAAATTTGATTGAGATTATGACCATATCTTTAGGGAAAGAATTTTTTTGGGGAAAAAAAGGGGGGGGGGCAAAAAGAAATTGTGGGGGTCAATTTTTTCTCATTTCAGATTTCAGAAATTAAAAAGAATTATTCTTCAAATATTATTTTTTTTTCAAATTTCTAATATTGAAAAATTTCAAGAAGTAATCTTTAATTGCACAGTATGGCGCATTAGATTTTTAAAATCTTTGACCACATTTTTTTATTTGTTATGCCGAATCTAACCGTGTATTTAGATTTTTAATTTTGGGTCCAGTTTTCAAATTGGTCTACATTAAGGTCCAAAGGGTCCAAAATTAAACTTTGTTTGATTTCAACAAAAATTGAATTGATGGGGTTCTTTGATAAATCGAACGCAACCTTGTTTTTAGATTTTTGATTTTTGGCCCTTTTTTCAAATTGGTCCACAGTAAGGTCCAAAGGGTCCAAAATTAAACTTTTGTTTGATTTTTAACAAAAATTAATTCTTGGGGTTCTATTATATGCTGAATCTAAATATGTATTTAGATTTTTGATTTTTGAGTTTTCAAGTTGGCCAAATTGGGGTCCAAAATTAAATTGTTTTATTTCAACAAAAATAGAATATATGGGGTTCTTTGATATGCTGAATCTAACCATGTATTTAGATTTTTTATTTGTGGACCCCGCTATCAAATTAGTTCATATTGAGGTCAAAAGGGTCCAAAATTAAACTTCGTTTGATTTCATCAAAAATTGAATTATTGGGGTTCTTTGATATGCCAAATCTAACCGTGTATGTAGATTTTTAATTTTGGGTCCTGTTTTTTAAATTTGTCTACATTAAGGTCCAAAGGGTCCAAAATTAAACTTAGTTTGATTTTAACAAAAATTGAAATCTTGGGGTTCTTTGATATGCTGAATCTAAACATGTATTTAGATTTTAGATTTTTGGCCCAGTTTTCAAGTTGGTCCAAATTGGGGTCCAAAATTAAACTTTGTTTGATTTCAAGAAAAATTGAATGTATGGGGTTCTTTGATATGCTGAATCTAACCATGTATTTAGATTTTTTATTTGTGGACCCCGCTATCAAATTGGTTCATATTGAGGTCAAAAGGGTCCAAAATTAAACTTTGTTTGATTTCTTCAAAAATTGAATTATTGGGGTTCTTTGATATGACAAATCTAACCGTGTATTTAGATTTTTAATTTTGGGTCCAGTTTTTTAAATTGGTCTACATTAAGGTCCAAAGGGTCCAAAATTAGACTTAGTTTGATTTTAACAAAAATTGAATTCTTGGGGTTCTTTGATATGCTGAATCTAAACATGTGTTTAGATTTTTGATTATGGGCCCAGTTTTCAAGTTGGTCCAAGTTGGGGTCCAAAATTAAACTTTTTTTGACAAAAATTGAATATATTGGGTTCTTTGATATGCTGAATCTAACCATGTATTTTGATTTTGGACATTGGACCATAATAGGTAAATCAAAAAAATTCAAGTTCTTAGACCACATTCTTTCTGTGTCAGAAACCTATGCTGTGTCAAATATTTAATCACAATCCAAATTCAGAGCTGTATCAAGCTTGAATGTTGTGTCCATACTTGCCCCAACTGTTCAGGGTTCGACCTCTGCGGTCGTATCAAGCTGTGCCCAGCGAAGCATTTTATTGTAATTAGGTCAGTTTCCATGATACAATAAGGAATACACTTACTATGTTTTGTGCATGTTATGATTGTAAGGTGCACATGTCTGTCTAGCAGGGTTCATCTGACCTTGACATTATTTACATGGATCATTGATAATGTTAAGTTTATGTGATACCTGTAGGTAAACCATCATATTACAAACTGAACACAAATTTAATTAGAGGCCTCGGTGGCCAAGTCGTCCAAGTAATTGGAACATCTGTATCACTAGCCTGTCAACACTGAGGTTGTGAGTTTGAATCCCACAAGTGGCAGGTGCGCTGGACTCCAATTTTAATTGACTAGGATTGTCAGTTTTTCTAACGAAGGTCATGGTTCTCTCTGGGTACTCTGGCTTCCTCCATCAATAAAAAATGACTGCCACGAAATAGCACAGTAGTGCAGAAAGTGGCATTAAACACCAATCAATCAATCAAATAAATTTAATCATAATAAGTAAAGCAGATGCGAAATATCAGTGTGTGCACTCTGGTTGAATTATTTACGTGTCCATTGCATAGTTTTTCAAAGATCTTCTCCGAAACTACTTAACCAATTTCAACCAAAGTTGGGATGAATGATCTTCATCAAATGATAAATAAAAGAGTTTTTGCCATAAATGACGATTTGACAAGTTTCCCTGTTTTTGCAAATTAGCCTTCAAATTATAGTTGATTGGAAAAACTGTGAATGGCAAAAAGACTTACAAAAATGCCAATATGTCTGACCATTGGATGACTCCTACCAGGAGATATGACTTTTCAAGTTTTCATCTCACCTGTCCGAAAGGCCAAGTGAGCTTTTCTCATCACTTTGCATCTGTCCTCTTTTACACAAATCTTCTCATACCACATCTTCTTTTTTATATGTTCAATAAATACAAGTCAAACATGACCAAAATCGTCAGAAAACTCCTTATTAGAGTTACTGCCCTTTAAAGACGATTTTTTACCAATTTTCCGCGTTTTTGCCTAATATCTGAAAAAAACTAAAATAGATAGATAGAAACAATACAAGCAAAAATGATCAGCAAGACAAGATCTACAAATTAGTCTACATGACCAAAATTGCTAGTCGTCTCCTTATTGAAGTTTTTGCCCTTTAATGAAGATTTTTCTTGTTATTACCTTTTATCTTGAAAACTGTAATAGATAGAAACTTTAAGTAGCACAAATGATCTGCAAGACTTTAAGAAGCACAAATGATCTGCAAGACTTTAAGAAGCACAAATGATCAGCAAGACTTTAAGAAGCACAAATGATCAGCAAGACAAGATCTACGAATGAACTTTAATGCTGAAATCTTATTCAACTTGTTTTCGAGTTATTGCCCTTTAATGATAATTTTAACATTTTTTTGAATTTTTTGCCTATTATCTTGAAAACTATAATAGATACATAGAAACTTTTAAAGGAAAAACTTCAGCAGGATAAGATCTACAAATATGTCAACATTACAGAAATTGTCTGTTAACTCTTAATAGAGTTGTTCCCCTTTCATGCTGATTTTTACTAAAAAGTGGTCATTGTTGAGATGCATGTGAGTGACACAGGCTCTTTAGAGCTCTTAGTTGCCAATTCTCTCAAGAATTATAACCAGGGATGACCATAACCTATTGTAGCCTGGCGGTGTGCCACACTTCAATTTTTAGCACCACCCTTAAATTACTAATTAAAAAGTATTAATTGATTGGAACACTGCCTCAAGGGTTTACATTGACAGTTGATTGCATGTATTTACATTGTCTTGCATGGTTGAACAAGGTCATGAAGGTGACCAAGTTTCTTCCAGTTGAACATTAAAAATTGTATGTAAATGGTGACCTATAGTTGTTAATTTCTGTGTCATTTGGTCTCTTGTGAAGAGTTGTCTCATTGGCAATCATACCACATCTTCTTTTTTATATGTTCAATAAATACAAATGGTTGAGTGTACCTTAAATTGAATATCTATATCCAAATTAAATCAATAAAAACAATCATTCTGCAAACAACTCATGATCACATGCAAAAATTGTGTGTTTACATCTGATAACAGCCATGTGCTTTTTGGTAGGAAAATATGGGGAAATCCCTATATCAAAGGCAATACTGTTTCTGGTTATTTATAGCCTGTAAAGAATTTCAATCTGATAAACAGCTAAAAACAAATTTCCAATTGCCATTTACATTTATTTAAATATTGAATATTAATCTGGAGGAAAAAAGAGAAACTGCAAATACATGTATATACTACTTTACATACATTTTTTATACGACCACAAAAAATTTTGCGGTCGTATATTGGTATGACGTCATCGTCGTCAGCGTCGTCCGAAGACATTTGGTTTCCGGACAATAACTTAAGTAAATGTAAATAGAAATCTATGAAATTAAAACACAAGGTTTATAACCACAAAAGGAAGGTTGGGATTGATTTTGGGGGTTATAGTCCTAACAGTTTAGGAATTAGGGGCCAAAAAGGGGCCCAAATAAGCATTTTTCTAGTTTCCAGAAAATAATTTGTGGAGCGGTGTATGGATCTCTCTGAAATTATACCACAAGTTTCCATACCACAAAGAGATGGTTAAGATTGGCTTTGGGGGGTTATGGCTCAAACCGTTTAGGAATTAGGGGCAAAAAAGGGGGAAAAACAAGGGTTTCCTGGTTAATGGACAATTAAAAAAAAGTACAATGTAATGTTTAGATTACCTCCCTTACACTGCTTTTAAATCATGTATAAAGAAATGTTGTATTGTCTTGAGGTGATTAGCTGTCAATTTATTTTTAGAAGTTACTATTTAAAAATGCTGATTAAGGAATATTAATTTTAGCCATGATTATGTATGTCATTTTCTATTTTAAGACTTTTATGATGTATTTAAATGGGTAATTATGGTTGCAAACTCCATTGGAAATTTGAATTGAGATTATGACCATATCTTGAGGGAAAGAATTTTTTTTTTTGGAAAAAGGGGGGGGGAGGTGAAAAAAATTGGGAGGGGGGTAAAAAATAAATTGTGAAGGGGGGGAACAATTTTTTCTCATTTCAGATTTCAGAAATTAAAAAGAAAATTTCTTCAAATATTTTTTTTTTTTTTGCAAAAAAAGGGGGGGGGGGGGTCAATTCGCAACAGCATAGTGTATTGCTCAAAAACAAAAAAAAAGGGGGTAAAATTTTTTTTTTTTTGGTGGGGGGGGGGGGGTCAATTCACAACAGCATAGTGTATTGCTCAAAAGCAAAAAATTGAATATAAATTCAAATCATATAACCAATTCTAAGTTCTTTGACTACAGTTATTCTGTGTCAGAAACCTATTATGTGTCAAATATTTAATTACAATCCAAATTCAGACCTGTATCAAGCGCGAATATTGTGTCCATTTTTGCCCCAACTGTTCAGGGTTGGACCTCTGCAATTGTATCCAGCTGCGCTCGGTGAAGCAATTTATTTTGGGGGGGTTAAAATTGATTTGATTATATTGTCATTTTATATTAATATGAATTTTATTAGTCTGAACAGACTTGTTTGAAACGGCTTTGTAATTCTGCCAGACTCATTTTAAAAATAAATTCTTTTATCATTTCTATCACACCTTGTGGTCTTCAATTAGGCAACTGCAATTAAATCTAAATTGTCATGAAATGAAGCTCTTGAAATTATAAATTTATCACATGAAATGCATAAATTTATATGGATCCCCACTTCTCCCCGAAGTCTGAACTTTGTTGGGTCTTTACTTCTCTTTCTTTAATAGCTCCCTAAAAGTGTGGTGACCACTAATAGGAAAAACTATGCAAGATTCACCCTTCAAATTAGATAGATATCCCAACTATTAGAGAAGACAAAATGAGCAACAAATCAGGGGCAATTTATTTCTGTGGAGCAATGCAATCCACGCTACACATCATCTGTACTTTGTTGACCTTTCTCCTCCACCCTTGATTTCCATTCTGTGGTAAACCCTGTATAACAGATAGATAAAAACTGTAAACAGCAAAAATGATCAGTAATACAGGATATTTATTATAATAATTGATTGCAATAAAGCTAAAGATTAATATCAAAATGGCATATCTATAAGAGGTGTGTGATTCAGGCTGTTCCAGGCCTTTTGTTTCTTTTAATTTATATCCTTCAAATAATTCAATCATGTTTTGTTTGGTAGGAGTTTTAGCAATACACAAAGTTCAGACATCACACGTCTTACAGAATAAACAACAATTTTGTCAACTATGTATTTCACATGGAATATGTTACTGCAGTCTGGGTTATCCTTGGCTTGTTGTTGGTGTGTTTGTAATGTGAATTATGGTATTTTTATGCCCCCGCCGTAGCCGAGGGGGCATTAAGTTTTACCCTTGTCCGTACGTCCCAAAGTTGGTTTCCGTTCTCTAACTTTAGTTTGCCTCAACCAAAAGTTATGAAACTTATACACAATGCTTATTACCACAAAATACAGATCAAGTTTGAATTTTGGTGCCGTCACGATAACGGTTCTTGAGTTATGCCCCTTTATAATTGTCAGTACAGTTTACTTTCTTATGAATTTTATGGCAATTTTTACACAAGAGAAAGTCACATTGTAAAAATTTCCATTTAACTTCATTGGAATCTACCCACAACTGACAAGATGTAGGAATTTCCCCCTTATGATTTTAAAAATGCCATTATGCTAAACACACTTGAACAGTGATATCCATTATTAAATATTTAATGCATATGACTATTGATATGGTTTAACATCCAAATGCTGTTCAAATTTGATCAGAAATGTATGTTAATGTTTATTCTCACAGTGTGTTGAATTAAATGAAAAAAGTAGTCTCCTTATATAGTTTATATCATTAAAAACAGAATGTGAAAAAGAAGATTTAAGAAATGGGTTTTTGTGTTTTGAGCTCTTGAGCAAATAATGTAGAAATTGTATTTATAAATGCCAGGTATTATATACAGATAATAAACTGGATTTAACATAAGTATATAAACAATATAAACAATGCTTTCCCTTTTGCCTCACCCTATCTCCATCCTTTTGGAGTTCATGTGATTCTCTCAGATTAACAATATAAACAATGCTTTCCCTTTTGCCTCACCCTATCTCCATCCTTTTGGAGTTCATGTGATTCTCTCAGATTAACAATATAAACAATGCTTTCCCTTTTGCCTCACCCTATCTCCATCCTTTTGGAGTTCATGTGATTCTCTCAGATTAACAATATAAACAATGCTTTCCCTTTTGCCTCACCCTATCTCCATCCTTTTGGAGTTCATGTGATTCTCTCAGATTAACAATATAAACAATGCTTTCCCTTTTGCCTCACCCTATCTCCATCCTTTTGGAGTTCATGTGATTCTCTCAGATTAACAATATAAACAATGCTTTCCCTTTTGCCTCACCCTATCTCCATCCTTTTGGAGTTCATGTGATTCTCTCAGATTAACAATATAAACAATGCTTTCCCTTTTGCCTCACCCTATCTCCATCCTTTTGGAGTTCATGTGATTCTCTCAGATTAACAATATAAACAATGCTTTCCCTTTTGCCTCACCCTATCTCCATCCTTTTGGAGTTCATGTGATTCTCTCAGATTAACAATATAAACAATGCTTTCCCTTTTGCCTCACCCTATCTCCATCCTTTTGGAGTTCATGTGATTCTCTCAGATTAACAATATAAACAATGCTTTCCCTTTTGCCTCACCCTATCTCCATCCTTTTGGAGTTCATGTGATTCTCTCAGATTAACAATATAAACAATGCTTTCCCTTTTGCCTCACCCTATCTCCATCCTTTTGGAGTTCATGTGATTCTCTCAGATTAACAATATAAACAATGCTTTCCCTTTTGCCTCACCCTATCTCCATCCTTTTGGAGTTCATGTGATTCTCTCAGATTAACAATATAAACAATGCTTTCCCTTTTGCCTCACCCTATCTCCATCCTTTTGGAGTTCATGTGATTCTCTCAGATTAACAATATAAACAATGCTTTCCCTTTTGCCTCACCCTATCTCCATCCTTTTGGAGTTCATGTGATTCTCTCAGATTAACAATATAAACAATGCTTTCCCTTTTGCCTCACCCTGTCTCCATCCTTTTGGAGTTCATGTGATTCTCTCAGATTAACAATATAAACAATGCTTTCCCTTTTGCCTCACCCTATCTCCATCCTATTGGAGTTCATGTGATTCTCTCAGATAAACAATATAAACAATGCTTTCCCTTTTGCCTCACCCTGTCTCCATCCTTTTGGAGTTCATGTGATTCTCTCAGATTAACAATATAAACAATGCTTTCCCTTTTGCCTCACCCTATCTCCATCCTTTTGGAGTTCATGTGATTCTCTCAGATTAACAATATAAACAATGCTTTCCCTTTTGCCTCACCCTATCTCCATCCTTTTGGAGTTCATGTGATTCTCTCAGATTAACAATATAAACAATGCTTTCCCTTTTGCCTCACCCTATCTCCATCCTTTTGGAGTTCATGTGATTCTCTCAGATTAACAATATAAACAATGCTTTCCCTTTTGCCTCACCCTGTCTCCATCCTTTTGGAGTTCATGTGATTCTCTCAGATTAACAATATAAACAATGCTTTCCCTTTTGCCTCACCCTATCTCCATCCTATTGGAGTTCATGTGATTCTCTCAGATAAACAATATAAACAATGCTTTCCCTTTTGCCTCACCCTGTCTCCATCCTTTTGGAGTTCATGTGATTCTCTCAGATTAACAATATAAACAATGCTTTCCCTTTTGCCTCACCCTATCTCCATCCTTTTGGAGTTCATGTGATTCTCTCAGATTAACAATATAAACAATGCTTTCCCTTTTGCCTCACCCTATCTCCATCCTTTTGGAGTTCATGTGATTCTCTCAGATTAACAATATAAACAATGCTTTCCCTTTTGCCTCACCCTATCTCCATCCTTTTGGAGTTCATGTGATTCTCTCAGATTTTTCGTTACATTGACTTGTCTTCTTAATTATTTTAAGAAGTATGAACATTGGTACTGTTACCTTCATTTACTTCAATTTTCATGGATTTTAAGAGTATAAGTGAACAATGATATTCAAGAAATGCAAATTTCCAATATACTTGTATACCTTATTTGTGAAAACCACAAAATATCAAGAATCCATGAAAACACCATTATGCTTGTAACTATGAAAAAAAAAACAAATTCACAGTAATAAAGAAAGGTTAATTTGAGAAAAATTCAATGTTGATTAAAAAATTAATGCAATCCCATTGACAATTATTATTGTAGTCAATTATTAACCTATGTTCAACTAATTTTTATACGACCTTATAAGGGTATGGCGATTTTGTCGTCGCTCGAAGACATTTTTGTTACCAGACAATAACTTAAGTATAAGTGTATGGATCTCAATGAAATTGTTCCACAAGGTTCCATACCACGAAAGAAAGGTTGAGACTGATGTTGCAGAGTTATCCTCCTAACTGTTTAGGACTTAGGGACCAAAAAGGATCCAAAAACGGCATTTTACTTGTTTCAGGACAATAACTTATGTAGAAGTGTATGAATCTCTATGAAATTGTACCACCAGGTTCCATACTTTAAAATGAAGGATGGGATTAATTTAAGGGGTTATGGCCCAAATTGTTTAGAAATTAGTGGCCAAAAAGAGGCCAACAAACAAGGATTTTCTGGATTCCAGACTATAACCTGAGTATAAGTCTATGGATCTCTATGAAATTGTACCACAAGGTTCCATACCTCAAAAGGAAGGTTGGGATTGATTTTGGGGGTTATGGCCCTAATTTTCTAGGAATTAAGGGCCAAAAAAGGGACCAAAAACAATACTTTTCTAATATTTTGTGTAAATTGCTTATTGACTAATTTGAATGGGGTTTAGTTCAAAGTCTTGAACTCTTAGGGTTCTTAAATATGCTGAATCGACTGTGTATTTAGATTTTTGACCCCGTTTTTAAATTTGTACACATTTAGGTTCAAAGGTGTTTAATTTCATAAATAATTGAATTATTGGGGTTCTTTGATATGTCAAATCTAACCTTGTATTTAGATTTTTAATTTTGGGATCTTTTTTGAAATTGGTCCTCATTAAGGTTTAAAGGGTCCAAAATTGAACTTTGTTTGATTTTTAACAAAAATTAAAGTCTTGGGGTTCTTTTATATACTCAATCTAAACATGTATTTAGATTTTTGATTTTGGGCCCAGTTTTCAAGTTGGTCCAAACTTGGGTCCAAAATTAAACTTTTGTAAATTTTAACAAAAAATGAATATATGGGGTTCTATGATATGCTGAATCTAACCATGTATTTAGATTTTGGATTTTGGGTACCATTATCAAATTGGTCTACATTGAGTTCCAAAGAGCCCAAGATTAAACTTTCTTTGATTTCATCAAAAAATTGAATTCTTGGGAATCTTTGATAAATCGAACCCAACCTTGTTTTTAGATTTTTGATTTTTGGCCCTATTTTCAAATTGGTCCACAGTAAGTTCCAAAGGGTCCAAAATTAAACTTTTGTTTGATTTTTAACAAAAATTAATTCTTGGGGTTCTATTATATGCTGAATCTAAATATGTATTTAGATTTTCGATTTTGGACCCAGTTTTCAAGTTGGTCCAAACTGGGGTCCAAAATTAAACTTTGTTGATTTTAACAAAAGTTGATATGCTGATTCTAAACGTTATTTAGATTTTGGATTTTGGGCCCCATTATCAAATTGATCTACATTTGAGTTCCAAATGGTCCCAAATTAAACTTTGTTTCATTTCATCAGAAATAGAATTCTTGGGAATCTTTGATATGCTGAATCTAACCATGTATTTAGATTTTGGATATTGGACCGTAATAGGAAAATGTCCAATTTAAAATTTTTAAGACCACATTCATTCTTTGTCAGAAACCTATTCTGTGTAAAATATCTAATCACAATCTAAATTCAGAGCTGTATCAAGTTTGAATGTTGTGACCTCTGCTGAAGTATCAAGCTGCGCCATGCGGAGCATTTTATTAATTACAGTATATTTTCTATTTCAACAAAAAAAGAAAAAGAGACATTATAAATTAATTATCATGTTTCTTGTTATGGTGATTTGTCAACAAAAATATAAAATTGTTTGTACGAATAGTCAAAGCTATTTTATTTAAATTGTTGAACCATAACATATTTTAAAACATTTTAAAACAGATAGGTGAATGAATAAAATCAGTAGTTTAGAATCCTGAAACCTCAACCATATATATTTTGGCTATAGCAGGTTCATTTATGTATCTACTACAACCTATATACAGTGTACCTGTATTGTCAATGTTTAAAGAGTATGGAAGATGGATATTTAATTGATCCTTAGTATTAATGTAATGAATGCACTGTCCTGAAGTGTTGAGAATATGAATCATTTGATGATTACTATCTGTAACTATAATATTGTTTAATTTTGTAGCCACTAAATCTTTAGATTTGATAGTTTGTTCTTTGTTGATATCTGGATGACCACTGTATATCCATCTCACTCCATTGGTTTTATCTAATGCCATTATCCTACCACTCCAGTCTTTATTGAGACAATCTAGGACATAAATGTTATTGTTATTGTCTGATGTTATTCTTTGTGGAGCAGAAAAGATAGGTTTTCCATTATTGTCCAGATCATAAACCTGCTCTGTTTTTCCATCTATATCCATCACAACCACTTGCCTTGGACCATCGACTTGGAAGACAGGTCCTCCCTTTCTGGCTCCAACTATAATCTTATGATTCTGAGTTACATGGACAGCACCACTAATTAAGGGTGCTACATTATTTTTAGATTGTATTTTACTTCCTGTTGTATGGCAAAGTGTTTTAAGATTTGATTCTGCAGTAGATATAAGCAAGTCTCCTGATGGTAAGAATGCCATACCAGCACAATTTACCTGTACTTCTTGCTCAATATTTAACAATCCATTTGATAGTTGTATTTTCTGTAGGATTTTTCCTGCAATATAACCTATCCACAATGTTCCATCATCACTGCAAATCAACTGTTCAACAAGTTTTAGTCCAGTTTTATACTGTTCTATAACTTTAGCTTCATATTGTTCCTGTGCATGATCATCATCAGACTCAGTTAGTTCTCCGTGTAGTGCCTCTTTGGTCTTCATTTTTCCTGGTATATACTGGGGCAGTTTTTTAACATAAGTATTAACTGGTTCTGTACTTTGTTTTCTTGCTGTTTTTTCCTCTTTTAATGCACTGAAAGCATCACAAACATTGACAGAAGCTTCGGCTTTTGTTAAACTTCCTTTTTGGAATTCTAGATCGTTTTTTATCTTGTGGGATTTATTTTCTCTATGGATTTCACAAGGAATGTTACTGAAATCTGGGTTATCCTTGGCTTGTTGTTGTTGTGAAGCAATGTCTTTGATTTCAATAATAGTATGTTGGTTAGTATATTTTACTTTGTTATGAAGTCTCTGACATTTTGTACACAAAAGAAAGTCACACTGTATACATTTCCATTTGATCTCGTTTGATTCTTCACACAACTGACAAGATATAGGAATTTGCCCTTTACATAGGGAGTTTGAAAATGCCATTATGCTGAACACACTTGGTCGCAGTGAATGTTGTATCAAAATTAAATTAATGTATTTAACTAAATCGAAGTAGTAGAATATGAATTTGTTTAAATAGGTATGTCAAGGTTATTTTCCCAATGTATTGATTTTAGTATTTTTAAAATGTATACATTGAAAGGAGAAGGTACCATTTGGGGTGTAAATATTTGAATTTTTCATTAGATTCCTCAGAGATTTGGCAGGCCATTGGACTTTGTCCCTTCTAGAGAGATTTGAATAATGCCAAGATGATGAATTTGTTCAAACAGTGTGAACGTTGAATGCAAAAAATTGTATTACTTTATTATTAAAGTGTTCATATATATTTCATCATATTTTAAGATCTCTCTCAGTAATCTTTGTACACCATATTTGTATATATATTTTGTATAAATGTTAACATACACCTGATAAAACAAAATAAAAATGAATTTAGTATTTTTATAGTTGGTTCTAAAATATCTTTCGTTCTGCAATCTGCGTATATAATTGTACAAACCTTTGCTTTTTATTTTATCTGTTGATATAAAGTTTCTCACAGAGAATATATTTCTCACCGTACTTTTTGTTGTAAATAAATCTAAACCATTGAAAAAATATATATTTAAATTTAGGAAAGTTCTTACATCTATCAACAGCAATGGCTATACTAACTAAATCATTTACAGTAACTTGAGTATAAGTGTTTCCCTCCTGTTCATTCAAAATTCTGACCTAATTCCAATTTGTTTCATCAACCAAACTGTTCAACTCATTATACAACTGCTGTAGAAGAACCACAGTCACTCGCAAAGTGACAAAATTAAGCATACTTACAAGTTGCTATCCTGTTAACACTTAAATTGCACTTTATGGCTAACGTACAAGTAATGCTTAAAAGTTATACGCATATATACATTGTATATTGTAATGAGTCATTTGAAAGGTAAGGTAGAAATTTTTTTAAATGCTATAAAAATTCAATTTTAAGATTTTGAATTATATGTTCTTAAATTTGTTTTTTTTTCTTTACATGTTACAAAGCTGTGCTTACATTAAAAAATGAAAACAACAAGTTATAAATTTCATGCATCCGAAGCGCTTTTCTGGATTTACCTTCATCAGGAAATAATTTTTTTTTTAAATACTAAATATTCAATACTCGATGATATACTTTAAGCTAAAATATGTTTTGACCATCTTAATGGGTGCCACTTGTGGAGCAAGATCTGCTTACCCTTCCAGAGCACCTGAGATCAACCCTTGTTTTGGTTGCTCAGTCTTTAGTTTTCTATGTTTTGTTTGTTTACTGTTGTTTATCTTTTGTTCTATTTTCGTTTTTTGCCATGGCATTGTCAATTTGTTTTCGACTTATGAGTTTAGATATGCCTTTAGTATCTTTCACATCTCTTTTAAATCTCTAATTATGGATGTAGTTTTTCACCTTATTGGAAAACGTTTACACCTTGGATATTAGATTGTATATTCTATGAGATGATATATATAAAGTTACAATTTCCACATACAGACTTGAAAGAAATGTTTGATCAAGTTCTCTCACTTGAAGAAGATGTGGTATGATTACCAATAAGACAACTCTCCACAAGAGACCAAATGACACAGAAATTAACAGTGGGATTTCCAGTGACACTAGAACAATAGAAAAGTGACTCTTCTTATGAAAGAGATAGAAAAGGTAAAAAAAAAGGAAAAACACATAAAACTCGATATGCATAGGGATGAATATCTCTGAAAACACAAAACCATAATATAACTTTTATACAACCACTATAAGTAATGTATATTTTGAAGCTGAATTTGTTGATAAATGATTTTTTAGTTGCCAAATATGCTGCTAATTGAACAATTCATTGCTCAACTTAGGGTGTATAAAAAACTGCCAATCTTGACTGCATATTTTTCTTTTTTTTTGAAAAAAATATATATCAAACCTTAATAATGTAGCGTAATGAGGATCCAGTTTTTAACGTGTTCCAAAATGTAGTTTCGCCACAAGAATTTTTCAAAGTTGGGTCATTTTGTCTATATGAATGTTGGTAAATTTGTATGATCTAGCACACCGATAAGTGTATCTTTGGGACAACTCGATATAATGTAATCAATATACGTGACAAATTACCTAATGTGAAGTGTATTGAAATTATCATAATATAAATGATCAACATATTATGTTTGAAAAACATGAGTCCTATAATATAAGACTTTGAAGGTTCGTATCATTTACATTCAACGTTTTTTATCGGATTTTTTTTTACTATCAATGTAACCTCGAGGTCCAACATTGATAGTAAAAAAAATCCCCAAAAAAACGTTGAATAAATGATATGAACCTTCGAATTCTTATAATATAGGACTAGAAAACATGTGATCCAAATTAACCACGTGTGTTAAAGAACAGACTTTGCACTTTTATGATGTACAGGTATGTGCATCTTCCATATTCAAATCTGTTAAAAAAAAAAATAAAAATTGAAATACTTACACACTACGCAATAGTTTTGTATTTGTTCAAAAATCATGAGTATTTCTTTGATATGAATATACTCATTTCTCTAACTTTGATTTATGTTTATTGTCAGTTCATGTAATATGTTGGAGTGTGTGCAAAAAAAAATATCCACCCGAGTCAAATTAAAAATGCATTAATTTTTCTTTGTGTAAAATTGAACAACTTTTGTAGGTGTTGATTCAGAAGTCCGCATGTTGAATCTTTAACGTGCATATTTAGGTATAAACAGTGGCAGTTCCAGAAATTTTCCTTAAGGGAACTACCATTTAACTTTTTAAAAAAAAGGGGGGTAAGCGTTTTTTTTCTTTAAAAATATTATGGTCCCCAATTTGATGAATTTTGTTTGTAATACTTTTATACAAACACTACATATATGAAAGTATATGTTAAATCTGAATTTATTAATATATGAAAAATGTTTGACTCGGACAAAAAAAATATACTCCCCGCCCCCCAATTTAAATGGTTGAAACCTAAGGGGATGCCCACTGACTGCCTTAAAAGGAGCCCGATCCAGTAGTGCTTTAGTGATTTCGTATGTAATTAACAAAATTTGTCTTACACTGAAAGGGGCGGCCGGACACCCTGCCCTCTATTCATACCCTAATGAAAGTTTGAAATCAGGCAGGACGCAGTTTGTCTGGCAAAACAGCCGTTGGACGTCTGGGTAATCTCGGACTATAACTTGGTATGTCGTATTAATAAACAAATTAAATCTTTATTTTGTCATAAACTTTGTGAACTACAATGTCATGCAAACTGAAACCAAAAGCCCATCCTTGATAAAAAAAAATGTCAAGTGTGCCAAATGTGGAAGTAAGACGGCAAACAGATCATATCATAATATGAACAAGCCAGTGGAGATTTCAAGGGAGTAACAAGACAATCATAGGTTATTATTCTTGGACCGTCTCTGTCCCAGTTGTAACATTTCTTTAGAATGCAAATGTGTCAAACCCCATGGTCCTCCACAAAATAGAGGAAGTCGGACACTTGTCAGATATGTCCCAATATAGCTTAAAAAATTTATGAAACTTTAGGCTAAAATTTAAATTGCAGCCTTATTTTAACTGTCGTTGATGATAAAATATATATGTTAATGTTCAAAATTGAATATACAGATGAACTTTCATGGGTCTTTCCTTTCCCTCAGTGACTAGCATTTTCTTAAAATCACCTAGCCAGTTCTTTTGAAAACGTACTTCGATGCTGGATTAAAAGAAATTGCCAAATTAAGACACAAAGAAGATGGCCTCTTAACAGTCCAACAGCAATGCATTAACTTTAGGAAAACTCATTTATTTCATCTTGACATCTTTCTATACAAAGCTCAGTTGCTCAGTTTCTTTATCAATAGAAATTTAAAACATGAGCATTCAAAATTTACTTGTAAACAAACCACAAATGAAACAAAATATTGAAAGACGTGGTTTTACTGACAATGGAGGCAACAATATTGATTAAAGAAATCTTCAAGATTTTCAAAATATTACCGACAAAAGCCTTCAGTTGGGCAATCTTACTGTAATCTAATTATCTCTACTGATAAATAATGCAACACTAATGACACATTTAAGTTTTGGAATGATTTTATTCACAGAGACTGTTTTTCATTGATGTACATTTCTTTACTCTTGTCTTTTCGGAGTTCAAAGTTGGAATTACAAATTGCTGCATGAAAGAGACTAGTTCCACTTTTCTATGCATATGAACGTCATATGTACTTGAAAATCATTCCATAAAACATCTGTTTGATATCCGTTCAATGCCAGAAGCTGTCTATTACCCAGCTGAGAGCAGTTCTCAGCTAGTGGTTTTTCTGCCACAATTACAAGGGAAAACTGGCGCTACAACTTGCACTGGGTCAGGCACTTGAATCTTACATCGATCTTGATGTTAAACAGCTAGTTTAAAAGCCCCTCCGGAACTGTTGGATTTTATGACAGTCTCCCTTCCATACAGAACATCGCTGCAAAATAATTTGACCATTCAATTAGATGATAATAATATTATTTGGCAATCTAAAGAGAACCTGAAAATATTAGACCAATGTTTGAACAGAGAAATGCCCCCAAAAAACAGCCATTTTGCTAGGCAATGAAATTTAAAAACTAGATAGTTGCATGTCCCTTTATCTTTTGTGTCAGTTAAAAGTCAATGTAGATCAGATCATTGGCTCTTACCAAAATTTTAAACCGGTATTTTGAATTCCAGTATTGTGATTGCCAAATTTAGCTGCCCCCTGAAAATCAAATGGTTGTTACCACAGATAAAAATAATCTAAATTTTGTAATATTTTCACCCTACATCTACCCCCCCCCCCCCCCCCCCCCCCCCCCCCCCCCTAATTTGGTCAAGGTATGGTGGTTTAACCCCTTTTCGACTTTCAGTATATCATATTGTATATCTTTAATAAAAATTGCATAAACTAGATGAATTTCTAGTAATTTTCTACGATATTCTTTATCATTTGAAAAAATACCATGCATCTGATTTAAATTGTTTACTATTTGAAAAAAGCACGCCTTCTTTTACTTTACTTTACCTCCCTTTATTTCACGTAGCAACGCAAATAAAAAAACTGCCAATCTTTGCTGCATATCAATTTTTATACCCGATAAAAATATATATCATGCAACATAATCAAATTTACAAATTGGGAGAAAATCAAGGTGTTCCAACCATTGGATAGTATTAAGAATAAAATTTTTGAAAGGATGGCATGATTACAAGTTTGAACCCTGACGACACTGAAAATCGAAAATTCACGCATTTACTTGTCATATGAAGATACGATGAGGTGATAAACTTAACAATTAATAATTTACCTGATTTATTATCATATTCACATTATGTTGACACGTCTTAGTTCGTCTGTGCTAGCTCATTTCAAACAAGCAAAACAATAACAGCATCTTCCGTTTTTCTTTACCGATCGCCTCTAGTCAGAAGAGCGTACTGTTTACAGGGGAGGTAATATTTTGTCACCAGTTCGTGCACTGTTAACAACTATCATGACTATAGTTAAAAGTTGATTTCTTTCAGTCTATAATTAAAGCTTCTTAATGATACGTTCTTGTCATTAATGACAACCTTGATGACTTGCAATTAAGTCTGCTTATAAAAGATAGCCTTTAACAAGTTTGTATTCAAATCAGAAGTAATAACCTATGCAGATGTCCCAGAGTGGTTTGTTATTTAAATGAAACTTGTTTATTTGGTACTTGTGCATCCTTGGCTTTCTAATTTTTGTATTGGAGCATTCCTGATGAAGGTAAATCCAGAAAAGCATTTCAGGGGCACAAACAACTTATAAAGTGTTACTTAAATTTTTTAAACAATTTTTGTCTTTCCTGTGACAAAAGTCACAAAAAGCTACACATAGGGATTGCTTTTCCAGCTGTGGTGACGGCGACGATGATGACCTTGTCAACAATTGTTAAGTTTTCTGCTTACGTTAGTTTGATAGGAACTACTTGTGAAAGATCATTGATATTTAGTACAAAGTTGCATTACTATCAGTACATATCAGTCTGACAACTATTTTGGTCCAGTGACTTTAAATTAATTAGCAATTTTCAATGTTAAGTTTTGTCCTGAAGTTAGATTGATAGAAACTAATTACAATGGACAACAATATTTTCTATAAAGTTACAATACTGTCTGTACATCTCAGTTTCTTGATCATTTCTAGGCCCTGCCCACAAGATTATGGTTGAATGACTTTGAAATAATAAGCTATGTTGCTGTCCATCAGATTGTCTTTTTCTGAATTTTATGCTGACAGGCGAGACATATCTCTGTGTCAATAGTTTATTTACTATACAACTTTTATTTGAATACTTCACTTGATTTACAGGCATCATTTAATTTTTCAGAATACTGTATTTTTCACAAGGTTATAGATGGATACATTTTACAGATTGCCTGACTTAATGTTTGTGTTTTCAATATTTTACAGATTGCCTCTAAGTATATGTTGTCAATGCACAATGATGCTCATGGTAAACCTTTAGCCAAGCCTCCTAAGTCAATCATGAAGGAATCACAGATCCTGGGGTCCAGACTATTGAGAGAGGGACAAATCAGACATCTGGAAGTTCTGTCCTTAGATTTACTCAGTAATGGAATACACTCCTTACATCAAATGGGTGCAGTAAGGAAAGAAAAAAGGTATGTAGTACAAATGCTTCATAATACATGGGTGCAGTTAGGAAAGAAAAAAGGTATGTAAACAAGGAATTATTTGAGTCTGGAATAATTTTGAATTCCGGAAAATTGATTAGAAATGTATGATGAAAACAAACCCAACTAAATAGGGTTAGCCATGCATGCATGGCTAAGGATGAATTTACTTTCACTATCATATCAGTATGAACTAACTAACCCACCTTAGCCATGCACGCATGGCTAACCCTATTTAGTTGGGTTAGTTTTCATCATATATTTCTCATCAATTTTCAGAATTCAAAATTATTCCAAATTCAAATAATTCCTTGTTTGTAGTACAAATGCTTTATATCATATGTTTGCAGTAAGAAAAGAAAAAAAGTATGTAGCTCACATATGCTTTTTATGGCATGGGTGCAGTAAGGAAAGAAACAATGTATGTAGCACACAGGCTTTTATCATATAGATGCATTAAAGAAGGATAAAAGATATGTAGCACACATTCTTAGATTTACAATGGTACATTTTATGTCTTAAGGTAATTAAGGGCTATTCCATTAAAATGTATGTGGGAGGGTAGGAAGGGACTTTCAAAATATCCCTACAAGCAAGAACCATTTTTTAGATAATTTTGCATAATGGTAATAGACACATACTGAAAAAAGACCCATGACCCACATTCAATAATTAAACTTCCCTTCCTACCCTCCCACATACATTTTAATGGAATAGCCCTAAACAAAAACTCCATCTGATGGTCATATCTAGGAGACGTCTTGAGTATCATATACATTTAATATCAATGTTTTTTGATTAATTCTGTTTATATAGAAATGATGAGATGAAGCATGATTGCCAATAAGACAACTATACATTAAGTGCCAATCTACCTAAGAATCAGACAGTGGTGAAAACATGACAAACAAAAACCCACTCAAGTTGACATTAATTTTTATTATACTTCACGTTAAGATATCAGATTTTGATTGGCTAATATGAGGGAGATAATTTACTCTATCCCATGGCTCAGCGGGAGACAATTTTTTGAATGTCACCCTCTCGCGCAGACCAATCAAAAATCGATAATTTAAAGGACAATGAAGTGAACTTACATAAATATTTTTAAAGACAATGCTACAGTTCTACCTTTGGCCTCAGAACACTTTCATAGACTATCAAAATACATCTTGCTTCACTTTTGTTGTTTTTCTAATAACTGTAAGTAACGTTATGTACATGACATCATAGTTGAGTACTTTCAACTTAAAATTCAAAAGACATTCAGTATAATAAATTAAATAACACATAGCTGAGAGGATGATAGAGCAGATTGGTACCCTCGAAAAAGCATTGTCGACCTTGGCTACGCCTTGGTTGACAATGTTTTCTCTGGGTAAAAATCTGCTCTATCACCCTCTCAGCTATGTGTTATTTATATAATGTTTAAAATGTATAATGGCGCACGAATATAACATTCGTTTCCTTTTCCTGTTCTGGTAATTCAAGTTATAATTTGGTTGAAATGCGCTAGAAATTAACAATTAAGGGGAGCTAACTCCATAATTTGCTATCATTCTAACCAAAAGTTATCAAGAGATTTGTTGAATTACCAGACACACAGAAATGAAAGACCTACCATTTCTAATGCAGGATGAGGGTAACTTCAAAATAGGATGGTTAGGTCGGTGGGTTTTTTCCAGCCATGTTTTGATTATTTTCAAAATAGCCTGATTCTTACAAAGACTGGCACTTAAGTCAAAAGGATGAAGATGTGAAACATTACAGGTTACTGTACATGTATGTGATATTTATCAAACTGTTTATAATGAAAGGCTGTCCAATTTACATTGATTCGTATATTTTCTATTATTCATATTTAACTTTCAGAGATAACCAGACATATATGTTCCCAAACACAGTCAAACTTACAGCTGTTTGTTCAGAAATAGGTAAGAGAAAATCTAATCACTGTGGATATTCTAATGGTAATTTAACATTATTTACAAAAGCAGTTTGGAAAATTTTATACTGTAAATTCAGAAATTGTTACATGCATTTATTATTGCGTTTTTTAAAAAATGGACAAAAATGCAAGATTAATTATTGCGATTTCAGGAAAAATTGCATACAGATATATATATATCAGATATCAGAATACGAGTTCTTATTATTGCGATATTCACCCATTATTGGCATTAATTAAAATCTCGCAATAGTTTCTGATTTTACAGTATTAAGAATGAATTTGAAAAATCTTCAATATAGAAATGGGGGCCTGGGTTGTCCAGTGGTTTAGGTTTCTCCTCTATCTGTACAGACTGACTACAATAGCCTATTACTGGTAATCACAAAAAGGTGTACAGTATGTAGACATGTTTGTCAGTAAATAAAGGAGATGTGATAAATGAGTGCCAATTAGACAACTACATTCTACTTGTCTCATATAGTTACACTTACATCTAAGGTGGATTTTGTAATTTCCATCTTCCCACTCAAATTTTAAAATATGGTTTAAATGCTGGTTACTAAAGCTCAACTCTTTTCCTAAGGTATTGAATGCTCAATTCTTATAATAAAAGAAAATTGATCATATGCTCACTCCATATAGTGCAGGGAGCAGAGGACTGTGGCTACAGCTTTTGGTGCATTAGTCTGTAATCATTAAAGAGCAAGCTTGCATTTTGTCCTGATTATCTAAGTTTCAGCAGAATAACAGCTCTTGGATTTTTCATTGAAATTTTACTTGTCAGGATTTTTATACGACCGAAAAAAAAATTTTGGGTTCATATAATGCTATGATGTCGTCATCGGCGTCGTACGAAGACACATTTGGTTTCCGACAATAACTTTAGTTTAAGTTAATGGATCTCTATGAAATTTTACAAGAAGGTTCAATACCACAAAAGGAAGGTTGGGATTGATTTTAGGGGTAATGGTACCAACAGTTTAGGAATAAAGGGCCAAAAAGGGGCCAAAACAAGCATTTTTGTAGTTTCAGGACAATAACTTGTGTGTAAGTGTATGGATCTCTCTGACATTGTACCACAAGGTTCCATATCTCAAAGGGAAGGCTGGGATTGAGTTTGGGGGTAATTTCCCCAAACATGCAGGAATCAGGGGCAAAAAAGGGGCCAAAACAAGCATTTTTCTAGTTTCCAGACAATAACTTGTGTTTGAAGTGTATAGATCTCTCTAAAATTGTACTACAAGGTTACATACTACAAAGGGAAGGCTGGGATGGACTTTGGGGGTAATTGCTCCAAAGAGGGGGGGGTGTCAAAATGTTTTGGGGGGGTTTCCAATTTTTTTGAGGGGTTCATTTTTTTTTTCTTCAAAATTTTTCAAATTTCAATAGATTTTTAAGATCTTTGACCACATTTTTTTTGTGTCAGAAACCTGTATTATGTCAAAAATTTGATCACAATTCAAATTCAGACAGTATCAAGCTTGAATATTGTGTCCAAATTTGCCCCAACTGTTCAGGGTTCGACCTCTGCGGTTGTATCAGGTTGCGCTCAGCAAAGCATTTTTATTAAATGCCTGCAGATCTGAAGCTGTTCAATAAATTGAGAATTGAAACGTGGAATGTGTCAAAGAGACAACATGACCAAAGAGCAGAAAACAATGTACATTAGTGTATAATGATGACTTACAGATTGGGATTTTAGTTTCTTTCCTTTGGCAGAGCTATTGCTTGTGGACTTTCAAGCTATTTTTAGTTTAATTTGTTTAATGATGGCTTACAATTCAAGTTTGTATTCCGTTGCAAAAATGGCTTTTGGTTGTATTAGAGCTAAGGCTGCATGCTTGGACACTTGTCCTACTGAAAAAAGTGTTTTTTTACAATTGATTTTTTTTTTTTTGTAATTTCAAATAATTCTTAGCAATTCTATGCAGATTTAGCAAAATCTCAAATTCCATATTATTTTAAAATAAGATAAGATAGGAATTGAAAAAAGATTTTGGCCTTATGTTTGAAAGTCTAATAGCATATTCTGTAGAATTATAATTTTCTTCATAAAAAAAAGATATATTTATATATTTATTTTTCAGAGAAATATATAGACGTTCCCAATATTCCAGAGGCCATCATCAATGTGTCATCCAAAACAGTCACCATCAATGCCAAGTTATAATCATTCAAAGACCATCGTCTGTGTGTCACCCAAAACTGTCACCATCAATGCCAAGTAATAATCATCATATGTGCATTGTCCCAATGCCAAGTAATAATCATTCAAAGACCATCGTCTGTGTGTCACCCAAAACTGTCACCATCAATGCCAAGTTATAATCATCATATGTGCATTGTCCCAAACAGTTTCCATAAGTAGAAAGTTATAATGATATTAATATCCATCATATGTGGTCCTTCAAAAGACATCACCAATATTAGCATCAAGTTACAATAAGGAAAAAAAACATTATAATCTCATGTTACATACTTATACTGTAAGGTGAACAATTTTCGTGAGGCTTATAGTTTCTCTTATTTTTGCCAAATTAATAAAAGCAAAAATTTCCTTGTCATATATGATAATTATAAAACAATTCATAATTAAGGTGGTACATAACACTACAGGGAGATAACTCTGTAAAAATAAGCTGAACGTTTTAATCACGTTCTATAGTTAAGGAAATATTAAGCTTCTCAATTATCAAAATTAGTGTTTGTCAAACTGCTATATATCCAATGAAATTTTTCCGATAAAGCGTGTGGTTCAAGTTTTTTGAAATTTTTATATTTTTGTCCAAGGGTCAAAGTAAATATTTTGTCAAAATTTTATGAAAATTAAACGAGCCAAATTAATTTTAGTCAAGGTATTTGGTACCACCTTAAGGACAAGAACAATTTGAAAGTAAAAATGATTGCAACTAAAAATTAAATGGTTTTTAAAGTGGTTTATTTTTGGAATTTTGAAGGCCAAACATTTTACAGATTTTTTTTTTGTGCTTTTCTTCTCTTTAATTTTGATTTTCCTTAAATATCAAATTTATGTGTGGGATATTTTCACGATTTTTATTTTTGTGAAATAAGTGAAAATAAACCTCATCCTTAAAATGTTCATGTTGCATTATGCCGCCATTATTCATAAGCTCTAAATAGCCCAAGACCAAGAAAGGTTGTGAATAAATTAAATCACTGTAAATTGATTAAGAATGCTTTGTAAGAAGAAAATAAAAGGTAGATGTGTAACGCATAGTATCAATACTTTCTTTTGTTGATGTTCAGTGACATTCATTCTATATAAAGTCAATTGCTAGTATATTTTTGTTGAAGCTTGTCTGTGATAAATTGTAATAAGTGTGTCTACTCTTGTTTGCTGTCATTATTATTTGTAAAAACATTGTTTTTTGTTATGATAACTAATCCTGAGTTTTGTTTTATGAAATTTATTTGTTATTTTTAGGGTTCTTTTCACAAATATTAAGTCAGATTTATTTCTGTTATTTTCTAAATTGTTATTTATTGAATTTTTTAAGATGATATTCATTCAAGGATACATTTAAGCCTGCACGTCTTAAAAACAGATGTTCATTAGTGCAATACTCATATATCCATGAACACAACTTAAACTTCTAGACCCTGAAGGGACATCTGTGCTAGTGATTAAAGATTCCACAATATACAATGTAACACTGTATTCTAAATATCCATAATTTTCTAGTTATTAGTTTTCTATTCTATTTTCTTAAACATGCTTCCATTTGTACAAGAAAATTGTAGAATATTCATATTTTGCCTCTAAACCTTTAGGCTTCTTCATATAATGACCTCTTTCCTTCACATCCACTAGATGTGTGGATAAGACAGTTAGACTTCATTATATTTTTAAAGCTAGCTTGCTATTCTGGTTTATAATGAACTCTTTATAACTCCAATAAATGTTGAATCAGTCCTTCCATATTAGTCCAGTCAATCTGTAGAAAACATAAAAGAAATTTCAACAGAATTTTTTTCTGTTTTTTTCTATAATGTAAAGCATGTAGGTAATATATATAAAAGTTCACCAAAATCTGATTGGTAGAAATGATTCAATAAGGTGATTAAAAATGTTCAACTGAGATCTCACCATAAATACCGCTAATGACAGTCCTTAAATGATAAGGTTACAAAAAGTTTGAAGGCTGCTGTCCTGTTAAACACATTGTTAATGTTTATTGGAAAAGTATGTCTTAAAATGATGAAAGGATACAAACTTTTGACTTAGATAATAAAAGTATTTTTGTCATGAGAGATTTGTTTCAATTAACTTTACATTTAACAAATTTTCTGGTTTCCTGTATTTAGAGATATTTTGATAAAAATTTAGTTTTTGACTCCAAATTCTTATTTCTGATCATGACACTTTACCAGTTTCCTTGCACAATCAGGTTTGTAATGTTTCAAGTAGAACCACTTCTAAATGAATGGGCCATAAGGAGTCTCCCATTTCCTGCTCGGAAGTTTTTTGGAATTGATATATTTGTTATTTTATGAATAGTATTAATACCCTGAAGCCATGAAATCTTGAATTTTTTTCCTGGACCTTTTCTGGGTCCTTCTTGTAAGAAGAATGGTCGTGACTTTTGTTAACAATGGGAGAAAACACTCTCAAGGTGGGGGCTGAATATATTTAGCTTTTCCTCCCTGGCTGGTCCTAACTGGACAAAGAATACTCATCATTCAAAGCAAAATAGCTTCTTCATTTCTTTATCATTGTCTGAGTCAGATTTATCTGAAATATGTTTGCTCATGTTTTGAGCTCTTACAATTAGTAAATTTGTAAATTAAAGTAAACTGTGTCAGTTTTACTTTACAGAACCCAAACGTCAGATAGAAAACTAAAATACTAAAATACAAAGTCTATTTTCAAAATTTTGTAACCATCCACTGGATATGTCATATACCTTGTCGTTACTTTTAATTGTGCAGCCTTCATAATAAAAAAATTCTGTAAGTCTCTATTACAAGCTTTATACCAATAGTGGTCATTCAAAAAACTGGAAAGAAAAAGAGTGCAGCCTGGCAAGTGTAAAAAGTTCATTATTATTAACCAGAAAAACTGGTTGGCTTTTTAAATTTAATGTACTAGATTTGTGAAGATCAGTACTGTTATACATAAAACTTTAAAACATCATATTTACATATTTGTTAAGATGTTACTTGATTTCATTCTAGTGTTTTAATAAAAACTGTAGTAATGTTTATTAGTTGCTTTTATATGGTATCTAGCTGTCATTTCATTAGAAGAGACAGTATTTGCACTCTTATTGTGTGTTTAGTATTAATTAGCAGCATTTTGATTGACTAGGAAACATTTTACTTGGTAGTATTTTTTATTTCTTAATTCCTCACAATACTTAAACAATCACTGTATGTAGATGTAAAATAATATATTTGTATATTATTATACGACCGCAAAAAATTTTTGCGGTCGTATATTGGTATGACGTTGGCATCGTCATCGTCATCATCTGAAGACACATTGGTTTTCGCACAATAACTTTAGTTTAAGTGAATGGATCTCTATGAAATTTTACCATAAGGTTCAATACCACAAAAGCAAAGTGGGGATTGATTTTGGGGGTTATGGTACCAATAGTTAAGGAATTAGGGGCCAAAAATAAGCATTTTTGTAACTTCCAGACAATAACTTGTGTGTTAGTGTATTGATCTCTCTGACATTGTACCACAAGGTTCCATATCACAAAGGGAATGCTGGGATTGATTTTGGGGGTAATTGCTTCAAAATTTTAAGAATTAGGGGCCAAAAAAGGGGAAAAAAAGAAGCATTTATCTAGTTTCATGACTATAACTTGTATGTAAGTGTACGGATCTTTCTTAAAGGTTACATATCACAAAGGGAAAGCTGGAATTGAGTTTGGGGGTAATTGCCCGAAACGTTTAGGAATAAGGGGCCAAAAATAAGCATTTTTCTAGTTTCCAGACAATAACTTGTGTTCAAGTGTATGGATCTCTTTGAAATTGTACTGCAAGGTACCATACCACAAAGGGAAGGCTGGGATTGGTTTTGGGGGTAATTGCCTTAAAATTTTAGGAATAAGGGGCCAAAAAGGGGCAAAAAACAAGCATTTTTCTAGTTTCAGGACAATAACTTGTGTGTAAGTGTATGGATCTTTATGAAATTGTACTACAAGGTTCCATATCACAAAGGGAAAGCTGGGTTTGAATTTGGGGCCAAAAAGGGGTAAAAAAACAAGCATGTTTACAGTTTCCAGACAATAACTTGTGTTCTAGTGTATGGATCTCTCTGAAATTGTACTGCAAGGTACCATACCACAAAGGGTAGGCTGGGATTGAGTTTGGGGTGGTGAATCATAAGGGGGTCCAAAAAATTGGGGGGGGGATTTCTTTTTCCTTTTTTTCCTTTTTTTTTTTTCTTTAAAATTTTCCATTTTTAGTTGGTTATTTATGATTTATATATAAAAGCAAATAATAATGATATGGTTTGATTTCATCAAAAATTGAAATATTGGGGTTCTTTGATATGCTGAATCTAACCGTGTATTTAGATTCTTAGTTTTTGGTCCCGTTTTCAAATTGGTCTACATTAAGGTCCAAAGGGTCCAAAATTAAACTTAGTTTGATTTTAACAAAAATTTAATTCTTGGGGTTCTTTGATATGCTGAATCTAACTGTGTATGTATTTAGATTTGTGATATTGGACCATAATAGGTAAATTAAAAAATTTAAAGTTCTTAGACCACATTCATTCTGTGTCAGAAACCTATGCTGTGTCAAATATTTAATCACAATCCAAATTCAGAGCTGTATCAAGCTTGAATGTTGTATCCATACTTGCCCCAACTGTTCAGGGTTCGACCTCTGCGGTCGTATCAAGCTGCTCCCAGCGGAGCATTTTATTATATACTTCTTTTCCAGAAATGTTTTCTTTGTTTCAATTATTGCAAAAATGGTGACTGGATGGGTTTCGTAGCAGAAAAATATCAATTTTTAAATTTGTATAACATTTTTGTACCATTTCCTAAAATCGTAATAATTAATCATGTATCTGTGTACATTGTTCAACAACTGCAATAGTGAATGCATGTAGAAATTCCTGAACTTACAATTGAAGAACTTTCATTTAAATGTATTGAAATCCATTTTATTTATTTATTATTGTATGTATCATTTACACTTGTTTGACACTTTAAAACCATGTAAATTGATTTAATACAAACTTGCATGATAACTAATTTGGATGACACAATGAATTTCCTGAATTGTAATGATCATTATGATGTTTTACAAAAATAATGAAAATAAAATTCTATAAATTTGGTGAGTCTGAAGAACTTCTCTGGATTATCCTTCATCAGACACCTTAAAATTATGATACTTTACAAGAAAGTGATGTATTTTACCATCCATGAAATATTCTCAGTGTGGCTGTATATTATTACAAATGGATCTTATAATGACATTGACTATGATGAACATGCAGTGTGTGTCCAAGATTGGTGATTCTTAGAGAATTTGCTCTAGTTGAAAAAGAAATTTGTTTCTATTATATCATTGACCACCTTATTCATTTTTTTGTTGAAGAGTTTGTTTGTTTGTTGTTCAGAACATAATTTCTAAGTGAATAACATGTTAGTTTGTTTAAGATAAGACATGATTCTAAGTGAATAACATGTTAGTTTGTTTAAAATAAGACATGATTCTTTACTTGTTTTCTTTATGCTTAATATGTTGAAATATGAATTAGCATTTGCATTTTGATTTGATATAGAGAACAATTTGTATTAATTTGAGCAGATTACTAATTTCGATATATAAAATGTGAATGTTATTATATACAATTGTAAAATAAGTCTAAAACACGTTTTTTGCTTGGGGCCTTGGTGACAGAGTGGTCTAAGAAGTTCATGCTGTCAACTCTGAGGTTTTGAGTTCAAACACTGCTTGTGGCAAGGTGTGTTAAGACTCTATCTTAATTAACAAGGATTGCCAGCTTTCCTGCCGATAATCGTTGTTCTCTCAGGTACTCTGGCTTCCTCCATCAATAAAACTGGTAAGCATGAAATGGCCGTGGTAGCTGAACAAAAAATGAAAACAACACTTTATAAAGTTCATACGTTCTAAGAGCTTTTCTTTATTTGTCTTCATCAGGAACCCTCAAAACCGAATATTTGGAAGCCAAGGATGTATAAGAACTGAAGCAGTTGAAGAGCTTTAGGACCAAAAAGGACCTAAATATAATAGCCAAAGTGGCATTAAACAACAACATGCAGATATTTTCTTGTTACCATTAACATCTTGGGCCTGGAATTCTTGTTTTGATTCATCAAAATGATTTTCGAAGCTTCTTATAACAACAAGTAGAAGGAAATTATTTATTGTTACTTTTATTTTGGTTAAGACAATAACTGTGAATCTTTATACATCTACATGACACCCCATTTCAACACTATAATACTTGTTCCAAAACCTATAGTATACTGGATTAGTGATATGCCACTGTCCCTTAGTGAAATATAGTTTAACTTTTGTCTGTGTTAAAAAAGAATAGGAATACATGTATTGTTCATTTTTTGGCTGTTCTTCCAGGACTTAAGCTGTTTTGTGAAGTGTATATATTTATGAAGGAGTAAAAGTTCAGACCTGCATTTGACAAAAGGTTTAAAAATTTAAGACCAGATGGAGTACATTTTCACAAACCGTCAAAAGTTTTCTTTTGTTTACCTTGACATACTTTTGAAAGAAAAACATTTATTGATTAAATTTCTTTTGCAATCTGTACACATTATTATATATATGGCATATTTATGAATTATGGTATTAAACAAATTGATTGTTCATTGTGTTTCAGTCGCCTTATCTTTATCAAATAATGACTCTTGCTTTGACCATTTCTCAGTTTGATTTCAGACAAGGGCGTTTAATTTAATTCTGTATTCTGTATTTCAATTTATTATGCTAATTGTAAAAGAAAGTTTATGACTTTATGCTCATATAATGTCCACAAGACTGTGCAATAGGCATAATTATTATTTTTACTGTTTATATTTTATATATATATATGATATAATTTTATATTGATTAATATTAAATTGTTACACTACTGTAATAAGTAGTAATTAAATGAAATGTTTTCTTTTTCTTATTAATTCTTAGAGGTCTTATTGATAGTTTCTGGCCATCAACCAATATGAGTGTTGTAACTATATTAATAGATAAAAATACTGTTTAAATAGCTTATTTGACAAATTGAGCAGGATAGTTCTGATAGGTTTAAGAATAACTTCAGATAACCCTAAATTACATTTAAAATACCCATCAGCCTGAAAGATGAAATATTTTGGAGAAGAGACCTGAAAACAAAAGTTACTTTTGATATCCACATACAGCAATAAAAATACAACCAGTATTATTTATTATGTTGTTAAAATTAAGTCCAACAATAGTTTACTGCTGGTAAAATCTCATAAATCGATTAAAAAGAGACAAATCAAGGAAACAAAGAAAAGGAGCTAGACCAGATGTGTCTACATGAAAAGCGTGTCCTACTATGCTTGCATCACCCACCATTCGAATTCAAACTCACACTCTGGAATGGGACACACTCGATTTAAATCATATTAAACGACTAAACTGGTAGTGTGGAATTTGTATTTATTTTTAATTTTCATGATTAATTTGCTTTAAGATTATCTTAATAAACTCATCATAGATACCAGGATTGAAATTTTGTACTAACGCCAGACACGCGTTTCGTCTACAAAAGACTCATCCCCAGTGACGCTCGAATAAAAAAAGTTAAAAAGGCCAAATAAAGTACGAATTTGAAGAGCATTGTGGACCAAAAATTCCTAAAAGTTTTGCCAAATACAGCTAAGGTTATCTATTCCTGAGGTAGATTTGGCATTCCTCATTTGATGATGCATCTTCTTTAAACACAAAGAAAACTGTATAGACGTAGCTCATTTTACTAAATAACAGTTATACTTTTTTTTGTATTTTTGAAGGCATTAATCATAGATATGATATTTGCTATTTGAGTTTTACTGGCCTCCGAGTTTATTGCCATCAGAGGTAGACAATGGTTATTTGCAGTGATTGATTCCACCAAATAATAGAATAAGATACTGTTGCTCTCCTGTATAATTAAATGCCGTTGTGGAGTTAATTGACAAAATAACACCAAACAGGTGAAGAATATTCTGAAAGACTTATTTCTTAGAATGACATGTTTTTGCATTAGAAGTAATACGAAAAATTAAGCACTAACAGTTTAAAAAAACAAAAATGATGCAATATAAAAAACAGAAATTTAATCGTAATACTAAGTTAAGTAACATGTATATTGTGAACAACCCGTTGCCACTCAATGAGTATTATATATTGTATATCATGCAACCATAAAACATTTACAAAATTATTGTATAGACTGAGGAATTTACGAATTGAGGTTCTAAATTGATGTTTTACTACACAAAGAAGACGATGACCAGACAACACAGGTTTGACTGTACCTCACTTGAGAGAGACCTGCTACATTTACTGGGCAAAATTTAATAGCCCAGTTCAGTTCAAAGATATATAAGGTATTTATTGTTTTGAAATTGATCTCTAGAGATGGCGAAAGATACCAGATGGACATTCAAACTCATAAGACGAAAATAAACAGACAACTCTATGGCTAAAAAAGAAAAAGACCAACAGACAAAAATAGTACACAAAACAACATAGAAAACTAAAGACTGAGCAACATGAACCCAACCAAAAACTGGGGGTGATCTCGGATGCTCCGGAAGGGTAAGCAGATCCTGCTCCACATATGACACCCGTCGTGTTGCTCATGTTAGTACAAACACGGTCATAAGTCTAATTCGGTAGGGCACATTCGGGAAAAGGGGACGTGATTGTAGTTACGACATTAGGAACTTACTAAGTATCCGCTATCATCTGTGAAACGTATATTCCATAACGGTCAACCAACTCGTGATGGCGTTCGTAAAACTTACGAAGGGATGATTTCAACTTCACCACTTGGAACTCTTGGTTTAATAGCTTCCTTGTGAGCAGCAACCCTCTATCAAGGAAATCATGATAGGAAATACAAGCTCTGGAATATGGTATCAACTGGGAGATATATACTCCGTATGCAGGCGCTGCTGGAATGTTGCTAAGTGGACTAGTCAATAAAGAGTTTTACATAATGTACTAGTAAATAAGAAGCAAAAGTAGTTTAGAAAACTTGTAAAATCACTTTGAATTTTCAAACTAAGAGAATACATTAGTGGAAATCACTTTGAATATTCAAACTAAGAGAATACATTAGTGGAATAATACTCCAAACTGACTACCAGCAGGTAGCTCAACAGGGTGAACTTCATATACGTCATGCAAATCCAGACAAAGACAATTGTAACAATAGGGCAAAAATCTGTAGATTTTCAGATCAAAAGACATTTCTGATGTTTCAAGATATAAGACAGTTAGACAAGTCTCCCATGCGTTTAGACACCGCCACTTTGAATCAGTAAATAAATTCATAATGATCACTATATCACTTATACAGTGTAGATTACATTTGTTCTTCCTCAAATATCCTGCTGTTAGGAACACACTCCTGTTAATGAACTCATTATAATGTGAACATGCACTTGCTTAACATACCAATTGAGATCTATAGATACCATTTCACAGAGCAGAAGGTATGTAATAACTGAAAAACCGAAAGATGACCATAAAAAAACCTGAAATTGACACGATTCTTGTTTGAAAAAGTCCATCTATGTTAAGTTCAAGAGAAATATCTATATATATATACAACAATATTGGCTACAATAAGACCTGCATTTAGATAGTATCCTTTATTTCAAATTTAGTTGTATAATTATATGATATGCAATCAACGCAAAGGGGAACAGAGGCACATTATTTTTACTTTATAGGGCAAAGGCGTGCAGCCGAAAGGTGCAGGTGTAATGCCTTTTTATTGTTGACAAGTGACGATGATGTATTTATAACTAATGGAAAATTAAAGGCACAGGGTAATTTTTCTTTCTGTTTGTTATTAATGAAATTTTGCACAAATAATATCAATTGTGGTGACACATATAAGAAATTGCTCAAAGATATGTAAGACTTCCCAACATTGCATACTTCACTGACTTTTGATAATTTTGACATTGCTTTTTTCAGTACTTTGTAACCTGCTGTCTTGTAAAAAGATAGGTTTTAGATCGGTCAATTGACCCAAAATTCAGCAATACAGGAAAAAATACGATGTAAATAAAGGCAACAGTAGTATAACGCTGTTCAATAGTCATAAATCGATTAAGCGATAACAAATTCGGGTTACAAACTAAAACCGAGGGAAACACATCAACTATAAGAGGAAAACAACGGAACAACAGTAACACTGAACTGCAACAAAAACAAAATACATAGAAACGGACTATTTGGTAACAACTGCCATATACCTGACTTGGACAGGTTTTTAGTTTCCCATGTTGTGTTTTGTGTACCGTTTGTTTGTCTTTTCGTCGTTTTATTTTGCCACGGCATAGTTATAAATATAGAAACAAGAAGATGTGGTATAATTGCCAATGAGACAACTCTCCACCAGAGACCAAATGAAATAGAAGTTAACAACTATAGGTCACCGTACGCGTACGGTCTTCAGGTAAACAGGTAAACAGGTTAACATTTTTTTTTTATACATTGTGACTTTGATGAAGAGTTGTATCACCGACACTCATACCACATCTTCTTATTCATATTTGATGTAAAACATGTAAAAATTTGATGTAAAACATGTAAAAATTTGATGTAAAACATGTTAAAATATCCGACAAAAACAAATTTCGCAAACTTTTCTACATTACAACAATAGTGATATCAGTATGAAGTCACCGTTTTACACTTTTGAAATGAAAATCATAAGATTGACTAATTTTTGGCTAAATGTTTAGTTTTTGCTGCAGTCGATATTCGCCACATGCTTGGACCGCATTGACTTTATGTAAGAATATGTATCTTACCCTGCATATACATTTTTATCAAAATTTGAATATTAAATCATGTAGTATTTTTCCTTTTGGTCGATGTAATTGGCCATTGTTTTCAGAAGCAAGTAGATCTTAATACTGTTGTTAAACTGAAAAAAATACTAAAAACTAGTAAAATATCATACTTTTGAGGTGTTCAAAATTGTCGAAAGCAAACAATACACAGAAAAAATGCCCAGCTTTTCTTACCCTTTCGGAGCATCTGAGATAACCCCCAGTTTTTTGTGGGGTTTGTTTTGCTCACTCTTAGTTTTCTCTATTATTTTTTTGTAGACTGTTATTTGTCTTTTGTTCGTTTTTCGTTTTTTGCCATGTCAGTTCGTTTTTGATTCATGAGTTAGTTAAGAAGGAATTTGCAGTTTGAGTTAGTGATTCGTTTTAAATGTATGATTTTTATGGAAGTTGTTTCCATTTGACGTAGAAAATAACTTGAAAATAACAATTTTCCACATTTTTCTTCTTAAATGAAATGATTAGATACTCTGTATATAATTATTTCAGAAGAAGTTATAAATCAAGATTCAGTTTTGTTCAGGATAAGTAATTTTTGTTGAAGTTGGCATCCCTTGAACATAGAGCTTTTTTTAATGCCTAATCAATTCATGAGATATCTGGTACATATTTACAGATAAAATTTAATGTTTGTTCAGCATGAGTGACTTTTCTTTCTGAAATGTAACTTTTGTTTTGCAACATGTCGATAAGATATTAGGTATATGAAATCTATATAAATATAATTGTTTACTTTTTATACATTATGACTTGGATGGAGAGTTGTCTCATTGGCACTCATACCACATCTTCTTATTTATAGTAACTGTGCGCACCACTTAACAAATTACAATTTATGACAAAAATCCCTAAAGATCCATCGAAACAACATCTGATACAAATATTTAATAACACTTTTATTTATTGGGATGATATATTGGCTCTCAATAATGACGACTTCAGTATGTCTTTATCCTGTTGAACTTACTTTAGATAAAGCTAATACTAACTAACGAACACGGCCCTTTCCTGGATTTTGATATCCATATCTTTAACGGGAAGCTTAATACTTTTTACGATAAAAGATATGATTTTTCATTTCCTGTTGTTTATCATCAAATTTAAATGGTGACGTTACCTTGGCACCACCTTGTGGTGTTTATATATCTCAACTTGTTCGATTCGGTAGTATATGTTATAACGTATTTGATTTTAACGAAAAAATCTCTGTAATACTGAAAAATTATTGCACAAGGGTTTTCAATATCACAAACTTGCCAAAACTTTTACTAAATTTTATCATCGACACAAGGACATCAATCGTAAATATAAATCAACGTGCAGACATCTTATACGTTCAGGTATTTCACATCCGATCTTTTATGGTAATATTCTATACATAGCAAATGTCGCCCTTCACCTCAAAAGCCAACCAAACCTTTAAACAGATTAATTCAGAAGGGATATAGTTACAATATTGTTGTCAAGTTATTAAGATGTCATTTGTTTAATTAACATTGATCCACTCACAGGGTCTTTGCATCGGAAATAAATATATTTATTCTAAAATCAGTTGTTGGTATGGTACGTGTTATGTTCTTCTCGTATAATTTATGATGGCATAATACTAAACCCCAAAATGGAGGGATTGTGGTTGATTTTCATATGATGAAGGCTTAATCTTTCGATCAGTTTAATTGATGTCTGGAGCTGGCATGTCAGGAACTACTAGTAGTTCTTTTTTAATTTATGTTGACCATTGTTATTTTGCTTAGTTTTTTCTGTGACCTTCTCTAACATCGGACTCCGACTTCTTTTAAAATAAGTTTTACTGTGCGTATAGCTGTGTGTTTGTTTATTCCACTTTGCTTAGAGGTATAAGGGAGGGTTGAGATCACACCAATCATGTTAAAACCCGCCGCATTTATGTGCCTGTCAGGAACCTCTAGCCTTTGTTATTCTTTTGTGTGTTTTTTAAATTTGGGTTCATTTATATGTTTCGGAGTTAAGTGTGGCGTTCATTTCACTGAAGAAGTATACAATATTGTTTAAAGGCCAGCTGAAGCCTGCCTCCAGGTGCGGGATTTTCTCGCTGCGTTGAAGACCCATTGGTGGTTTTGGGCTGCTCTTTGGTCGGGTTGTTGTCTCTTTGACACATTCCCCGTTTCCATTCTCAATTCTATAAAAGGTTAATGTGACAATAATTAGGAACCAGCAGCCCATATTTGTGTAAACGTTACATCACAGACATACAACACAACTTCCTAAAAAATTCAAACAAACATACAAAGTATTCTAACAAAGACGCAAAAGGTGTAGTAGATAATAAAAGAGGGACGAAAGATACCAGAGGGACAGTCAAACTCATGGACCGAAAACAAACTGACAACGCCATGGCCAAAAATAAAAAGACAAACAGACAAATAATAGTACAGATGACACAACATAGAAAACTAAAGACTAAGCAACACGAACCCCACCAAAACCTGGGGGTGATCTCATGTGCTCCGGAAGGGTAAGCAGATACTGCTCCACATGTGGCACCCGTCGTGTTGCTTATGTTATTACAAATCCGGTAAATAGTCTTATTCGGTAGGTTAAATTCGCGAAAAGGGAAGGGTATTGTAGTTACGACATAAGGAACATATCCGATATCATCTGTGAAACGCTTATTCCATAACGGTCAACCAACTCGTGATGGCGTCCGTAAAATTTACGACGGGATGATTTCAACTTCACCATTTGGAACTCTTGGTTTAATAGCTTCCTTGTGAGCAGCAATCCCCTATCAAGGAAATCATGATAGGAAATACAAGCCCGGGAATATCGTATCAATTGGGAGATATATACTCCGTATGCAGGCGCTGCTGCAATGTTGCTACAAAAATTTTTTGTCAGGCGCTGATAGTAATAGTTATTTTCCTTTTTGTGTTCAACAAAAACAGTTTGTCAGTGAAACCCTTAAACCGTAATTCATAGATACTGAGAGTATTTTGATATGAGGTCCTTGGGCCATAAGCAGGAATTGAGTTCAAGGTCAATCGTCAACTCCTCAGAAACCGTTAAAAGTTATCGACGTAAAGTTATTGTCAAATTTTCAGTTATGACTTGACGCAAAGCCGATATATTTGGATCGAAGTGCTCTGGTGACATTTTAAAGGATTTTTCTCTTGTTAAATATTCAAAATACGTTGTTTTGTAGGATAACTACTTTACCATACATATTAGAGAGTTGCGGTCTTTGGTTTGATATCCTTTATTCTTTAGCTTGAAAATAGACTACTGCTATAACTGCATACAGGTACATAAGAATGCCAAAAGGTCTTTTGTATTAAGTTTGACGACATATGACCTTGAAAAAGTCAACCAGAAGTGACCATATGCAAACTAGAAGTGGCCATTTTTGCACTTATTTCATGCAAAAGTACCTAAAAACCTTATACTTTTAGAATCAGTGTGAAGTAATTAATCAAATGAACCGGAAGTTCCATTTGGTAGACCGGAAGTAGTTTCCATTATTTAATATATTCAAATAGCAATACATAAAAACCAAATATTTTTCTAATCAGTGTAGTGAAAGCCATTATATGACACCGGAAATGGCGTTTTGTAGACAGTAAATAGCTAATTATTTCCCTTATTCCAAATGGCAAAACATTAAAACAATATATCTTTCTAATCAGTGTAATGTAAGCTATCATTGACACCGGAAGTGAATATCACAACTGTCAAGTAAATGTTTAGAGTCCTGAAAACTGAGCAGTATATATGTTGGCCTCATTAGGTCCATATTGTTCTGTACCACAACCTATGTACAGTGTGCCTCTTTTGTCAGTTTTTAAAGAATATGGATAAAGGATACCTAATTGATCCTTAGTGTTCAAGTAATAGATACACTGCCCTGAAATGTTCAGGATATGAATCATATCGCTATCCATATCTGTAATGATAGTATTGTTTAATTTAGTACTAACTAAATCGTGAGGTCTGAATGTAACTTGTCCTTTGTTGATATCTAGATTGCCACTATATATCCACCTCACTCCATCACTTTTATTCAATGCCATTATCATACCACTTTTGTCTTTATTCAGACGATCTAGGACATACAAGTTATTATCAGTATCTGATGTTATTCTCTGTGGGGCACAAAAGATAGGTTTTCCATTATTGTCTAATTCATACACCTTTTCAGTTCTTCCTTCTATATCCATAACAACAACTTGTCTTGTGCCTTTAACTGGGAAGACAGATCCTTTCTTTCCGGCTCTGATTATGATCTTATTATCGCTGGTTATATGGATATGACCAGTAATTAAAGGTGCTACACTATATTTTGAAGAAGTAATTTTTCCAGTGGTATGAGAAAGTATTTTAAGATTTGGTTCTGTAGTAGATATAAGTAAGTCTCCAGATGGTAATAATGCCATGCCCGCACAAGATACATGTATCTTCTGCACAACTTTTACCAGTCCGTTTGAAAATTGTAGTTTTTGTAGGATTTTGTTGTTAAAATCGCTTATCCACATTGTTCCATCAGCACAGATGAATACCATTTCAACTTGTTTTAGTCCAGTGTTGAATTTTGTAATCACATTGAATTTATATTGTTCTAGTAAATAAATGTCATCAGACTCTGTTAGGTTTCCATGTAGTGCCTGTTGAATCTGCGTTTTCCCTGGTACATATTGTGGCAGTTTTTTAAAATGAGTATTTACTGGTTCTATACTCTGTTTCCTGGCTGTTTTTTCTTTCTTGTATGCACGGAAAACATCGCCTGTATTGGCAGAAGCCAAGGCTACGGTTAAACTCTCTTTTCGAAATTCTAAATTTTTGTTTATCTTCTTTGACTTATTATCTTCATTATTTACTGATTTCTGAAGAAGGTTCCATCTTTGGTCAAGTTCTTTCAGAAGTTTTTTTGTGAGCATTTCAACTTCATCTTTTAAAGCTTTTTCTTGTTTCAGTATTTTTTGCCTCTCTATTTCATATTTGAAGTCTTCTGACGATTTAAATGAAGAGATGGTAGATCTTCCTCTTTCATTATTTGATAATGTCACGTCAAAGTAAGATTTGAAAGTTTTCATTTTCTTGACAGTTGAATCATAAGCTTCAGCTAATTCAATCATGTCGTGTTTACTGTGAGTTTTGGCAGTACACGAAGGGCAGACAACTTCATCACATGTCTGACAAAATAAGCAACAGTTTTGTTCACTATGAATTTCACATGGAATATTACGAAAATCTTTGTTATCCTTGGCTTGCTGCAGGTGTGAAGCAATGTCTTTGATGTTAATAATGGTATGCTGGTAAGTGGATTTCACTTTCTCATAAAGTCTTTGACATTTTGTACACAAGAGAAAGTCACATTGTAAACATTTCCATTTTATTTCATTGGATTCTTCGCACAACTGACAAGATATAGGAATCTGTCCTTCCTGGAGAGATTTGGATGAAGCCATTATGCAGAACCCAATCTAACAGTGGTTGCAATGAATGATGTATGAAAAATATTTAATGCATATGACTAATTTGTTATTTGTTCTAACTTCCTTTTGCAATCTTTATCTGATAGGAAGGATGTCAATACTATCCCACAGTATATTGATTTTAACATTTAAAACTATACATAAATGCTCTCATATTTGGCAGGCCATTAAAATTTGTCCATTTTGACGCGATGTGGTTTATGCCATCATGATGAGTTCGTTGAAAAAGAGTGAATGTTTTATACAATTGATAACACAAACAAAAATGTATATACTAAATATAATTGCACTTATATTGTGGAATATCGTCCTGAGTAGTATATCATATTGTATTAGCTTGCGAGTGCAATATGATATACTGCAAAGGACAGTTTACGTCAATATAAGTGCAATAACCGTTTTATAATATAGAACCAAATTTTTTAGCAACATTGATGATACTTCATCCAATGCCTACAGTTAGGACAAGATGTCAAATTCCGCCATCTTGTGTTATCTCTCGTTTGTTTGCGTTTTACTCGAAATTCTTCAAACAAACTGTATAAAATGCAATATCAGTCAAGTTGCAATATTTTAACTCATTGTGAATACTCTAAGTATAATTATAAGGGAAGACACATTAAGATATCGGCAAATATTGCATTTTGTTTAAATTTTACATGAAACTTTTGATACTATTAGTATTAGTTTTTTTATTTTTTTATTTCAGTATCTCTGTATTCAATGCATATCTTATTTGAACAATCCTTTTCTTTATTTGTTATCATCAGTATATGTATCACTAATTCACCAAACAGGTACTCTCAGTAAAACAGTCCTGAAAATCTCGACCTATTTGTGTAATGTTATGTATTCAAATAGATTGTATAGATGCTTGCAGATATAGAATAACTAACACTTTGGAATATAAATGAGAATTTTTGTCAATGCAAAACAAAATGTATGATAGTGAACATAGAACACTTAAGATTGGTCGGGGTCTAAATAAAAAAAATAGAATTTTTTAAATCATTATCAAAATGAAATTTATCTAAAGCTACTGTCAACAATATGATAAAACGAATATGTCACATCGCTATTTTTGAAGCTACAGTCAGAATTTGTATAGAGTTTACATAGAAAAGCCAATCTTGTTTGAAAAGAAAGAAAACTTAACAATCGAATTTAAAAAAAAGAAAAATTGTGAGAAAGTAGCTTTCATAATGTGCTTTTATAAATTGAGTATAGAAATTGTCGTCATGGAACTCATTTTTTTATTACAATAAAAAATGGTCAATTTAGATGTGATATGGTTGCCAATGAGACAACTCTGCACCAGAGACCAAATGACTCAGGAGTACGCAACTTTCGGTCACTATACGGCTTTCAACGATGAGGAAAACCCAAACCGCAATATAACCTATAAAAGGCCCCGAAATGACAAATGTAAAACAATTCAAACGAGAAATCAAATATGATATACAGCAACAAACGACAACCTCTTAATCGGCTGAAAGGGAACGTCGGTATTTTTGTTACCTTGATTTAAACATTGGTAAGCTACTGTTGCCTTTACTACGCAGCTAGTGGACAAAAGGTCAACGGTGAGACCGTCTACCGTGTACATGTAGGAAGCAAAATATTCCTGTGAACAGTAAACATAAAAAGACTTAGACCTTCTTTTCGGGAAATTTATTTCAAAATTTCTAAATTGTATTGTGCAAGAGGTCCATTGTCCTGCTGATCATTTTTACCTCTATCTATTACAGTTTTCAAGATTATTAGAAAAACAAGGTAAAAATCGTCATTTATGGGTACTAACTCTTATAAGCAGTTGGCTGATGATTGTGGTGATGTAAATTTATAAGTAGATCTTGTCTTGCTGATGAGTTCTGCTATTTAAAGTGTTTATCTATCTATTATAGTTTTCCAGATAATACGAAAACAATAGGTAAAATCGTCATTAAAGGGCATTAACTACAATAAGGGGTTGTCAGACTACTTCGACCATGCAGTCTTATTTGTAGATCTTGTAGTGCTAATCTAAGTATCTATCTATCTATTCTAGTTTTTAAGATATTAAGTAAAAATACTAAAAACTAGTAAAAGTCGTCTTTAAAGAGCAATAACTCCAATAAGCCTGATTATTTCTTTTTGACTTATTTGTAGATATTGTCTCGCTGTCAGTTTTAAGTTTCTATCTATCTATTAAAATTTTTTTTAGATATTAGGAAAAAAACGCAAAAATATGGTAAAAATTGTCATTAAAGGGCAATTACTCCAATAAGAAGTCCTCGAACGATTTTAGCTACGTTGACTTTTTAGTAGATCTTGTCTTGATGATCATCTTTGCTATTTCAAGTTTTTCTCGATCTAGACTTTTAAAAAAAGAAATGCATAGCTCGGATGAATTTTTCAAAATGCAAAATATATATTTTACAAGGTAAAATGAAACGGTCAATTGAATCTTCGAATTTTTACAGGTAAGTTTTAAACTTAAAATTCTCTTTCTTTTGATTTGGCTCTCTGCCACATAAAATTTGCGAGTCGCTAAAAGTGCATATGACGTTTTTCGCCGCGAAGTTTTGCTAACGCTGTTCACGAGAATTTTGTGGTCAACTCAACTGTTACACTTTTGCGCATATAAGGACCAAGTTTGAAGAGTTAAGTCATCACAACGTTAAAACGCTGCCATGCCAAGGTTGGATCCTGCTATTCAAAATATCGTTATCGGCCGTCTCTAGGCCGTAGTGTCCCAAAGTGAAGTAGCAAGAACTGGAAATGTTAACCAGAGCACAATTTCGCGACTTTGGAACAGTCCGGCTTCACCAGGGGGGGGGGGGGGGGGGGGGGGGGGGGGGGGGGGGGGCTCTGCTGTAAATCAGTTAGTAGATATTTCGAATGATTTTGGGAAAGCTTTGGATAGTGGCAAAGAAATACGTGTTGTGTTCTGTGACATAAGTAAGGCATTTGATAGAGTTTGTCATAAAGGTCTTCTTATTAAATTACAGAAATATGGTATATCTGGAAACTTACTTAAATGGATAAATAATTATTTGAATGGAAGGTCTCAAAGAGCAGTTATAAATGGTTCAAATTCTGACTGGTTGTCCACTAATGCTGGCGTTCCACAAGGTTCTATATTAGGTCCTCTCTTGTTTTTTGGTATTTATTGATGACATAGTCACTGATATCGAAGCCCAAATTAAGCTTTTTGCTGACGACACAAGTCTATATTTAACTATAATCCAGTAGGAACTGCTGAAATTCACAATAGTGATTTGAACAAAATTCACGAATGGTCCCAGAAATGGCTTGTAAAATTCAACCCAAAGAAAACTGAAACCATGATTATTTCCCGTAAAAATGCAAAACCTTATCACCCATCTTTAAAAATGAATAACGAAGAATAACACGTTGTCGAAAAGCACAAGCATTTAAGAGTTCTATTTTCGGATAATGGCTCATGGAATGTACATGTTGATTATATTGTACAAAAATCTTAAAAAAGACTTAATATTTTAAGCAAAATAAAACACACTTTAGATAGAATGACCTTGAAAAAAATATATATATCGTTTATAAGACCTATCATTGAATATGAGTATGTTATCTGGGATTCAGGAAATCAATCTTTAATGAATAAACTCGAAAACATCCAGTTGGACGCTGCTTGTATAGTTACAGGAGGAACTAAACTCACAAGTACTTCGATGTTATATTAAGAAATCCAATGGGAGAAACTTTCAGATCGAAGAAGTAACCACAAATTAATACTGCTTCATAAAATTGTCAAAAATAAAACCCCAAAATATTTGCAAGATTTATTACCTGGCTATGTCAGTGGTCGACACGACCACAGTACTGGACAAAGTAATAATCTATTAGAGGTAAAATCCCGTACAAAACTTTATTCAGATTATTATCCGTCATCCATCAAATTATGGAACCATTTACCATTTAAGTGTAAGAAATTGTGAATCGCTCTCTTTATTTAAGAAACATATTCGTAATCAGAACGATCGAGTCCCTTTATACTTTTATGCTGGATGTCGAAAAGGTCAAATTCTTCATGCGCGATTAAGAAAGAATAGCAGTTCTTTAAACTGTCACTTGTTTCCAAGACACTTAGTTTCTTCTCCTCACTGTCGCTGTGGTGACTTGGAAACTTAGTTTCTTCTCCTCACTGTCGCTCTGGTGATTTGGAAACTTAGTATCTTCTCCTCACTGTCGCTGTGGTGATTTGGAAACTTAGTTTCTTCTCCTCACTGTCGCTGTGGTGATTTGGAAACTTAGTGTCTTCTCCTCACTGTCGCTGTGGTGATTTGGAAACTTAGTGTCTTCTCCTCACTGTCGCTGTGGTGACTTGGAAACTTAGTATCTTCTCCTCACTGTCGCTGTGGTGATTTGGAAACTTAGTATCTTCTCCTCACTGTCGCTGTGGTGACTTGGAAACTTAATATCTTCTCCTCACTGTCGCTGTGGTGACTTGGACACTTAGTTTCTTCTCCTCACTGTCACTGTGGTGACTTGGAAACTTAGTATCTTCTCCTCACTGTCGCTGTGGTGATTTGGAAATTTAGTGTCTTCTCCTCACTGTCGCTGTGGTGATTTGGAAACTTAGTGTCTTCTCCTCACTGTCGCTGTGGTGACTTGGAAACTTAGTATCTTCTCCTCACTGTCGCTGTGGTGATTTGGAAACTTAGTATCTTCTCCTCACTGTCGCTGTGGTGACTTGGACACTTACTAGTAGTTTCTTCTCCTCACTGTCGCTGTGGTGACTTGGACACTAAGTATCTTCTTCTCACTGTCGCTGTGGTGACTTGGAAACTAAGTATCTTCTCCTCACTGTCGCTGTGGTGACTTGGAAACTTAGTATCTTCTCCTCACCGTCGCTGTGGTGACTTGGACACTGTCGCTGTGGTGACTTGGAAACTAACCCGCACTTTTATTATTTTGCCCATTATATTCAGACATAAGACAAGAAATGATAATATCATTTGGAAGCCTACAATTAACAGTACCAATGGACACCGAATTACTAATA